ACCCATTTTGGTCACAGCTGACCGGCTGTGATAAGTCATTGCTGAACGTAGGCTCAGTGCCTCTTCTTCTTTGCATTAGCAGTACAGTTGGGTCTCAGTGGTTGGCTAAACATCTGTCTCCCTATAGTATAAATACACAGACATGTTTGAAAAACCCAGGAAGTTAAAGTTAAAGACACTGATTGAAGTGAAGATAAGGTATTTCCTGACTCTTCAAAGGCTCATCTAACTACAGTACCTAAGCTCAGTATTGCCCCCTTGGAAGTTTTTCCCCTCTTATTGCTTTTCAACATTGAATCATGGTCAATTTAATTTTGCTTTTTTGACAAGAATTTACAAAAAAAAAAACAAAGAAAAATGATGCTTTCATGCTAAAATGAAAACAGATTTTTTGCAAAGCAATGTCAGTTAATTGAAGTATGAAATGTTGAATAAGGGACTGCTTAGGTATTCATCCCTTTTAAAGTCCATCCATCTCTACACCACTTAATCCTCATTAGGGTCGCGGGGGGCTGGAGCCTATCCAAGCTGACTTAGGGTGAAGGCAGGAGACACCCTGGACAGGTCACCAGTCTATCACAGGGCTACACTTAGAGACAGACAACCAAGCACACTCACATTCACACCTACGGACAATTTAGAATCACCAATTAACCTCAACATGTTTTTGGACTGTGTGGGAGGAATCTGGAGAAATCAAGTAACATAATGCGCAAATGAAAAAATTCTATGTATCACGTCGTTTAGTAATAAATGTACTTCTGTTGCTCCATGTGCATAAGTATGGGAAACGCTCTTGCTTTGCAGTTGTTCAAATGGATCCTGCTGCTGTTTTATGCTGCAGGTATGTAATAAACTCAGCTGAAGTCTGTCATTTGTGTATGCTTCTTCATTAATCTGATGGGCTACAGTCCAGACTTAGGCCACATTAGAAGTTCTAACTTAGTAAAACTGCTGTCACAACCTTTTACGGAAAAGTGAGTAGGATGCTCATTCAGACATGGAGCTGACATGTTCAGATACCTTCAGAGTAACGGAAAGGAGTAATCAGATGTCTATCACAGGGCTACACTTAGAGACAGACAACCAAGCACACTCACATTCACACCTACGGACAATTTAGAATCACCAATTAACCTCAACATGTTTTTGGACTGTGTGGGAGGAAGCCGGAGAACCCGAAGAGAACCCATGCTGCACGGGGAGAACATGCAAACTCCATGCAGAAAGATCCCGGTGTCCCCACCGGGACGCGAACTGGCAACTGCTGTGAGGCAACAGTGCTACCAACTGCGCCACCATGCAGCCCCCTTTTAAAGTGACTCACCTAATTCAACACAGGTGCAGCCAATTACTAGAAGTCACACAGTGAAATGGAGATCATCTGAGTGCAGTGAAAGTGTCTCCAGTGATTGTAGATTAAAGACACCTTCATCTTTAAGGTCCAGTTGCTGGTGAATCGATACTCCTGGCTGCTACACCTCAAAGACAAAAGAGCATTCCGAGCAACTCTGTGAAAAGGTTATTGAAAAGCACAAGTCGGTGGGTGACTACAAATGTATTTTTGAGTTGCTAAAAGTCCTTTAAAGTACAGTTAATCCATCAACATGAAATGGAAGGAATATAGCACATGCCTAAATCTTCCTACAGCAGGCTGTCCTCAAAAATGGAGTTACCATGCATGAAAGAGATGAGTGAGAGGCCACCAAGATGCCTATGACTCCTCTGAGGTAGTTACAAGATAGAGTAGTCAACATTTGAGAGCCTGTGAATACGGCAGCCGTTCTTCACCAGTCAAAACTTTATAGGAGAGCAGCAAAGAGAAAGCCACTGTTGAAAAATACACATACTAAATCTCGCCTAGAGTTCACCTTAAGGTATATGGGAGACTCTGAAGTCTACTTTCTACACAGGCTCTATGCTGCAATTGTGGCCCCGTATTGGCCTGAATCGGCTGAGCACTGATGCAGTTGCTTATTTTATGCATTATACGAATTACTTGACCTTGCGTTGTAAAAATTTGTTGACACTTTGACATGAAGTAATATTTTTTTGTAAATTCTGGTAAAAAAAAAAAAGTCTGATTGAATTCATGTAAATTCAAAATTTAAAGTTATATTTCAAAAACAGGGGAAAACTTCCAAGGGGGTGAATACTTATAATTTTTTTTTATAGGCACTGTATCTAGAGGAAAAGAATAATAAAACTGCTGCGCAGTAAAATATTTTTAGCCTTCTAACTAGCCTGAACAAAGATGGTTGCTGGAGGATAGCTGGAGAGGATAGCGGTTAAAAGAGACTTTAAGGATTGTGGAAAAAACTTCACAACAGCACTAAGTGTTGTTAAACAGGCAAGAGTGAAGAGTACCAGGATGTGATCCAGCCTTGGACTACAAGGAACTTAGAGTCTCTATTCATCCAAAACCTCTCTACAGAAAACATTTTCCAGAAGTGATTAAGTGGCAGAGAGATTTAAGTTAATTTTTTTTTCTAATAGTATGAGTCAGTGCAGCTCAAGATAACATAAAGTGGCTTTTTGAATATAACACCATCTTTTTATTCACAAAAGGCAGGATGGAAATAAGATTACAAGATTTCTAGAACCTGTTCTCCATTTCTGTTTGAGGCTACAAACACACCCACGTAATCTCTGATCAAACTGTTGGGGGTCACGTTGCATTGTGGGTAATGTCAGGTTTTCACAAGTGAGAAAAATATGTGGAAGTAAAGCAACATCTGGATTAGCTGCCTCAATATTGACTTTTTTTTTTTTTCCCCCCAATTGTCTATTGTAAGACTGTCAAATGTTATAGGAGTACTTTTCAAATAAATAAATGAAAAATCCAGACATATATTTTACTCCTTCTAGCCTTGGCAGCGATCCATCTGCTATTACTGTGTTTTTTGTTTTGTTTTTTAAACCGTTACTTCACATCATTGTAAAGAAAGTTAGTTCTCAGTGATTTTCTGACTTTAAATAAATAAATGGTAAGTATAAATGGGTTTTTGTGTGTGTGTGTGTGTGTGTGTGTGTGTGTATTTGGTATTCATAACAGTTTGTTCATCGTGAGACCAGATGAGCTTAATCTCTGTATAAACAAGAAAGGAACTGTTCTAAGACAGAAACATCATCAGGTCCAACATTTCTATTCATGAACTGAGCAGGGATGTGTGACTCTTGTCAAAGAAAGAATCACACATTTTTTTTCACACTGATCTGAGATCTCCATTTCTCCCATTATTATTATGGACACCATTTTTAAAAACATAAATAAAATAAGAAAAACCACTGAAACGTATCACAATGTGCACCTTGCAATAACTTCACACGTTTAGGTAGGGGGTTTACTCATTTAATTTATTAAGATGCTACATAGTCCAACCAGGTTGGGTTGTTTTTATACACCAGAGAGACTACTTGACTAGGAATATTAATCTTCTTCTCAGATAGACTTATTTATTTATTTATATACATACAAAACAGTTTCTTGACTGCTTACATTGATCACGGTGATGGTCAGAGACTCCAGGTCAGGCCAGTGTAGTGTGTTTTACAACCAGGCTTAGATCAGTTAGTGTTCACACAGTATCATTTTTGTTTGATTAATCCTACTTGGAGAACCAAATCGGTGGAGTTTACTGCCTCGAGGGCAGTGGTAAAGTTTCATTTTCAGTTACATAAATTAATATTTTCCTTGTGTAAAATGTTTTGGTGCTCCAACCAAGATACATTAAACAAGAACAATTTTCTGTGAGTACTATGTGACCCAGGTCTGATAACCCAAGATGGGACTGTAGCGCAGGTCTGCTCTGCCCTCCCTCTGAGCAGCAAGTCATCCTCAACCCAACAACTTTAGAGATACAGTTGAAACACACGCTCATTTTTACTTTAATCTCTCCACTCAACATGAAAAGATGGTGGATGTTTGTCATTTTTCTTTTCAGTGGACCAAAGGGGAGTACAATCCTGCTTCTTTCACAGCTGTTTACTCATTTCATGTGGACACTGTGGGATAAAATACAACCAACCGCTCTTTTTCCTTCAATAAATGCAAAGTAGAATGATACTCTGCTGCTTTCCCCCCTCAATATGCAAATTTGAAGATGAAACAATTGGAGAATATGTTTTTTGTTTATTTTTGTTGGTTCTGGAAACAGTACAATGTCATGTGGTCCCCTCAAGGCTATAGCGAGGCTGTATGCCTTTCCCTCATTTGCTGTTTAGAAAAAAATAAACTGTATGCTGCAGAAGGATCAAAGGAGAAACACGCTTAACCTTAGTGCATTAAAAATGAACATAACTTCAAATGCAGTGAGGATATAACATTAATGAGCAACAGATAAATGCTTACCAAACACAAAAAACTGAACACAGGCCTGCAGTGGTGTGAGAAATTAAACAATAGCTCACCAGCAGTGGAGAACTGGTGCAGGCGGCTCCAACCACTCAACTCGTTTCTGACATACATTTGCCTCAAACAAAACGTCAACAAATGTATGGCTCAGTAGGAACATATAAGAAAACTAAAAAAGACCTGGAAAAGGCCAAAGCTCATTTGTTAGGACACCGTAACAGGACCTTAGTGTTGCTGATGTTGTCAGGGAAACATACCCATTCGCTCTGCATGCACCTTCTTTCCATTTGTGGTTTCTCACTAAATGTAGCCATGCTTTATGTGTGCATGTGCGTGTGTTTCTCTCTCTCTCTTTCTATATATATATGTGTGTGTGTGTGTGTGTGTGTATATGTATAATTTCTTGTGTGTTTATTTTTTATTTTTATTTATCCTCTTACTCTTAACATTGTTTCGGTGTGGAACAGGTATTCAAAGCATTTCACTGCGTGTTATATCATTTATAACTGTGTCTGTGACCAGTAAAGGCCTTGAATCCTTGAAACTTTTCTCTTTTTTTCATCATTAGGCAAAAATTGCATCATAACCTTTCAGAATCATGAAGTAATTCAGGTGCTGTGAGTGGANTGTATATATATATATGTTAATGTACTGTAAATATACCTCCATCTTGGCCTGAGAATAACTTGCCCCAACAGGTCACAAGGCAAGGCTTTCATCTGCGTGTGTTTCTCTCTCTCTCTTTCTATATATATATATATATATATATATTTATGTATATATATATATGTTAATGTACTGTAAATATACCTCCATCTTGGCCTGAGAATAACTTGCCCCAACAGGTCACAAGGCAAGGCTTTCATCTGGATTTACACAACTGATCTCATCCTCATTTCAGGTAGCAGCAATATTCTTAAATGCTTCAACCCTAACAACAAAAACATACTTAAAATCAACTCATAAAAATGCAACAAAACACATAAGAGAGAAAAAAAAAAAAAAAACAGAAATGTAGTTGTGCAAACCTACAGCCAAATGACATATTATTATCACCGTTATAAAAGCAATTAAATTAGATTCAACAGTCCAGATGCAACACTCTGTGTGAACGCATGCAATCAAACATCCCCCTCTGACAACCAGGGATGTGGTGAGCAGTGAGTGACAGGTGATGGGAATAAGGTAGAGTGAAAATAAAAAGGGTACAAGGAAAGAAAACACCTACGGTTTTGTGTTTCGTACATTTATCAAGGTTGTTCTACAAGCCGATTTTTACAAAGCCTCTGATTGGAGGAGACAGTGTGATAGCCCTGTGTGTAACCCCGACTGTGTGGATCATCTCTCTGGTAAATCCCTTCCTTAAAGGGGTTTTCGCTGGAAGGAACACCTGGATATACTGTACAGTGGGGCGATTACGTATTCATATACATTGGCTCTGGCCTCCGTCGTTTAGAAAAAGAAACAACAATACACTAAAATGACATTCGCACAGTTGCAAACTGACTCAATCGCACCAACACTACCTCGCCGGTGTTAGAAAATCCATTGGTCTGAATCACTAGCGTTAAATCATGTTTCCATCACCCCCACCCACAGAACCAATCATCTGTATACATGAAACTTTGGGAAGAGGGCCAGAATGATTATGTGATGATTACGTAGAGGCAAGACCTGTAACAGTAGGTTTGTTCATAAGATGATGAGTCGATTTTTTCTTTTTTTCTCATACATTACCTTTTTTAAAATTTTTTACATAAATGAGACTGAATCAAAACTAGTACCTCCCCCCACCCAGCAGATATGGCATTTCTGATCCAAAATCCCAGATCCCGTGTTTGTTTTCATCCCCGGAAAGCATGCTGCGGCCGACCACACTGCGCTACACTCTACAACACTAGCTTGCCCACAATGATGCCCACCACAAGGAAGAGCACGGTGAGGGCCACTGTGCGGGCGCTTAACCCTTCCTCTTTTTTCATGCCGACTGAAGTGTGCTGAGATGACATGACGTTACTCTTCCTCATCCGCAGACCATCATCCTCCTGGGGGGTGGGGGTGGGGAGAAAAGCAAGGGTAAAGAGAGTGAAGGAAATAAATGAGAAATGATGAAAGGAAGTGTGTGGGAAGAGGATGAAGGGAGGCAGCGGTAGGAGAGCGAAATGAAGAAAAGGAATGTGGAAATGACACAAACAAGAAATGAAGACAACAAGGGGTTAAGAGACGGTCAGTTTGTCAATCAGTCAATAAGATAAGACAGTATTTATTTATTAGCTCAAAGAAATAGGATCTGCTTAAATCTTCATCTGACCCAATCCCCAGAGGAACGCAGAAGGCGCCAGGCTTTAACACACTTCATTTCCCAGCAGCGGGTGGGGGGGCTCTCTGTTAGTTTAATCTCAGCCGCAGGAGCAGCCAACAGTCGTTCTGCCTCTGGCAAGAACTTAAAGGGGAGGAGGTGGTGTTTGAGGAGGACGACTCTTTCTTGGCCATCTGTGGCGTGTATGTGTGTGTGAGTGTGTGACTAATTTCTAACCAAACCTTTACAAAACCCATGTTTAAACCTTCCTTTATTAATTGTTGTGATTGATGGCGTATTCATTGATTTGTTAAATTGCCTGACAAGCTTCGAATCCCGAGGTCTGCCACTGATCATAGATATGTGCAGTTGTACTTAATACAAGCCTCAATCTTGAGTTACTGTCTTAAAAAAAGACGAAATCCAGCAAAGGGTGGAGGACACCGCTTTGTGTGACTCAACACTTCCACTTAATTAACTTATTTGAATGTGAACATCTGTAGAAAAAAAAACAAAAAAAAACTGAAATAGGACTCTGGGTGTTAAATGATGTCATCTGCTAATTTTGAAGATTGAAATGAAGATGACGTTTTTTATTTAATCAATCACTGGAATAATACTTTGATTAAAGCCTCAAGCTTGACTGGACAACATACAGTAAAGGTGATATAATTGGCAAGTAAATAATTAGTTAGCTGAATGACAAAGATATTTTGTAACAATTAATTATCGGTTAATAATTGGTAATAGCTGAATTGTAATTTTTTAAGCAATAATGGACAAAAATTCATGGGTTTTAGAGACAATGTATATTAACGCACTTTAATATAGCTTCTGGGCTCTGAGAGTAACACACTGTAGCTCTTATTGCCTACGGACACATTAACATGTTGAGCTGTAGACTGAGCACTCAACACTGAGATTCGTGGATGTCCCATTGTAGCTCCTGAAGCCCAGCCAAGATTATGTTTTTATTAAAAAAAAGTAATATTATGCTTTAGGGAAGACGAGCAGTGGCACTCATCATCACACAGCCAAGACCACGTAATTCATGAGTGAGGTAACTGTTTAAACTATTATTTAACCTTGATAAAAGGATGAGATGTGTCAGGGTTTGTATTTACGAGCTGGATTGATTTCCTCGGGGAAACTCTGCGCATCCTTTATTATCTATGTAAACACCTGTGTCTTTAGTTTCTTGGAAATAGAGCAAAATTAAACGCAGAAAAAATGAGTGGACTCTGGTCCTTGCCTCACCCTACTCACTCTGATCTGTTTGTTTTCTTCCCGTAGCCTCTGAGCCTCCATCTGCAGCCGCTTACACTCCTCCATGATCTCCTTTACCACACCGTCATCAAGGGTGGAGCTCAGTGACTTCGCAGGCAGCGCAGAGGACTCTGACTTCAGCAAGCTGGACGAGATCATCTTGTTGGACTCCATGTCATGCTGTAAGTGGGTTACAGAGGGACAAGTTATAATGCAATAAGTTGACTGTTGCTGCTAAAATGTTTCCATTGCGATTCTGACCGATGACTTGGCTGGCACACAGGCACAACTTTGTGTTTATATTTGGGTCTTGTATACTGTAATCACACAAAGAAGTGCAGAAACAGCCTCCTCTTTGCATTTGTGGGTGAGTACCCTTAGGGGTGCTTCTTCGTAAGTGGACCGAACTGGTTTCTATTGGCATTATCTCTGTCTTACGGATTCTGTGGTCCACAGTGCCAACTGGAATCCGTGTGTGTATCGTACAGCTCATAATGAATTGAAAGCAACTACCACAGTTCAGTTTCCCCTCCTCATAGTGTTCACGAAGTCAGTAGACTAAGCTCCTACTGTGACGAAACAATGTCTGTACAGCTAAGACGAATCAGAGCTGGAAAAGAAATCACAACAATAATAATCTGCAGACTGCAAGACTGAACAAAGTGACTTTCTGAAGGCCTGCTGATCTCAAGTAGTGTTGCTGAGGCAGTACGAGAGATGTGGAGGTGGTGGAAAGTGGGACAAGATGGAGAAGTTGACAAAGAGGGAAACGCCGAAACGTAAAAACTTTAATAGAAAAGATGAAAAGCGATAGAAGCTGGGACAGTATCAGAGCGCAAGAAGAAGAGGAGAGATGATGACAGAGATGGGATCTGTGAAAAAGACAGAATAAAGAAGGCACATACAGCGGGGTAGTAAAGCGATGGGGAGCTGTAAAAACAACAGTACACATCAACACCCCATAAATAATGCAACCCCTCAATGGACAAATATTAACAGGTAAACAAATGTTGTACTGTAGAAAAAAAAGCAATCAAAGGTATTGTTGTGTGATGTTATAACAGTTCACTAGATAATAAATGACATATTGACTATTTAAAATACACAGTAGTTCTCTCCTTAGGACAACTACTTTGATTTAGAAGATAATAGAAAGATGCAATGTGATGTATATTTCTCATTAACATCCGATCTGTAGTGACAATCAAAACTTGCAAGATGAGGACAACAGAAAAGTACATGTGCTTACCGCTTTTTCATTCTCCACTGGCATCTCAAAAACACACCTCAGCTTGGAGTCCATCAGCTCTTCCGTCTTAGCTTCCTTCCACTGGAGACACAGGGAAAAGAAAAAAAACGCATCAACACATGATTGCTTTTAAAGCAACGTCTTGTGCAACAAATGTATTAATAAATAAAGGCAAAGAAAGTGTGAAAAAATGGTTTGAGATGTAACAGAGCAAGAACAACAGATGGACTGTAAGAATGTTGTTAGCTTCTGAATGCACTTCACAAAAAAAGAAAAGATGATTCCATGTTTTGTGCTTTGTTTTTAATCAGTAAGATTGTTTTTATTCCTAATTATTTAATTTATTTTTTGTCTCTACAAAAACATTAATCATGGCAATGATGAAGAGATTAAAAAAAGTAAATGTACCCAATTTTGACAAACAATATCTGTCTAAATGTCTTTTTTGTTTACAAGATATAATAGACATTTTAAAGAAAGATTAAACAAATAACATTAGGTTCATGAGCTACCTTCCTTCAGTAAGTACACTACTGTCCTTTCTATTAATTTATGATCAATATGCTGTCTATCTTTGAAAGCACACACATGAAGACCTTTTTATTTAGCCTTCTCATTTTTACATAGTCTGCCAGTGACTAACCAATTCCAGTGCTTGTTTTCATGGTTTACAAAAAGCATCAGTTTGGACTTATGAATATTGCACGATTTATGAGGGTGACACACTATGTCCATGCCAGTGTGTCCTTGGTAAAGTAGGTGTACGCTGGAGTTTAGAAATACTGAAAGGTACATTTTAGATAGTAATCAGAAATGTATGTTTTGCTTTTATCAAAAGAGTGCTGCAAGACTCTCTGTGTGGTTTAAACATGGTACATTTGGCAAGCTTCATGAAGCTTAAAAAAGGGTCACAAAGGCTAATGGAAATTCCCTAAACTGTCTTGTAATGCAAAATTTACCAGTTTACATCTCATACCAAATGGAGGTAAACTTTTCTTGGAATTACGCACTTAAAAGTTGGAAATACATGGGTCAAATGTGTGTGTGTGTGAGTACTGCTTTCTCCTGTACTAATTTCTGTAGTACTTCTTCAGGTGGTATTAAATACTAATTGTGCCCTCAGTCAACATGCATTTTTTTTCCCTTTCATCAACAACTAGACTATTGTCAGAGAGACCTACTCTGTCCATTGTTCCTTGGCTCCACATCTCATGTGAAACAACAATGGACCAACATTCACGACAATGAAGACTTCAGTCTTTCTCTGTTGTGCTCCTCTTACAACCCACCTCAAGAATCCTTTTTTAAGTCAAACCTTTGTTCAAGTCACAGGCATGCATGATAACCCACTGGAGTTTAGACTCTGTCTCAGTACAGCGTCTCTTTTGCATATGTTGCTCAGGTTGACTGTATCTTCACACACTGTCACAATAGTATACTATTACAAAATCTACCACACCAAAATCTCAAGATGTTTTTTGGCGCATTAATAATGATTTACTGTACATATGTTGGCCAGTGATCGCAAAGATGGCTCTCAGACCACACAGACCGGTATGACTAAACTGTGCACAATGTGTTTTTTATTGCTGTGTGTCAGCACTATGATGCAGGCCTGCATCCAGACTGGGAGATGCAGATCAACTGCCTCGTTCCTTATTCACTGCATTTCTGTCCTGTTAAAGGAAGAGTTAATCCTAGTCTCGGCCTGCGTGAATGACTGTGACACATCTGTGTTCAAGGTGTTTTTGTTTTGCCGCATCTGCACACAAACATACAGCAACAGTGATGAAAGATTAGATACACTCACCACTCCCTCCATGTCCGTCATGTCAGGAGGTGCTAGCATGGACTGGACCATGAACTTGTGTTTGCTCTTCTCATTGGGGTCGTAGTCAAAAGGCTGCAGCATAACTGAAATACAACATGACATATGTCATTGTCAGCACAGGAAGGAAAACATTTACCCTGTTCACCTAAGGTAATGATTTTAGAATATTTTCTCTTAGCCTGGATTTTTTTCTTTGGTCTTAATAATTTTTTACAGGGCTATAAAAGCACAGCTAAACTATAAGGCTCTGTAGGATTGTTAAAATGACTTGTGACTGGTTCTGAGGTGTTCTGACTGCTCACGTGGTAAATCTGAGAAGAAAGTTAATGGGGCAGGAAAGAAGAAAAATGCTATTGTTCAATTTTTTTATTGTATTTTTTTCCCTAGAATTTACTGCTTAATTTTTCTGAAAAATCACACACACACTTATGGAAGTAAAGAAGGATGTAACAATCTGAATCTTACAAGACCTAACTGTAAAATGCAACCACTGCTGAATACTTGATAAGGACATTTACTATGCCTACTACTTACATTTTTTAGTATAGTACTGAAATACTTCACTTTGACAACCATTTCACAGAATTTTTGTAGTCACATTCTCACAATAAAAATTGAAATAGGTAATTACCAAACATATAATCTTTTCTTCAAATTCTATAAATTTAAGTGTTCAATTTTAAGTGGTCAAACCTATTTTTTTTTTTTCTTGAACCTGGGCAAAATTAAACAATTTGAGCAACCTCAATGCAGTTTGTTTTGTTGTTTTTTTTAAAATTTTTGTACTAGAGGGTCAGAAAAACTACTTAAAATCAAGTGGGGAAAAAAACAAACAAAAAAACAGAACATTTTTAACTATCAGGAAAAAAGGAACTCTTATACCAAACAGGCAATTCTCAGAATAAAATATGACAAAATTATACAAAACTGTGAAATTCAGTTATTCAGTTGCTACATTAAATAATTATATATTCAACTGCTTAAAAGGTTCAACATAGTACTACTATTATTAGCTTCTCTACATATTTGACCTGTATTTAGAGGTTGCAAATTTAGGAAAAGTAAATAAAAGAAAAGAAGTAAAACATTGCAGAGTTGTCATGAGGTCACGTATGATATGGCTACTGTGAAGACAGTAGTGACTATAACACATAGACTAAAAATTGTATATATAAAGTATATATTTGACTTTAGTTAACAGCTAAAACTCTGTAATAATACGACACATGCACATACAAAGACTGCACCCCATAACACTGGGTAAACAAGATTGATATGATCATTTTGTTTTGATATGACACACTCAGTTTTATTTTCAAATTTTTCAAACTTCAACTTCACTTCCCATCCTCAAGGGAGTCTGGAAAATACATCAAAGTGTCTTGTTAGTTTCATTCCAAGAAACTGTGGCAGACAGGTAGAAACGCAATATGATTTGTGGGTGAAGCTCAGCAATAAAAAAAATCTGGTGTTTCAAATATAAACATTATGATTAGGCCCTTGTTTTGTCTTTGGTAGCAAGTTTCCATCACTTTCATTTTCCCCACTCATGTTCATTCCTCAGATTAAAGAAAAATGAGTGAGTATCAAATAACCATGTATTTGTCAGGCTGTAATCTTGGGCCTTCATGTCTTCAAGGCTATGAGGTTGCCCCTGCTGCTTGGAAAAAGTGGTGGAGATGAATTATTTCGATGTTCGTGTTACCATGACGGCGAAACACTGACGGATGTACAAATACCCCAGGGGGTAATGTTTCTAACAGCTTCTAACTCTGTCTTTTTTCTTTAACATTACATATCGTGCTAACAAAAAGCAGGTGTGGAGTTGGAATACTACTTTAATCCATCACCACATCAGTCCTCTCAGTCAGCGGTGTGTTATTTGATGTTATTCCAGTGACTGAGAAGATATTTTAGAGCTGTAACAATGATTTACAGTGATCACTTTCTTATGTCAGCGCATGGGGTTTGGAAGTGAAGAAAGGATGAAAATAGCTATTGATGGTTGATCATTTCCTCCTCTGACTGCACGATTTAAATCAGGATGTAACTGAAATACATATTTTGAAATCAGCACCAACTACATCCACAATGCTCGCATGATTTTGTGACTTTGACTGGAAACAAACGGGCTAATTTCAAAGCTGGTGTAGCTATCAGGATGGTTTTCATATATGGCACATGCCAATTCTCCCTAGAGTGGAAAACCTCATGTAGTGCACTATTACAGCAATCAGTGTAGTTCAATATTGCAAATCAGAAACAGACGGCAAGAACAGATTGAGAACGTCCTGTTTCCGTCAGACCCAATTTGCATGGCCATCTACCTTGGGTCCAAAGGGACAATACTAGAGAATGGAGGCAGGAAAGCATTTAAGTACTTTGTGCAACACTGAAAAACATTAAAAGGTTGAAGCCAAAGCTTGAGATGGAAAACATAGCTACCATTGGTGAAAAAGTGACTGAAATCATTTTTGATCTACAGCCTTTGACAACACCTTTACAAAGGGCTGTACTGCTAATGGCATGATTTAGTATTCTTAGTTCACACTGGGCAATCATTTATAAAGCTCACAGAGGCTAATTGTAGTCAACACGGTCAAACAGGATGGTAATCGCCTGCTTTCTTGTTGATGATGAATGGAACCATTAGAGGGGTGAGGGAGGGAGGTAAAGAAACTTTCCTTTCCTGTCACTGATTAATTGTGTCCCTTGAGAAAGGATGCTCACAACAGAATTACCAGCAACTACTTCATGTTGATGTGCTTACAAAGGTTGACCATGGTGCCTGTACAAAAAATGATCATTACAGGCCCTGCAGAAAATGTAAGGATTTATGTTAATCTGCTAATAACACATCTTTTTTGGTCCATAAAATTTGTAGAAATAGTCATGACTACCTATCACTATTTCCTACAGGTCAAGGCGATGTCTATAAATGTCATGTTTTATCAGATGACAACAGTAAAATCCAAATATATTCCATCTGCATTCATATTTAAGCAGCAGCAAAGCATCAAATCATAATATTAACTATCACAAATATTTACATTTTCTGTCAGTAAATGTCTCAGCTTTATTCTAATTATAGACAAAACCACTGTGTCATGATGCAATATGGTATAAAGAAAAAATAACAAGTGCCTGAAAATGTGCTCTACATTTCAAAAAGTATTATGTCAGGCAGTTTCAGTGAAAGTATCAAACTTAAGACTTTCTTGCTTCTGACCCACTTTAAGGGAATCCTCTGCAGTATATTTCAGAAAACAATAGCTGTGTTTGACAATATAACAAAAATAAAGAAACAAATTTGGTGGCAGAACACGGTGCAATATCTCACTTTAATAACCAAAGCACTGCACTGCTCAGTGTATTCTGAACAAGATATGAGGTGAATTCAACACCAGTGTGACACAATGTGACATGAAACAAGATATGATATGATACATTATACCATAACATAAAGCTCAGTGCTACACCCGTATCTATAACAGCAACCTCGTCACACCGGTTCAGAGAAGCCTGACATATAATAGGGTGCTCCCTGGCCACTTTGTGTTGTATTCCTCAACACAAAAACCTAGTCAAAGATCAGCAAACCTACTGAGACAATATAGCATGGGAGTAAGAATGAGAGTAAAGTCAAGCAGAGATGTGGAGATACAAGCCTGGAGGGACAACTCACCAGGATATAAGGCAAACTCATAAAAAGTATTCATATTCAGACCTCTCAGGGTAGCAAGCTCTCACACTCCTGATTGTGCTCTCCTGTGTCTGACAAAAAGAAAAAAAAGTACACATGCCACCAGGCTTTTGTCTGGGTGAGAAACAACATATAAGTCAACGGCACTTCAATTCACCACACATGTGAAGGAAACACCCACCACTAAGAGATCGAGTTTTGTTATAAGAACCTAACTGGTGGGCAAAAGAGCTAACGTAGCTTCTGAATATTAGAAAAGATCACTCATGGCCACACATGCTCAAAGCCATGTGTGGCTTTTGAGCAGAAGTCTTTTATGAATATGGACTCAGACGTCAGTCAAAATAAGAGAATCAGGTTTTTGTGCATTCACTACATAGGCATGCAGGAAATGAGCGAAAGGACAAAGTAATGAGGCTAATTTAGATAGCTGCAACAACAAAATGGTTACACTTTATTGTGGGAAGGTGTTTTGCTTTATGTCTTCCCTGCTATGGTAACATGTCCAGAGTATGTTAGACGAAGCCATGACATATTCCCACAATATGCTCAATATTTGTGGACACAAGGATTTTTGAAACATTCATGCCACATATTTTTTCCACTGGATGCTGCTGCTACATAATACCAATCAAGCTCAGCACCATTCCTGTGGTCATGGCTACATTCAACATATACAGTTACAGCCGAGCTGAGCTTCAAAAGCACTGTTTGTATCCTCTGCTAAGCCAGCAAATGACACTTCATGGGTTTGTAGGTATCCAGTGGCATACTGTTCTCCCTCACCCCAATGCCAGAGGATGTCTGTGCAGCGTTTGTGCTGCTTTGTAAGAAATTACAGGCTAGAAATGTAAGACAAACCTAGCTGCAACAACGAACAGATCCAATGCAATCTTCTTAGGAAGAGACGACAGATTGGTGGTACAAACAAAACAATACTTTTTGCCCAAATACCTTAATGTATTTTGAGAAAGACAATTTATGATTTCAGAATGTCTTCACACAAGAACATTTCCAATTAGTAATGTTGGTCTAACAACCAAGATGCATTTTTTTCCCATTGCTAAAATAGTCTGGTGTGTTCAGAGTTGCAGCTTTTAAGATGAGACAGAAAAACACTTAAAGGCACCTTATGGTGTCTTGTCTTGTAAACAAACAAAACTGTTGGTTAAATCTAGTAATAAACAAAACACGGTGTGTGTGTTCTTGAAGTCTAACAAGACAAAAAATTGCAAAGCTGGTTTTTGAAGGTGCTAAAAGCTGTGTTGGCTAAGTTCATTTGCTTACTACATTTTCTGTACATTACCACAATAGATTTGAAATAAAACAATCAAGACATACTTTACCTGCAGACTTTCAGCTTTAATTTGAGGGTATTTACATCCAAATCATTTAAATAGTGTAGGAATTACAACACATTTTATATGTGCCCTCCACCTTTTCAAGGGAACAAAAGTAATTGGACAATTGGCTGCTCAGCTGTTCCATGGTCAGGTGTGTGTTATTCCCTCATTATTTCATTTACAAGAAGCAGATAAAAGGTCTAAAGTTCATTTCAAGTGTGGTATTGGCATTTGGAATCTGGTGAGGTCAACTCTCAATATGAAATCCAAAGAGCTGTCACTATTTGTGAAGCAAGCCATCATTAGGCTGGAAAATCAAAATAAACCAATCAGAGAGATAGCAAAAACATTACGTGTGTCCAAACCAACTGTTTGGTACATTCTTTTAAAAAAAGAACGCACTGCTCAGCAACGCCGTAGGACGCGGAAGACAATGAAAAACAAGTGTGGTGGATAACCGAAAAATCCTTTCCCTGTTGAAGAAAAATCCCTTCACAACAGTTGGCCAGCTCAAAACAGTCTCCAGGAGGTAGCATATCTGTGTCAAAATCAACAATTACAGTGTTTTCACCATAGCTAAAACTGAGGGTTCACCAAAAGGTGTAAACCATTGGTGAGCCTGAAAAACAGGAAGGCCAGATTAGAGTTTGCCAAAAAACACATCTAAAAGAGCCTGTGCAGTTCTGGAACAACATCCTATGGACAGATGAGACGAAGATCAACTTGCACCAGAATGATGGGAAGAGAAGAGCATGGAGAAGGGAAGGAACTGGTCAAGATCCAAAGCATAGCACCTCATCAGTGAAGCAGGGTGGTGGAAGTGTAATGGCATGGGTATGTATAGCTGCCAATGGAATTGGTTCTCTTATATTTATTGATGATGTGACCGCTGACAAAAGCAGCAGGATGAATTCTGAAGGTTTTCGGGCAATATTGTATGCTCATATTCAGCCAAATGTTTCAGAACTCATTGGATGACAATGGACAATGACTCAAAGCATGTTGCGAAATCAACCAAAGAGTGTTTTAAGACAAAGAAGTGAAATGTTCTGCAATGGTCAAGTCAGTCACTTGTTCTGAATCCAATTGAGCATGCATTTTCACTTGCTGAAGATAAGGGAAAATGCCCCAAAAACAAGAAGGACCTGAAGACAGCAGCAGTAGAGGCCTGGCAGACCACCACCAGGGACAAAACCAAGTGTCTAGTAATATCTATGGGTTTGAGACTTCAGGCTGTCACTGGCTGGAAAGGATTTGCAACCAAATATTAAAAGTGACAATTTGATTATGATTATGTTGCTCTGTCCAGTTACTTTAGGTCCCTTAAAAGGATGGAGGGCACATATAAAATGTGTTGTAATTCCTACATTGTTTATCTGATTTGGATGTACATACCATTAAATTAAAGCTAGAAATCTGCACTTAAAGCACATTTTGATGGTTTCATTTCAAATCCATTGTGGTGGTTTACAAAGCTGAAATTCTGAAAAATGTGTCAATGTCCAAATATTTATGGACCTGACTGTATGACAATCTACCAGCTGATATTTAAATAGTAACAGGTAGTAGAGGTAACACTAAGTGTGCAAACTTTAATTCAGTCTTTTGAAAGTGTTTTAAAGTGTAACGTAATGTGCATTTACATCACATTAGGATTCAGCCATAACAAGTCAGGTCAAACATGTTTTCTTAGTCACAATTATTTACGATTATTTATTTGATAATTGAAGACGACATAATCAGCAAGCCCCCAATGAATCACCACCTTATCGCAGTAGAGGGGTTTGAGTGTCCCTGTGATCCTGGGAACTATGTTGTCCGGGGCATTAGCCCCTGGTAGGATCTCCCAAGGCAAATTGGTTCTGGGGAAGGGACCATTCAAAGACCCCTGATGACAACTAAAAACAGGAAAGCTGCCACCTCACCTGGATTAGGGAGACTGGGGCACCCTCCTGGAGCCAGGCCTGGGTGGGGGGGGAGCTCGCCGGGGAGCATCTGGCAGCTGAGCCTTGGGGCCCCAAAGAAGTAACACGGGGTCACTGCCCAGAGGGCCCACTACCCTCAGGGCAGAAGATCGGGGTCAGGTGCTATGCCCACTGGGTGGTAGGCAGGAGCGGGCGGCCTGGAGTACCACCCCCCTGGTGGCGTAGACTACCTCTGGGGACGTGGAGCGTCACCTCATTGGCGGGGAAGGAGCCTGAGCTGGTGCGGTAGGTGGAGTGTTACCAGCTAAATATAGTCAGGCTCACTTCCACGCACAGCAAGGGCTCCGGAACCAAACTCCTGGAGAGGGGTTGGACTCTCTCCTTATCTGGGGTTGCCCATGGTGAGAGGCACCGGGTGGGTGTGGGGATACTCACAAGCCCCCGGCTGAGCGCCGCCTTGTTGGAGTTCTCCCCGGAGAGCAAGAGGGTCGCCTCTGTACGACTGCGTGTTGCAGAGGGGAAAACTCTTACTGTCGTTTGTGCTTATGCACCAAACGGCAGTTCAGAGTATCTGGCCTTCTTGAAATCACTGGGTGGTGTCCTGGAAGGGGTGCCGCCTGGGGACTCCATAGTTCTCCTGGGGGACTTCAATGCTCATGTGGGCAATGACGGTAAAACCTGGAGGGGCGTGATTGGGAGGAACGGCCTGCCTGATCTAAACCCGAGCTGTGTTTTGTTTTTGGACTTCTGCCATAACAAACACCATGTTCAAACATAAGGTTGCTCATAAGTGTACCCAGTACCAGAGTACCTTAGGCCAAAGGTCGATGATCAACTTTGTAGTCGTATCATCAGATCTGCGGCTGTACGTTTTGAACACTCGGGTGAAGAGAGGAGCAGAGCTGTCAACTGATCACCACCTGGTGGTGAGTTGGATCCAATGACGGGGAAGGCTGCCAAAAAGACCTGGTAAACCCAAACATGTAGTGAGGGTGAACTGGGAACGTCTGGCGGAGGCCCCTGTCCATGGGGTTTTCAATTCCCACCTCTGGAAAAGTTTCTCCTGCATCCCGGGGGAGGGTGGGGACATGCTGTCAGGACTGTCATGGCTGACACGTCTCTTCAATGTTGCGTGGGCATCGGAGACGGTGCCTATGGAGTGACAGACCGGGGTGGTGGTTCCCAATTTCAAAAAGGGGGACCGGAGAGTGTGTTCCAATTATCAAGGCATCACACTTCTCAGCCTATCCAGGAAAGTTTACTCTAGGGTGCTGGAAAGGAGGCTCCGACCAATTGTCGAACCTCGGATTCAGGAGGAGCAATGCGGATTCCATCCTGGACCAGCTCTTTACCCTTGTGGAGCTGCTGAGGGGGGCATGGGAATTCAACCTGCCAGTCCACAGGTGCTTTGTGGATCTGGAGAACGCCTATGACCGTGTTCCGAGAGGGACTCTGTGGGGGATACTGAGGGAGTTTTACCAGTCCATCTACGTCCCAATCCTGGCTGGGCTCAGCCTCAGAGATAGGGTGAGGAGCTCTGACATCCAGAGGGAGCTCGGAGTAGAGCCACTGCTCCTTCACGTCGAAAGGAGCCAGTTGAGGCGGTATGGACATCTGATCCGGATGCCTCCAGAGAGGCTTCCTCTGGAGGTCTTCCAAACACATCAACCTGGGAGGGGACCCGGGGCAGACCCAGAACCCGCTGGAGGGATTATATATCTCGGCTGGCCTGGGAACGCCTCGGGATCCCCCAGAAAGAGCTGGAAAGCGTCGCCGAGGGGAGGGAAGTCTGAAATGACCTGCTCTACCTACTGCCCCCGCGACCCGACCCCGGATAAGCAGAAGAAAATGGATGGATGGATAGATAATCAGCAAGTGGCGTTTTACATGCCAAATTTAAATGGAACAGAAGTTATGCTGGCTCAAACCAGCACTCTGCTATCTGGGTTTGGATTGCCCCTAGTGATAAGGATGTAAAGCTAACATTAGATTCTTGGAAATACCAGTTAATACTCTACCACATACTAATGAGAAATGGTCTTAACAACTTACCTAAATAAGTGAGATCACCTGTTTAATTTAACAAGGTACATTTACAGCAAGATAAGTTCCCACACCTTACTGTTATCTTTTAGGAGCATGCTTTTGCATTACTATGAAAGCTAGAGTACTTCCTGAAGCCTGGTAGAAAACAAAGTGGTTACAGAACATGCCTATACATTTGCCATTATGACGACTTCCTCAGACTGAAATCTGTGACTCCTCAGAGCTAAATAAGGGTGAAACATGATGGCGACTGACCGAGTGGACTCGGTTTGTCGCCCAGTGCTGACTGCAGGCATCAGTGACACAGTTTGCAGAAGCTGACACCAGATAGGGGAGGTTGTAAAATGATTCTGAGGCTGTAAATGGCAGAGGTGGCATAGTGTGGAAACATTAGCCTGTACCTGTCTCCCTTAAACTGCTCAACTGGGAACGAGGCCTACCAGTAGTGCCTGTGCTGTGGGGACGGGGAAATACTTTGTAATGGGAGAAGAGTTGTGTGTTCATGTAAAAAGAAGAAACCCTTTTATAGGGATACCAGGGATAATAATTTGCCTTCCTTACATACACTGAGTCATGACCACGTGTACTTGTTTTTTTTTGTTTTTTGTTTTTCAAGACACAAATAAACTAACTCACAAGTCACTGCTCTAGTGACTCTGGCAACTAATGATTGTTTTATTTATTGTCTATATATTCTATAATATCACAACAAAAAGTAACCTTCAAGTTGCTCTCTTTAACATTATATTACTAGAGGTACACAGAAAAAACAGTTATCATATTAGAGAAGCTACAACCAAATATTGGCAATAAAAGATGTGTCAGATTCGTGATTTAAAATCTCGAACACATTTTTGGTGGTAAGCCCCTAACTCAGTCCCATTTCTTCAATCCTTACCTGAGACGTTGATTGAGGTGCCTGCATCGATGATTCCACTGTTTGGCCGCACACAGTACCGGCGCGGCGCTGTCGTCTTCACCTTAAAACACACATTCCTGTCTGTAGGGTTGGAGAGCTTGAGATTTGTGGTGACCACGTCTGAGAATGGACCTGAAAAGATGGCAAACACAGTGGGTACATACAAACTCTGGTTTTTACTGCCTTTGGGAAGTTCATAAAAAACATTATGTTCTTTATTTGATGCTACAATTTCCTCGAGAGGAAGTAACCTTAATTTAAATAGATGCTACAAAAAGGATAAATCAAAGACTGTTGAGGCAAAAAATACAAATCGGCTAAACCTAAAACGACACAAGTCACATTTAATCAGTTAAACCAAGTAAAACTGGGCAGAAATACATTTTAATTTTGATGTTAGCCAAAGACACTGCAATGAGTTATGAGCTCATACACCACAAACATAAATTTCTAAATACCATTCTTTAGTTAGACTGTTTGAATGCCAAATGGTAGGAAAAACTGATACATGAACTGAGACTGATGGAGAATATAACTGGCAGTGGCATACAAACTCAAACAAGCTTGTAATGTGTATGAGCTGCACGATGAAAAACTGACTTATTAATCAAAGCAAATCAGTCAACTGATCAAAATGCAAATTCATCATATGCTGCTTCAGAGGAGCAGCAGTTTGCAAAAAAAATAAAAATAAAAAAGTATCCTACCACAGAGATCATTATGTAAAATTAAAAGGAAAATTAAAATATGTTTCACAGTACGGAAGAAAGATGGGTTGGATTCATATGACTGAAGAAAGATTGGTTGGATTCATTTGACTGAGAGGATAAAATACATGGTGCTAGTACAAGTGACACATTTTTGCCACATATTTCACAAAGATTTCACTAAACCTAATTTTTGTGGTGTAAATACAAAGCAAAAAACAAGCTAATGAGACTTTTTTCAAACCAAGGAAAAATCACAATAAACTTGTTCACTAACCTCAGAGTAAAGCCAATTAAAATGTGCAATGTGCAAGCACAATTACACGTGGTCTATCAAAGTCTAACTGGAAGTGACTTTACAACAATAAATAAGATATACTACCCAAAATTTGGACATTGTGCCACCTTATTTATTTGACCTGACCTATGGATTAACAGAGTTTTAATGCAAAGTAATGCAGGTTTTTAACTCGTTCGACTGGAAACTGTCCTCAAAATAAATAAGCCAACTCTGTTTTTATATCAAACAACAACAAATAATATGACTTAGTAACACAAAGAGGTTTTTCATCAACATTACTTTCAAGGTTGATATTGACAACTGATGTCTACACTATTGTCTGAATTAAGAAAAGCAATTACAATATCAGGTTTTTTTATATACTATGAAGAGTAAATTGTGTGTGTAAATCTATAAATCAGAGGCTTCAAATAATGCACCACTAAAAGCAGACAGGCTAAGGCAAATTGGTTTCACCTAATTACAGCTATCATTGTAGACGCAAGCCACATATCTCACTAAGGATCACATAAGGCCAGCTGCATTAAGCTGCACAGATTTGTCGATAATGCAGAAAACCTTTATAAAAAGCCACAGTAAAATAACACCATGGCAAATCTAAAAGGTGAGCTCAGGTTAAGTGAATTATTTATCCAGATTGGAGTAATAGACTCTGAGTGTTTCTACAGGGTAAGTTAAGTCATTAATCTTAAATTAATTTGCAAAATGATCCTTTTACACTGAACTCATGTCCTTTCAACACTCCATGTTTCTGTTATGTTATGTTTCCACAGTCTTAACCTCTTTGTAAAGCTTCCGGTGATTTGCATTGGTTATGAAACTACGTAGGAGATCTTAAAAAATGTCTGAAGTTAAGAGAGTAAAGAGAAATTAGGTCACAAAGGAGGGGAAAGGTGGAGGAGGAATAACCAGCAAGTTCACATACCTGTGACAAATCACCCCATTTAGCCTGACTACTGTATTCTACAGTGCAGGAATTCTTCAGTTTAGACAACTAAATCAAATAGAAACTACATATTAGGCAATATATGGTCTAGAGCCCAGTACTTAAGTTAAACTAAAAATGCGCAATCACTACTGAGTGAAGGAATCCCTATGACAGAAGTCCCTCAGCAATCCCTCAAGAACTTTAAGTGGGTTTGCAAGCCGAAGTAAAATATTGTGAATTCCCTCATAGCTCACATCCTGACAAATGACTTGCTAAATCAGTTAGCTGGCTAGCTACCTTGTAAACATTAGTCAAGCACCCTAACCATGGAGAGTCTGGTTATCCATGGGGACAGGCAAGGATGTCTGTAAGCTTCTTGGTCACTTTTCAAGCTTGCTAAGCAGCTGTTTTTGTTACCTTCTACAAAATACACCAGTTCAGTCAAACAACATAGCCTTCACTAAATATTAAGAAAAGGCTAAAGAAGCAGCAACAGCTGACTATTAGGGTAATAGTTGTTGGGATGAAAATCAATCAGTCCTTAGGGGAAAGTGTTGTTTTGTCCTTACCAATCAGCAGTGACTGACATATTTGTCACATTGAAATACTTTTAAGAAAGTGGTAGTTTTTGCTTGGGAGAGGGCGTGTTTATCACAGCTGATGGAGAAATATGCCGATTTAACAGTCAAGCTCATCCATGAATATCTAAATTTAGGGGAAATGTTGGAGCTGCTTCTTTGGCTCAAGCACAGAACATCTTAACCCCACTGCAGTCTGCAAAGAGCTGATTGGCACGGTTGTCTTCTCCAGCCTGAGTGATGGATATCTATTAGCACAGCACCAGACTTGTTTGAATTGCTGCATGCATAACATAAGATTTGTCAGCGATTCTGAGGTCCAGAAGCACCAGACACTCATTAAGTACATTTATTGCTCTCGCATTCAACACTCACTACAAGAGCAAGTAGCACCTAACACTTTGATTCATCCTAAAATGACAAATGACGTGAATACATATTCACATCAGTGTAAGGTTTTCTATTCACTTTGCTGGTAATGACATTAACAGAAAAGTAAAATCTGCTGAAAATTAGGGCTCTTGCATGAATGCAGTAACACAAGCACTGACGTGCATAAATGTAATCTGGCTAATGCATTGACCCTGGAGAAAGCCCAGAGTCTAATGAGTCCTTTTTGATGTTATAAGCACATTACACATATTGTAGGTTGTGCACCCTCATTGCAACAAATATCATTTTCTGTATAACTTAAGCATCCCCTGACAAAACAACAGTGTTACATATCATTACTTTATTCCTGTTATTTCTGGCAACAGTTGCTTTATTGACGGGAGAGAAACTGTACTGCGATAGCTAACTGGCAAACGTTAGTCACTCCTGTGTTTTTCCAGTACCTCTGGTGAGAACAGAGCTAATTCATAGTCAAGCGAAGGGCGATGACAAATGAATGTATGACTTCCCAAACTTAGTGGATACTGTGCCAATACCACACACTTTACAGTCAGACTTACGGAAACCAAATTTAATTTTGAAACTTTACAGTATCATTAAAAACCATGAAAAACTAATATTGTAAATAAATGATCCTGTCTGTAAAGCAGGTCCAAATTTATTTGCAGTCAATGTTTTCTTTCACTCTGCTGTCGTAAAACTTGTTAATTTCATATGCATCATAATTAGTGACATGCCAATATGTCAGCACATCGTCTACAATGGCTGATTGGGATTTTGATGGTCTGGTGATGTTATTTAAATTGCAGTAAAAATATCTTTAAGAAAAGCACAACTCATGACTTCCGAAAACTGTTAGCTGTGAAGCTATTTGTTGACCAACTTCTAGTCATTCAGATTACCTTTTAACTTTGATCTCATTCTAAAATTACGAAACCACAGAGATAAGCCAGAGCTATTTGTTTTATTATGTATAGTTTTCTGACAAAGCAACAAATTAGCCTACTACAGTAGCTACTACGGTTAGGATAAAGTTAGCAGTTGAGAGAAGCACACTCACTCTGCATGAAAACATGGAGCTATTTCAGAATTAGCACATACACCAGATTCAAGATAAAGTTTCAGCTCAGCAAACATCCAGAGCAACTGACACTTCCCTTCCCTGTTGAGCAAAGACAGAGAGGAAATTCAGACCCTCACAAGCTTGGCTTGACATCTAAAGGCCTTTAATGAAAAGGACTCACGCCACCGACTACTGTACACCTGATCTACTACTTCCTGAAAGTTTCTCAGGATAGCGTCCAACTCAAGAAAACCACAGTAGCTCTAAAAAACTGTTATGAGAAACTGATATTTGAAGCTGTCATCTTACAATGTTGGATTTTATTAATAGCAGATCAAGAGTGGGGAGTTTTAGGTAAAGACTTATTAATATCAACCTTGATGAAGATGAAAATTAATAAAAATGAAAAACTCCAGTGCTTAACATTAAGGAGTATAAGGTCCACAGATGGTTTGAGCCAAGGCCAAGTTTCTACTAACAGACCGACTGTCTATTTCCTGAGGTTTCACACTGCATGCCTACATATTACTTAGGGTCCAAGTATAGGCATGTGATTTGTGGTATTGTCTAGTATACAAATACACATAGTTCCATTTGTCTGGTTAACAACAAAGCAACAACACATATGGTTAGATGGTTTATATACAGTCCCATGCAAAAGTTTTTGGGCTTTAAGAGTCAGTCATAAAGAGTCGTAAAAAAAAATCCTTCAGAAACAAGAACAAGGAGTCCTGCAACAGATGGTATGGCCCCCTCAGAGCCTTGATCTTAACATCATGGAGTCAGTCTGGGATTACGTAAAGAGACAGAATCAACTAAGACAGCCTAAATCCACAGTAGAACTGTTGTCCAGGATGGTTGAATATAACTGCCAAACACCTTGAAGACCAATCACAGATGTACCTTGGAGAAATAGTGCTGTTTCAAAGGGAAAGGGTGACAAATATAGTTTTTTTTCTGTTTACTGCACTTTGTATGAAGTTCAATGATAAAGCTAAACTTTTCATTGCATTATTTTTGAAAGTATCTGCCCTTAACATTTGCACATTACTGTGTATTTACTGTGCTAATTCCTGATCGGCGAGTACATGTCCATTAAAATCATGTGATAGAACATCTCAAACATGTCCCCATTTATTAGTTCTAAGTGCAGGTAACCATAGCAACAGTGCTTCTGCTTGATGTTAAGTTGCCAGTTAAAATATGAAGCTGGCAATATATATTTACATTTGAACATTAAATGCACAACTTCTATTTTAAGCCGTCAAAAAATGACGTGCTTGTAATCTCATTTGTGGTGTGATCAATCAAATCAGTTTGTTGGGAACTACTGATGTCTAAACCTGATGGCTAATGCTCATCCAACTGCACTGAAGTTCAGTGGCTATTGTGGCAAACGATGGCCTTTTTTTTCGTTGTTGTTTAATTTTGGGGTTCTTTGAGCTTCACAAATAAAACAACACCTGTCGCACTTTATTTGGGGGACCTACAAATGATTTACAAGCATCACTCCTGATCAGAGGCAACGTTTGAATGCTCTTTAGACTACTGAAAACAGGTTACTATCCGTTAACTTCCTATTTCTGCAAGGTGCAATATTTCAGACTGTGGTAGGAGCAATGTAATCTGTTCGTAACGAATACAAGAGCACCATATAAGTTTATGTAACATTACTTGGGCCTAAAGCAACGTGACATCTTGCAGCCAAATACCGAGATTCACTAAGATGTCAATTACCGACTGTAAAGCCCAAACGATAAAGATGCGGGCATGTTAATGACTTGCACCTAAAACATACAGGGTAGCAGAGCTTGCCCAGTTATTCCGTCCTGTGAGCTGTCAAGTTATTAAATGACAGCTGGCTGGGCAACAGAGCGAGACAGCCAATCAGAGGGCGAGCTAATGTTAGCTAGCTAGACCTGCTAAGGATGTTGCAGTTTATGTGCAATGAAAGGTTATGAATTAAGAAGGCAGTAATGCTGTCACATATTTATTATGACTGGTTCTTCCAAGTGGATATACATTCCGTGCGTTGCAGGTGTAAAGTGCTTTAGTGGCAGTTGCTGCAGACAAAAAATATGACAGGGCCTGGCTAGCTTAGCCGCTGGAAGCTAACCTAGCAGCTAGCTAGCTAGCTGCCGAGCTGTCAGTTGACCTGCCGTCCTTTCAGAGCAGCCTTCGTTTTTTATTACGAGGGCAATATAGCCAAAATGTGTACCGCAGCCTCTTTCTAGTTTGGTTACCTTAACACTGCTCTGCCCCCCTCCCCAACCAGCACGCACTGCTGGCAGAGGCAGCTCCCCCCTCCCGGCCACAGCCGGGCCCTCCCCTCTTACCTCGGAATTTCAGTTCGTGCTGAGGCTCCAAGAGCAGAACCTGTTCCGGCCTGGCCATATCCCAACAGCTGGAGCGGGGTTATCGCACTGCAACCAGTTCCTGTCGGTTACCCCCGTGTTAGGATGCTGTTGAGTGCTGCAACGTCAGTGGAGGTATTTTATCAATGAATTAGCGGTGGATATCCCGTCCCCCCGGTCACTAGTGCTACTCGAGCTACTAACGGCTGTTGTGATGCAGCAGGAAGGGAGTGAGAGGCAGCCGGGTGACGTCACTGCCTCTGCATAGGAGGAGGAGGGAGGGTGAGAATGGGTGATGCCGGGGTGCACCCAGGGCTGCTGGGGCCACCACCTCAGTTTAAAGGTAACCTGAACCCAGCGGAAGGACGTGGCTGAAACATGCAGGTTTTTAGTTCAGCATCTAAGTTTAACCACTGTGGCGCCCTCAGATGAGGAAGGAGCAGACTCTACCAGTACACTAATGTTGATAATAATAATAATAATAATAATAATAATAACAATAATAATAATCTCAGCAAAGTATTGTTAGCCAAATATATCCCAGTAAGTCTCAAAACTAGGCTACAGATAGTGCTTTAGCAGTCAAATGTCCCCTGTGGCTGATATCAATAGCATAAAAATACTACTGAAGCATTAGTATGTCAACATTTTTTAACTGGTGACTATTCAGTGCTTCTCAACCTATGTGTCAGGCCCCAACAAAGGGTCACAAGATAAACTTGAGGTGCCATGATTTTTTCTTTTCCTTTTTATTAGTCAGATCATTTTTCAGATCCTGTAACTAACCCTAACATTTCAGTTATTCAAGCTAATTATTTTTGAAATATATATATATATGTATGTGTATATATGTATGTATGTGTATATATGTGTGTATATATATATATATATATACGTGTGTGTATATATATGTGTGTGTGTATATATATATATATATGTATTATTGTAGGGTCATAATTTAATTTTTTGTTGTTATTTATTATTTGTCTCAGGAGATACACAAGGTTGGCGGATTAATCCCCAGCCCCTAAACAGGTGAAGTGTCCTTGGGCAAGACACTGAACCCGAAGTTGCTCCCAATGGCAGGCAGGCGCCTTGCATGGCAGCTCTGTCGCCATTGGTGTATGCATGTGTGTGTGAATGGGTGAATGAGAAACAGTGTAAAGCGCTTTGAGTACCACTAAGGTAGAAAAGCACTGTATAAGTCTAGACCATTTACAAATTACCATTTAGTTTAGCCAGGTCAATGTGTATTTTACATTATATTTCTAGAGTATAAACCATAATATAAAATAGTACTGTAGGGTCTTAACCTTGTTATTTAAACTTGTTAAGTAAATTCATAACACTAATCTATTTTGTCTAAGCACTTTGGCTCAACATCTGTTGTTTTAAATGTGCTATATAAATAAATGGTGACTTGATATGACTAAAATCAAATAATCTGAGAAGTCTAGTCTGCCAAAATTGTTCATGTGTACAAATATTAGACAAATGTAGCATAAAAAGTAATGTCAAAGCAATTTCTCTCTGAAATGTAGTGAAGTAGAAGTAGAAAGCACCATAAAATGAAACCAATTAAGCAAAGCACTGGTACCTCAAAATTGTACTTTATACTTTCTCCTACCTCAGTCAGTGTGAACCTTAACATGAAATAGTCGTGAACAGTACCAACTTGCATCCCCTTCTAACTTGATCTCCAAATAAATATGATCATATATGATCAACATAATGTTGGAGTATTAGTTTAGCAGAGATGGAACATTGGAGAACATTTAAAGGTTTTTAGAGCAGTCTTGTATATGTAGGCTACAGCTAACGCTTTATCATCTTGTTACCATTTTATTTTCACACATGAGGAGTAAAACCAAATCCATAAAAGCTGTTTTTATAAGAATGATACTATGGTGTCACATGTGGTCTCATACTGGACTATGATCATTATCTGAAAACAAAATTAAGCAAGTTCCATGCAAACTTTTAATATTTAAAAACAATCAGTGTTGTTTTAGTAGATGCCCCTGTTTTGGATATCTTTTGCATTTTTTTATCAATATCCATTTTGATAAACATTTATTGTTTTAGAAAAATGTATTTACTGTACTTTGCTTTATATAAAATAATACAAATGTGAATTATAGACTTGTATTTTGGTTTACAGGAATTGTACATTCCACTCAAAAAAGGAGATAAGCCCCATAATGATTTTACCATGTGACACAGCGCTGCACTATGATTCTTCTCACCATGAACATTTTGAGTTATTACAGCATAACAAACACAGGTGTAAATGACAAAAATAATGATGGCTCCATTCCGGTTACATGCATCACTGGGCCAGTATATGCACAACGAGACGCCTCGGGTACCCCAAAACATCTAACTGTGATAGTCAGTCATAATTCATTTTATTGGTTAAGGTAGTTTTTGCAAAGTCAAAATAACATTACAGCAACAGCGTAAAGTGAAACATTATGAAAAGCTCATATTTTCCTGAAGAGAAAAGCAGATCAGTGGCAAATTTCATGTAACTGAAACTCTAGTGGGTTGGCGTGCTTTTAATTAGTTTAATAAATCAATTCATTTTCCACCTGTCTTTTTGCCTCATTTGCACAATGTTCTTCTCACAGAGCTATGTACTGCTTCATTTTATGTGAAATCAATAGAAAGATGTGCATTTAGTTTTTATCGGTGTAATAATTGGTATAACAGCCATATTATGACATTAATTGACCACATAGTTTCTGAGAAAGCTTTTGAAAGAAAGTGTTTTTTTGTTGTTGTTGTTTTTGTTTAAACGGAAAATACAATCACCAAAAGCGTACTGAATAAGCTGAATATAGATTCTGTAACCATAGGGGTTTTGTAGGGGATTAGGAGGTTGTTAAATAGGTGTTCTGCCCTCTCAGCAGTAGTCAAAAGTGCAGCGAAAAGCCCTCTGCCACTCAAACACACATCTCAAGTATCATATTTATATATTTAGCCCTCCAGCTGGCTGCCAACCGAACAACACAACCAATCACCAACAACACTGTTACTGTATCCCCAAGGAGCGCAATGATACACACACTTCTCTTGAGCCCAACGCAAGGGATTGAGAAACTTTGCAAACTCATTCAGACTTTTTTCTTTGTCTCTCTCTCACACACACAGCATTTTGAGAAAACAAATCTTTGTCAATCTTTTATTAGTAAACAACTCACAATTCCCTTTTTACACTTTTGGAATTACACTGCAAACAAGTGTCCTCAGGCATTTTGTTACAATTCATATGAAACGTACTAAAAAGCTAAATATGGTAACTACACTGCTGATGTGTTTTTTTTTGTTTGTTTTTTGTTTTTTTATACTGCAAATGGTGTACAGGTATACTGTGTCCATACAACTGGCTTGGAATATAGTCATTGATTTGTGTGCAATCTGATGTATATATATCTACACTGTAACAGATACACAATATAGATTCATCACATTCCCAGGGCCAGCCCAAGACTACTGATATTTTTCAATGCAAAACTAATGGCACACAATTTGTATTCATGCCTCCTGTTTCCAAATAAGGGAAATCACGTGTGTCATAATTCTCAAATTTTCTAACTTTTTAAGCAATTATGTGATTAGCACTTTAAATCATTATATCACATTGGCAATAATAATAATAAAGGTTAATCATGTGTAGGGGGAAAAAAATGGATTTGACCTCATTTGGCACCACATTCCTCATCGCAATAAGAGCTGAGAAAACAGTCAAAACCTAAAACAACATTAAGGGATGTTAAGAAGTCTGAGGCTTTACAGGATTATTTCATCAAATGATTTCACAGAGATAATAACAGACTGCAGACAGAGTGTTAGTTAGTAATGTGGGCCAATTAATACAAAGTGCAGCTTTCAAAGTACCAGAGTGATTTGCCTTTTTAAATGAATTTGCTGAAGCTGTGGTAAATACTAGCTGGGGTTGGCATTATGATGTAGTGCTGGATAAATTATCAAAGACAGCAGAGTGAATTAAAAGTTTAGATTTTCTCTGGTTTTCAAGGCGGATGGTTGGCCCAATCACACCGCTCATTTAATCCACTATGTCAGAGCTAAATTATCATCAAATCAGCATAAAATGAGGTCAATACAAACCTGTTATTATCATCTGTTAGAGGCTGAGGGAATGAGATCACGTTTTTGCACAAGTGTTTCTCTTAACCGTGTTCTTGTAACAGATCACATTTTGAATTTGTTGCAGTAAAAACTATTGCACTCCACAGGAAAATCCTGAAAAATAGACAGCATTGCTCAGCACACAACTCGTCAAGAACAGCTACATGTTAGATGCTTAAAGGCAGATAGTTGTTTTCACTGAAAGAAAAGCACACAGATCATACTTAGACATGTGGAACTACAGTCTAACTAAGTCCATGTGTATTTTTTTTTGTCAAATTTGAAAAAAGGTTTGGAGGCTAAAGATGCTCAAGAGATACAGATAAGCATAAAACTAAACAGAAATAATAAGTCAGCTTTGGGTCAAGAGTCAACTGCCACGTAAGTTCAATTTGGCCAATATAAGAGGTAATGATGAAACTACTGCAATATAGCATAAGGTTCACAGAGTAATAAGAATTCAAGTGAAAGTAAATGGCTCTGTGAAAGTAAGTTCTTATATAGTTTACCACGGTTAAACGCTAGCAGTAAAAGCCTGGGGTTCAGAGGAATGAAGCAGAAAAAGTGAAAGAAAGGACGGATCAGAACGGAGATTCTGGAACAAAGCGCCTACAGTAATTCAGAGCAGAATGGAGACCAAGGTTCAATATGGGGTCAGCATGTCGACACAGTGCCACGTCTGATTCTCCACCTATAACCCCTGCTAATGGGAGACTTAAGCTCTAAACTATGAGTTTCCTCTGAATGGGCTTTGGTTTCCAGAGCTCATTGTTTTCATCACAGGCCAAGTAGTAAAACAACGCTGGATGTGTGAGTCTGTGCTGATTATGTGGAAAAAAAAAAGGGAAAAGATGAAAAATGTTTATGGAACAATTAAAGAATTTGGCAAGACCTCACAACAATCAGCCTCCCCCATTAAACTCTTATAAAGTAGCAGCAAAAGACTGAAGACAGGCGGGCTCGCCAGTGAACAGTTAAAATTAGATTAGAAGAAAAAATAATATTGGGAAACTGGCAGGTTCTCTATACCATGTGCACTATGGGGCACGTCATACACTGTTAATACAGTGATTACAAGTGGAAATATGTAACAGATGTGAGCAGCTGGAACTGTTATCACAGAATAATCATCAGCTACTATTTTAAGCTCTGATTAAAGCACCATCATTGGTAGATGTTAACGGAAAGGTTCTTCTGATCACAGAGTTTAGATTTTACAACAATTTGTTATCATTCTCAGGAGTAAGTGGCAATCAAAATATCCTTCCATGCCAAAAGAGAAGAATAACAAAGTTCACAATTAAAGGAAATCTGGGAAAAATGCCTTTTCCCCTTTCTGGCAGAGTTAGATGAGAAGAACGATATCATCAAATGTAAGGCACCAGCCATCAGCTGGTTAAAGCAACGAGCCTGACTCAGTCTTTCTGTTATGCCCATCTAACCGCCTCCTGCCTCCTGGCTCCAGCGACTTATTTATCAAACAAACATGACAGGGGTATCAATTCCCCAAAACGCTGAACTATGTAAAGGAAGTAGGCTCCCACACACCTTTAATTTCTGCATAACTTACTGCGTGACTGCCATTAACATAGCAAAACACCCCTCTGCTATTTTTGCCATGATAGAAATAGCAATCATGCAGCAAAATGTAAATTAAGCTGCACAATCAGTCTTGAGTTTGACTGTGACTGGAAACAGCCAACGCTGCAATGAGAGGATGAGACAACTAACGTTAACTTATTTTGTCAAAATCTTATAAATTAGTGAGTATGCATGTAAATGGTAAAGATGGATCCTTCATAAAGAATGTTTGGGGAGAGATATCCCAAAAAAAGGCAATAACTTAAGTACTATCAAAATAATTTGGTGAGATTTAACCACTTCATTGCATTTTTTGGTTGAAAGAAAGTAGATTTGTACAAATTTACAAGTACTTCTGAATCCATCAATCTGCAGCTGTAAAGTTCCTCTCATCAACCAGTGGTGATAGAGGCTGACGTCCGTAACAGAAGTCAGGAGAATTGCACATAGGGGACTCTTTCACCGGTGTGTGAATGCATCTTTGCATTTTGTCACTGCTCAGTAAACCTGAAGTATGTCTCCTGCCAGCAATTTTCAGGCCAAACATGATTTTGTTGAGTGCCCTAAAAATGTACTTGCTACATCCATCATAGTGGCACCGCTGTGCCTGGGTGTTGGTGTCATGCAGGGTGTTTGAGGGATGGGTGGTGGGTTTGGGCTTAAGCAGGCCGGGGTGACAGAGGGTGATCAAAGGTCAGGTCGCAGGTCGTGTAGGGACAGTCACCCACATCATCAGCAGCACGTCCTGCGAGACTCTGAGGCCTGCCGTCCCAATTTGAAAGCTTTCCCTGAAGTTCCTCCTGCTGCCTCCACAACGGGAATTCGCTTACCTGAGGACACACACAAAGACACACACATTAATGCTGGTCTCCAGGATTCAGCTCAAAATCTTTTTTCTTTCTATCTGTCCGGTCCTGCACTTTCTTACAACTGAACGATATTCAAATCAAAAGAAACTATATGTTAGTTTGGTTTTGATATCTTTTTACATATATAGAAGTGTACAGAAGTGTCCCAGTTTCATACTGCATACTCAAATTCTGAGTACTTAGTGTGTTTATTCTGAAAAAGTGCTAAATATTCAAATAACTTATTATGTATACTAAAAACACTTAATTTTTGCAATGCCAAAAGATATAGAAATAGAGGCACTAGTCATGTCTGAAAAAAGTAACTGGTGATTAATAATGAGATCTTGGAACAAAAGGAAATTAATACAAATGTTGATTCTTTTTTGTGAAATTACTTTTTTTGTTTATTTGCTATATGCATTTGGTAACACAGTAAACTTACTCACTAAACTTACTTATACTGTGCAAATATTATGTAGTATGAAATTGGGAAACAGCTTATGTGCGCATCTCAGGTCTTTTAAAAAAAACTCAAGCTTACCTGTGACCACAGAAAGAACTGTTCATTCTCCCATTTGTCTCTATAGGTTTTCGTTTCAAAAGTGCCAAGATGCACTAATTAAGTGAATTCTGTTTTACATCCAACACGGTATTATATGTAGCTGAGTTTTACCTCCCTCATTACTGCCAAAAGTCTGCTTCACACCCTGTTAAACTCTCTTAAAACAGTAAGAAACTATATCTTTACTAGATTATATTGTTTTAAAGCAGTATTCCTGATTTAAAACACACTGGGGAAAAAAACAACTAAGCACCTGCAGGTGTTCAGGCCAATGGCACAAAATGTTCAAGAAGCACACTCACTTATCTCTATAAACACCTCGTTGATGTTAATGGCATTCTTGGCACTGGTTTCTACAAAGATGGCATGGATGGAGTCAGCATAGTCCTTGGCATCCTTTTCTGGCACTTCTCTGTAAATAAAGAAAATATGTCAAAATATTGTGTTGCAATATGTTCACAAATTCTCCCATTTCATGCCTGGCCTGATAACCATCGAATGTTTTTTTCCCCAACAGATGGGAAGATTTCACAATTTGGTCTGAGAGTTGTTTTTTTCCAATTGTATGGAAAATCTTTTTTTTTTCTTCTTTTTTTTTACAAAAGGAAACAGGAGAGAATAAGTACAAAGAGAGCCCATTTAATCCATCACAGATAACTAGCAATCTACACCTTCAATTACCATAATGATAACAAGTACAAAACAGGCTTTGCAAAAAGGTCATTACACCAGGTGTGTCAGAAAAGTTTCAGGATTGGTGTCACAAAAGATATATTTCAAATCCAAACTACAAACTACAAGTTTTCCCCTTCGAGGTAATCCCCCTGGAGTCTAATGCACTTCCCAGCCTTCTCTGCCATGCCGCCATGCACTCCTGGAAGGATTCTTCCAGGATCCCACGCAGCTCCATCATCACAGCAATCTTGATGTCGTCCACATCTTCAAAACGGGTCCCCTTGATGACCCCCTTGAGCTTGGCGAAGAAAAAAAAAATCCCATGAAGCCAGGTGGGGTGAGTCGGGAGATTGCTCCAGCACCGCGATGTTCTTCTCAGCCAGGAGCTGTTGGATGCTCAGGGCATTGTGAGCAGGCACATTGTCATGGTGAAGCAGCCACGACTTGTCCTGCTACAACTCTCACCTCTTCTTGTGCACTGAACAAAGCAAACGCCGCAGGATCTCTTTGTAGACGTGCTGGTTGATCATCTGAAGGTGAAAACTCGTAGTTTGGGTTTGAAATATATCTTTTGTGACACCAGTCCTGAAACTTTTTTGACGCACCTCATATATCTACAATACCATTTTCACTGTATTCTACCATCGAAATTGAACTCCTCAAGTCCAAACATCACTCTCGAGATGTTGATGAGGTGTCATTGTCATACCACACAGCAGCATTGTTCACGACACATAGAGTAAGATCTCTAATTTAGGGTTACCTTGCATCTGACAGGTCACATTTGTTACCAGCGATGGCGACCACTATATTAGGAGGACCATGCTGGCGCAGCTCTTTCACCCAGTTCTTCAGTGTTTGGAAGGACTCCTGATGATACACGTAAGCAACTTGTTATACAGAATGAAACAATATGCACACAAGCAAATAGAATCTCCTTTGAAAGTTCAAGGAACAGTTTAGCATTTTGTGAGAACATGCATCCCTCTTTGTAGCAGGTGAGAAAATCAATGCCACTCTTATTATAAATTAATTAGTTCAAACTAAAATCCAATTTGTAGTTAACAGCCTTTTGCATTTTCTAACTGTTACTGTGTTTAACTCCATTTCTCCACTTTTTGCATGTCTGGCCCTTTTTTTTTCTCTGTGTTTGGCCTGGCTAGCCTTCTGTTGTTTAATGGTCTTTCTGACTATCCTCTTTTTTTGGTTTGCCTGCAAAGCACTTTGTCAACTGTCTATTTTAAAAAGGTGCTATATAAATAAAGTCAATATTATTATTAAGATTTTTATTGTCACGCTCTCATTCTAATGTCTTTTTTTATTTTGCACTATAATCCATGAGGAACAGCACTTGATTTATCTGCACAAATGTCATCTGGATGTGTGGAAATCACAATAAAAGCTGTACGTCAGCTTGAATACGAAACTGGGAACAGCAGCCACTTAATTCAGTTTACTGAAAGGAGTAGAAGCAGGGGGAGACAGCTAGCCTGGCTCATTCCAGCAGCAACAAAATCTGCCTACCAGCACCTCTAAAGCTCACTAATTAATGTATTGTGTCTCCTTTTTTATGTGCCAGAATATTTCTTGGCCAATCCAAGGAAAAACCCCAGGAGAAAACCTCCCCTAGCACTACCACTTGTTATTTTTACACGTTGCTTCTTGTACAACCAATTAAATGAGATATAAAATGTTCATCAGTGAACTTTAGAGGTAGGGGTATTGTATTACATTTGGTCTGTTTCTCAAGGATCTCAACCTTTACAATCAGTGAGGCTAAGTTACTGCTGGCTGTAGCTTCATATTTATCATACATGAAAGATTACATGAGATTGTATTCATCTGATCTAACTATTGGCAAGAAACAAGCATGTTCAAATACTCACAGGAACATAAAAAATATATATATAACTACACAGAATCACTTAGTAGTGGATTGGCTGAAGAGAAAAAGTAAAAATGACCTCCTTAGTGATGTCATAGACGATGATGGCCGCCGCTGATCCTCTGTAGTACATTGGTGCCAGAGCACGAAACTGTGGGAGGAAGGAGAAAAGCTGAGTAAAAAACATGGAATGGTGACCAATGTTCTGCATCAACTCTTCAAAGGAAAATCCACTTCCACTGCTGATCAGGGAAAAAGATTGTGGGTCTAAAGCCTGTTGATAAATGTCATATCTGCTTAAACTACACTTTTCATATGGTCTGACTTCATTAAGTCTGTATTTAGCTTTGACACAGTGAAGAACAAGAATTTAAAGGATCTTATGCAAAGATAATTGATCCTAACTTCTCTTTGAAAGCTGTGATCTTAAATTCCTTCCATTGTTTTAAATGTTATTTTTGGATGAGGAAAGATATCATTTCAGCAAAATTGCATATTAACACGTTTTTATACAGCATAGACCATCAAACAGTGCTGTGACTTTTTACAGACTACAGTTAATCCGTTATCTAGGCACGGGCTTATGGGAAATAAATCACAGTGAGTTTTATTAAACCTAACAATATCAACTATAACAAACTCAAAAGAGCATAAAAATAAGCAAAAAGGCAACAAGTACCATTTTACAAAACCAAAGGCCCAGTGCTCTGAGCCTGTAAGCCAAGTATGGCAAGTCTTTCCACCAAGACCTCACACATGTGAAAGCTATCAAGCGAAAGATGAGCAGAAAGTGTCAAAAGCTGTTAGCGTTTGGATATTAATGGAAGACCATACATTTGATCTTAACCCAATACATCTCAAAGCGCCGCATAATCAAAACAGCATGTGCAAAGTTTCTAAATCCATAGCTGCCTGCGAAGCTGGGGGTCTGCCAGGTTTTGGTATTTTGCTGGTAAAATACTTTCCAGTGCACAGCGAGACCTGGCTTCATCAATAAGCCTGCTGTCATAATATTTTAGAACATATTGTTTTTCACACCGCATCTGAAGGGAACGATAAGGTTTTACACAACTATTATATCAGTCAAAAGTATCTGAGCTCCTCTGGAATCCAGAAGATTTTGTCAACAGCCCTTAAGACGACTTCAGCACAGTATCAGGCAGAAGAAAGTCTTTCTTTAGTAAATCATTTCCCATCCTTTAGCTCCAGTGGAGGAAACAGTTACGTACTTTTACTCAAATATTGTACCTACAGTTGCCAGGTACCTTACTTAAGCATTTGAAGTCTTCTTTATACTTAAAAACATTATATTAAAAAATAAGAATCTGTCCCGAAAAGTTTATAAAGTATTTAAAATTAGCACCACAACTGCAGAATGCTCCTCATATGCTAATGTGACATATATACATATATTGAAATGAAATCCTTAAAAGCATCCTTCTGCTTCACATTATGTACTTTTAGTTTTGATACTTTCTACTTATGCAGCAAGCAGGACTTCTACTTGCAACATGATAGAGTATTATTACACTGTTGTATTACAATTTTTACTTAAGTAAAGGATCTTCCATTTGGTTCCTCCATAAAATACTAAGTGAAGCATGTGGCCATTTGTTTATTTTTTATCTTATTCTGCTAACAATAAGCTTTGCCTGCTAAAACAAATACAGACGAGTAACGCCTGACATAAATATGGTCCAAAATAGCAACACTGAAAGATTTTTAAAGAATTTTTAGTTTGCCTTAGAGCAAAACAGACCAAAAGCATGTTTCAAGCTTTCAGAATTGCTACAGGGGGAATCTTTTCATGCCTTTTTCCCATATATTCTAGACCGGGGCATTTAACAGGCTAATAAAACCATGTGTCACGTATTAACTAATGATATTTATTTTAAAAGAAACAACCCGTGTCTCAGAAAGACCTTCACTTGGAATGACCCTGCCTTCCCGCCAGTTCTATTTTCCTTTACAATGCGATGGAATAAACTATCCATCTTGGAGTGACAGTGTTACCTCAGGAAAGCACACATTCCACATAATTATAGTTGTTACTGGCCCCAAGTCCACCAACGGGAATCCAGCTCGGGATATTTGGCAGAGGCACTGAGGAGAGTGCTGTCTGTTTCATTGGCTAGTGTTGTGCTGCACCACCGCCAGTCCTGTGTGGTCTATCTGTGCCGTAACCCAAAGAGCAATCACTGCGAGGCCAGACGTCTGGCCACACAGCAGGGCAGAAAGCAGCCCCAGTGATTCCCAGAGAGTGTTGATTAATTGCTGAAACCATGAGCTGGGTGTATAATGAAAGGGAACCTCCTTTTTCAGTCGGATGCAAAGTTCCCTTTGCTTGTTTTCTGTGAGAAGGAGCAGTCAGAGGGGAGGCCTGGATGGACTGTTGACAGCTGGGCTCAGATGTGCTCGTAAAGCCTCATCTGGTCTTGAGATATGGATTGTGGAAATCACAGAGCTTTTCTTTCTGCCCTTGTCTCTCCTTACACGCGCATTGGCCAGCTTTGTATTCCTCTTTCTCAACTTGTCAGATGTGGATCGGCCAAAGCTCCACAGAGGTTAGAAAACAAGCCATGAAAGGCCTCAAAATACCACAACAGCTTTGTAGGAAAAAAAACACACACGCAGACACATGCAAAACCTACCAAAGGAATGTTGCTACTTTTTTCGCTCGCAGATGTGAACTACCGGGGAGACAGAGAGGCCACATGGGTAAGGAAAAGTGGATTTGTAGGAACATAACGTGAAGAATAATGGAAAGGACCACAGAAACATCACAAAGAAGAGTTTGTTTCACAGGAGAAAACACACAGTAGGGCTGCACAATTAATGGAATTTTAATTAAGATCACGATATTGGCTTCCTGCGATCAAATTTGCGTGATCGAGCGATATTTAAAATGTGTGTTCACACCAGACACGAGTAAAATCATTCGCGCGAATGATTTACATGTAAAGTCAATGTGAAGACGAGTAAAGGTCCTGCGGCGCGATTGACGCGAATTGAACGAGTTACTCGCACCACGCGATTCTAGACGCACGCTTGAAAACCAAGTTGAAAAATCTGAACTTTTGTGATCTGACGCGCAGCGACGGCCAATCAGCGTTGAGATTCTCTGGTGACATCATTTATAATTTAGTTCAGAAAATATATTTATGTAACCCCTTGACTCTGCGTTGTGTTTGTTTTATTAAAAGTCAGAATGCAGAATTGTCTTTGCCCTTTTTATTGGTCCTCCTGGCAACACAAAACAACTGTGGTCAGCGGGCTCAGGTGTCTCGTGCACAGCGTTCTGTGAAAGGAGCAGCACGGTTATCCCAGCTCATGTTGGCTAGTTCGCGAACATTCTCAATCTCACCAAATAAAGAACACCTACAAACAACGTCACACATATCCACACACTCCCAACCAACATTCATGAAACTGATTATATACTTATATTCTGAAAATAAACACAGGAAAACTTATAACACAACCATTCATGAGCTCGTGCTGCGCTCCGCAACCAACCTGATGCACGCCTCTCGGGAGCTGACGGCGCGGCACTGGTACCAGTGGCACACCACAGCTCCCGAGAGGGCGCCACTGAGCCGACAACAAATCACTACTCCGTTCAAACCATAGCAAGTGGAATTACACACATACATGCTGTTACATTTACAGAATGGAAATAGAAACTAGTGCCCTGTTTTGTTGCCTTTTCATTATTCTTTTATTTGTCTTTATTTTTTTTTAAGGAGTTGCACTGAATTTTGGAGATAAAGAGGACCTATTTTATTTTTAAGAATATATTTGCACATTAGCAGGAATATAGCACAATATATGGCTGTGAAAACAGTTATAACAAGTCTGTAAAAGAATAAAAATTTGTTTTGGTGAAAATCAACAAATAATCGTGATAATTAATTGTGATTTCAGTAAATATCAAAATAATCGTGATTATCATTTTGGCCATAATTGTGCAGCCCTAACACATAAAGGGGGGGAAAGTGGCCGTTGTGATGGTGAGTGGCAGGAACTCTCAGATAAGATGCAGCAGCGGCACACGCCAGTGGGCTGAGACAGCTTCAGTTTTATCCTCTCGCCTTATCTTAAATGGGGCTGCACTGATGTCCCCTAAAGGCCACGAAAAAGCAGAGGCCTCCAGGGGCAAGGAGGATAAAAGACAAGCAGCATCTTATCTCACCTCTCTGCAGAGTGCAGCGGTTGGGATACAACATTACAATAGCAGAAGACTGTGCATGAGAAAAAGAGAAGGCTGCTCACAAAAAAGAAAAAGGGAAGCGATGTGGAGATCTAATGCAGAAAAATGCATGAGTCAAAAGAGAAACCAGTTCCTCACGCCAAAACTGTCTGGGGATTGGTGTCAGTTTCACGGGCTTAAATGCTGAAATTGTACCCAAACACCAAAATGTGGTTGCTATATCACGTATCATTGGTCTGTAAGGTTTGAGTCCTGCACTTTGTGTAGGGGACAAAACATCTGAAACAGATAATACAAGAAGTGACAGCTGTTGACGAACAGGACTTTTCAGAGGCATGCCTAGATAAAATCACGGACAAGGAAACCAATGACTCTCCTTTACTTGTGTTTAAAAAAATGGAATGAGGAAGAAAGAGAAAGAAGGAAGGGAGAGATAGAACAAAGATTGAAGGTGACAGAAGGGACAAAACATTGCAGACTTGTTGTTTTCCACGAGACTAAAAAGAACGCCACTCGCGGAATTGTATATATCTATATATATGCAAAAAGGGGGAACTGGGGCAGAACGCTACCTATAGAAAGGTAAATGTTGCCCCCTATCAGAAGTAATGACTAACTGCAGTATGTCAGTTACCCCAGGCGGGTTCAGGGAGTGGTGCATGCACTTCACTTCCTTTACAACAACATGGAGGGAATGAGTAGACTTCTGAATAGAGCAAATTGATTAAATTTAATATCAAAACTGTGCTGCTGTGCCACAACATTTGTGAATTATTCACAAGCCCAATAACAAAACTGCTGAGACCAATACCTCAGTGGACAATACTAACCCGCTCTTGGCCTGCTGTATCCCAGATCAGGAACTTGTGCAGCTCATTTTGGTATTGCACTGTCTTGGTCATGAAGGATGCCCTGGTGAAGAGAAAAGGCATCATGATACACTGTAGATTTAACCATCACACATTAAATAAAACTGCGAATAAAGCTTAAAGATTTAATACATTCGAGAATGATATCATTAGATATTAACAATGCCAGCAACAACAACATTCAAAAAGGCTGATTTACATTGTATCAATTAGAGTCTGACCAATACTGTATTTTAAGGCTATAAAATTAGCAACAACTGGTTCCAATGACGAAATCGGAATTAGATTTCTGTGATACAATTTGAGTAGCGTCCACTTGGCGGATAGTGTGCAGATATTTCACACATGAAAAATGATTGTGTCAGTGTTTATAGTGAGCCTGTATTTCTTGATATTTATTGGACAACATATGCTGACACAGATAAATGTGGGATAAGCTAAAACCGGTTAGGAATAACAGCCACTCTGTTATATGAGTCAGGCTCCAGTACTGACTGAGTTGACCCTAAGCAACAACCAAGTATTGGATTTATAATGTCATGAAACAGAGAACTTTTTTTTTTTGCTTTTGTGAAAATGGAACCAGTAAATATTTCCTATTTTCAGTTCATAAATGAATACAATTATCAAAACTGGAATTCTAACTGCAACTCATGATTGTTTTCATTGTTTAGTCTGTCAAATATTTGTTAATTAATCAATTTATTTTTTGCATCATTAAATTGCAAATAAAAAATAAAATTCTTCCAAATGTTCCTTAAGCCTAATAAGCCATATTTAAATTTGCTTGTTTTGTTGGACCAAAAGTACAGGGGTTGTTTTGCAATACATAAGACCAAAAAAAGTCCTAATATTTGAGAGGCTGGAACCAACGATTTATTAAAAAAATATTGCAGATTAAGTTTCAGTCTATTGATTAATCGTCTAATTCCTTTAGCTCTGACTAGAATCGATGAATCCACAACATCATAATGCTCTGGAATAACTATAACAACAAATGAGAGAGAATAAACTAACTTTTACAGTGGGAGGCAGCTGGGACTTACCCAATTGTTGGATTGATGTTTGGGTCAAAGCTGTCCTCGACAAATCTCCAAACAATACTTGACTTTCCAACTCCAGTATCCTGCAGAGACAAAATAAAGATGACGCTTAGTAAACATGGTCACAAACAATCACCAAAAGTAGAAAAACACATAGTCTGGCAACATGCATGGACATTCCTTTTTGTGGGATCTTCTTCACTCCTGACAATTAAACAGGAAATGAACTTACATTGTTCTTAGTTACAGACAAAGAAAAGTTTTATGACTTCATCTAAGGAATGTCTTAACAGGATACTGGTAGAGAAAATGGGGGGTTATGTTGTCATTATAAGGAGTCTAAATGTGCATTAATGATGTTCTAATCAATCAATCAATCCTTTAATAAATAACATGTTTTTGTCCAATTAGCATTCCAAAATTTAAAGAAAATTAATTTACAATGACAAAACAGAGAAAGGCAGATATTTTTTACATATGAAATGTTGAAACCAATATAAACCAGGAATTATTAGCATATAATTTGCTAAACGAGAGCATTACTTGTTTTGCTACAGGTCATATACTGTGAGTTGACTAATCACTTACTGACAAATATCTCAGCTCTTTCTTTTTCTCTTTATCCCATTTGCAGATGGAGAGAAAGTTAGATCAGTAATGTATTAATGTGCTGCTGACAGAAGCAAAAATGATTAGCTTATGCCTTTATTGACTAGGCATGCAGGATTGCTGTTACTATGACTTGCTGTTTTTAATACTAAGTGCAACAAAGACTAATAACATTATTTAAGATAATAATGCATTATCTCCCATTTGATTCCAGGTATTTAATGTGAACAGACCTGTACATCAGTGTGGTGAAGCCTGATGGAAGAGCAGCACAGCTCATCTGATGCTACAGGTACAGTTAGATACAGTGAAGACCCATAGGGAAATATGTCAAAGATATAAAAAATAGTGGATGCTGACTCACCCCCAGGAGACAAACTTTTAACTCTCTCAGCGCCATATCGATCTCCTCTCTTAAAACGAGTTTGTGATGATGATCATTGACAGTTTTCTGCTCTGGCTGCCTTTTTTATCTTGAATATTCTTCAGGTGGTCTGTGTTTACAAACAACTTTACTTCATCGTGGTCGAAAGCTGGCAAAAGCACACATCAGGTTGGGTAACTACTCTCGCTATGAGCTTTAAAACGTTCCGCAGCCCGTCGTATTTTCCATATTGTGGATATTGTAAACAGCTAGCTAGCTAACAGTGAAGCCACCAAAACGCTCAGTCTCCATCTTGAACTACGGCGTGTGGTCACGTGACCGCTTTGGCTCTTTTTTGTTTGGCGATACACAAAGCCCACAGGCTGTATTTACGATCAGTTATGTCGACTTTGTGCCCGAGTTGAGAAACGGCAGTGCGTATAGTTGTTTAAAAGATATTCAGCCGGCGAATAGCAGCATCAGGAAGTACTTTCAGGAAGTAGTTTGCAGCCTTGTTTGAGTGACAGCTGTGCGGTGGTGACAGCCCACACGGGACGGCAGCCCGCAGAGCCGAGCCGATACTCAAGATGGCAGGTAATGGCACTTTTTAAACCGTGTTTTCTTATATACTTTGACGCTGTTATGATATCCATAAAGCGGTATTTTGCTCTTCAGGGTTGCAGTAGTTCAGCGGAGGCTCATACTTTGCTGCTTGTGCGGTATTCCTGAACGAAGTGCTAGCTAAGGCGAGCCAAGTCAAGCGAAAGGGCTGGACAAGCCGTGTTAGCAAACTTAGCACCACTTAGCCAGTTAGCTAACGAAAGCTACTCAAAGGTATCGAAATGGGTGACTTTGAGGCTGCGTTCAGACATATAACGTCTTCGTATCTGTTGTTGGTTTTTAAAATCACCTCTGTTGTTTTTAGTTAGACACTATCGACTGCAATTAGCCGAGTTTAATATCGAAATGTTGTCATAGCAAAGGCTAGCGAGTTGACCTAGCTAACGTTAGCCGAGTTGCTAAAGTCATTTTCAGCCATAAGCTGACCAAATCCTTCTTTATACCATAACAAAGGGGTTATGCGGTTCTTTGCCATCGTGCATTTATGTGTGCTTTTAAACATCCCGTAGCTTTATTTGCTCCACTCACGAAACACCACATTTAATGTATCGTTACGAGATAGGAGTTGTTTTTATATTTGGAGCACATTCCCCTGCCTGTCCAGCTGTAAACACATGCGTCTCTGCTCCTGGGATAGCTTTCTGGGCTCTTCTTTTGAATACCCTACCCTCCTATTGTTCTCTATCTGGGGCTGAGTGGTACTGGAAATAAATCATAAAAGAGACTCAACTTGCAGTGTCGGTATGTCATGTTATCAGTCAAATACATGTAAAGGTGCTGAAAATCCCCCCTTAACACGGCCGTCGCTTTAGATTGCATGCTAACTGGTGGCTAAACTGGCAAAATCATCTTCAGTCAGCTTGACTAGAAAATATGTAGGGACACTTCTGGCTCAGTATGTGCTTTTTAATTTTAATTTAGGAAACAATATGCCCTAAATCCTGTAGGGGTTATTCAAAATGTTTAATATGACCCAGGGGAACCTGTACATGCATTTAAAATGTCTAGTTGCAGGCTGTACATGTGTTGTCCTTGGCTTCTGAATGAAATCTCTGTGTTGGCTCCTGAAAAATATATCAGATTGGACTTTATGATAATGGTAAGCCCTACTAATTTAGGAGCTGTTGAAGATATTTTGTGATCTGATGTAAGTGAGCATGGATAAATTAATCTGATCTGTAGGCTGATCTGTAGGCCTGTGTGAATGCATGAAAGAAAATAATGATTCATAGATACCCAGAATTAATTAACTGAATTGCCAGGATGCTATACACATTATGTATCTACGTTGTGCAAAACAAAGCATGAAAAAACAAAAATGTTAGGTGGTAAAGGCATACTATGTATGAACATAACCATAAATGGTCACTATAGCATAAACTGTATTCTCAAATAAAATGAGGAGACAAGGAATTTACAAAATTGAGAAAATCAACACCAAGCTTGCGCTTGAGGAAACTGTATCAGCTGGTGAGTTAAGTGGCTGCTGTCGGTAGAAGATGGAGACAATACATAGATTTATAATATAAAAGTTCCCACACACTTTAATCAGTGGCCCTGTAAGCCTTTGTGAGTGATGCTTTGAGACAACACATGTTTTCCTCAAACAATTGCCCACACAGTGGAAATGAGACATATACTGTTGCTAGCTTATCAGGTACATCGACCTAAAACTAATGCAGGTTAATACAACAGTCCTCAATAAATAATACCATGATAATCCTACTGTATGTTCACTTTGGAGGTTGGAGGCTACAGTTTGTGGTACTCCTACACGTTCTACAGATGGATTTTTGTTGATCCCATTTATATCAATAAGGACACACCTTTTACTTTAATGTAGTGCAGTTCAATAGTACTACCAGATGAATACATTTGCAGTTGAGTGTACTGATCACTGACATCATAATCATTTATCACATATGATCTCATTCATCTGAGATTTTATGGATGTGCACTGGACACTTTTAACTTATTATTCAGAGGAGTGTCACCTTTCAAAATACCACCTTAAGCAATACTTTTTTTTGACATTGTAAGTTGTTTCTTTGTCAAGGAAATGCATCACAATATTTACTAATGTGTCTGAACTTGCTTCTCTTTCCTGTTGCTACATCGATGCTGTCATGTAAATGCATGAAATTTTGCCTTAGCGGACTGATTAATCAGCGACACCGCTGTCATATATTTTCTGTCTTATTTGAAGGAGACTTTGTCCCTTCTTAGTGATTGCCAGATTGTAAACCTGCCATCCCAGAGCTCCTTTCATTTTGCAGGGGTGTGGCGTAGAGTGATGGTATGTTGATGACATGTTTGCTACCATGGGTTCCCCCTCCCCACTAACTGCCTTGTTTTTACAGGTCTATCTTTATACTTTGAAGATAGCCATGATGATCTGGATGATTGTAAGTACTTCAGTAAAAAACACTAAACAATACCTCGACTGTAACATTAATTGCTTGCATATATGAGATTAACAGGGAGCTTTATGGAAGTGTCAGCTTTCTGGGGAACACATGTCAAAATTAAAGCTGTCAATAGTATTTCAAGGTTTACGTCACGCTATTATTAGCAGTTATACAGACTAACAGTCCACATTGTCTGCATTAGCCACAGTAGTGAAGCAGCATTTGGATCCAACTACAAAGTCAGTGTGTATTTATGGTTGAAACTTTACATAGAATAGTGAGTTACACTCAATATCTTCAGAACAGCACTGTGGTACACCTATTAGTCTTCATTTGAATGTTTTATGTTTGGCATGGCGTTACATGTGTCGTTCAGCCTTTGATCCGAATTGTGGCTCTAAAATGATCTTTCTCTCTTTCCCTCAGTTGGATTTGATGACTATGGTTCAGAGTGTGACGGCATCCGTATCACAGCCTTTCTTGATGCAGGGCAAGACAACCTAACGCCTCTTGGGAGGCTAGAGAAGTATGCCTTCAGCGAGAATGTCTTTAACAGGTAAGTGGAGTTCTGTGGTCAGGCTGTTTATTCAACAGACAAAAAAAAAAGGAAGAACCTAGAACAAAGTAGTTTTTGTGGTTATGAGGCTAAATTGATCAACTAGATATTAACCAGAATCATATTCCTAATCCATCTACTATTTCCTCACTGGCCAGAGCTATGCCCACACTATATTGCAGTGTATTTTCTCCAAGTTTGACTCTCCAGCTACACTAACCCCACTTTTTTTTTGTCAGTTATCACTCAATTGTGTTTTTCTTGTTAACAGAACTTTTTTTTTTTGACATACAAAGCATAAATTCAAATATGTCCTGAGTACCAGCAGAAATCATTGTGCATAAACTTAACATTTCAAATAAGGACTGATGTGATGTTGCACACAGTTTTCATATATCCTACTTTATTGTTGCTTTTTTTGTATTGAATTATAGCTAAATTGTATCATAAAGGCTACATCGAAAAATTTAAATGGGAGATTAACATGTCTTGTGATCTCAAGTCATCCCAAGATGTGTTTTTTTCACTCTATAGTTATCTGGATTACTGTCTGCATTCCTGTGTATTTACTACTACCTGTACTAACTCTACAGTCAAGCAATGCCAAAGACTTAAAGTAGAGCCCTGGGTCTACTTTATGTCTGTCTGAATATGGCATTAGGTTGATAACTGTAATCCCACTTTATAATAGGTTTTAAAGGATATCCAGTCTTGGGTAGATTTTTATATTTTGTGTGTATTAATGTTAGGTTTCTAACATTGTTCTTTCTGCCAGGTAAACAGTATAGTTCTTCTAAATAACCTTGGTGTATTTAAAATCTTCATTGTACGGTTCTTGAATAGTTTAACAGTGCTTCTCCAAACATTTAGTACTGCAGTTGTCTCCTCACCAACAAGCTTTGTTCCTGTCTGTTCCTGCCTTTCATGCCCAGCTTTGCAGGGTTCAAGCCCTCCTGTCATTTCCAAGTACACGTGTGTTAAATGTACTTGACAGCTCTGTCAGTGCTGCGTGTTAACACTGTGTGCACTTGACACTCGTAGGTATTGGCAAAGCAGTTACTAACTTGAAGCTCCTGTTGCTTTCTAGGCAGATCGTGGCTCGTGGCCTGCTTGATGTGCTTCGAGAGTTCAGTGACAATGAAAATGACTTTATCAGTGTCATGGAGACAGTTGCCAGAATGTCAGAAGATGGAGGTAGATGTATTTTCCTTTTCATCCTCTTGGTTGTAGCTGCAATCACTGTTATGTTTGTTTTGGTACATTAAACATCTACTCTGATGTGTGTACTCAGAGCCCACAGTGCGAGCTGAACTGATGGAGCAGGTTCCTAACATTGCCATGTTTTTGCACGAGAGTCGGCCCAACTTCCCAGCTGCTTTCTCAAGATACTTGGTACCGATTGTTGTCCGGTATCTTACTGATCCAAATAATCAGGTAGGTTTTTTTTTTTTTTTTTTTAAACTAGTCAAGAGGGCTGAACCGTACCTTTTGCTCTTTTTCTGACTGTTTAAAAACAAACAGAAGTAGAGAAAATGGGTTCAGTGGTGAGATTAATTTATATCAAGAGTATTTAAATAGGTTTTTTATCTCCACCTTTATTTTTTCTAGGTGCGGAAGACGAGTCAGGCAGCACTGCTTGTTCTGTTGGAGCAGGGCCTTATTTCTAAAGCCGACATGGAGACCAAAGTTTGTCCAGTTCTGCTCGACCTCACAGAACCCAGCAGTGATGATGACTACAAAATCGAGGCTGTAGCTGTAAGAAACTTCTTTTATACACTTTCTTTAAGCAAACAGTGTTATAGAAATGTTGCATCAGGGAAATAGGCTGAAATGAAGTCTATAACACACCAAACTGTCTTTAAGCTACAGATGTAGTTAATGACTCAACTGTTAATTCTGTCAAGTTCAATGCAGGCAGAGAGGCTCAGTGGATTTCTTTGGGGTTCCTTTCTTTTACTTTACTGTGATCAGCTTCTAAACAGGCTAAAATAAAGAACGTGTGTGAAAGAGTGCGACTGGTATTTAGATTTTGTTGACATTTTATTCCAAGTATGCTAGCCGATGATCACTAATTAACTTTACCTAATTCAGATCAATTTTATTCAAATTGGGTTCAGCCATCTGAAACGTTCATAACCTTCTAATGTACACACTTCTTCTTTTCCTCTGTACGCTAAATGTGCTGATTGTTTCTATCTCAGTGGCTTTTTTGCTCTGTTTGAAGCTTGTCCGCTTAATTGTTGATCTAGTTTTAGTTCTTAAGTGCTGCATGGCAATGTAATTCAGACACAGTCAGAGATTGTCATAGTGCTAAACACTTTCCATGTGCTTCCTCCTGCAGATCATGTGTAAAGTTGTCACCATGTTAAGCAAAGACACAGTGGAGCATCTATTGTTGCCACGTTTCTGTGACCTGTGCAGTGATGCCAGACTCTTCCAAGTGCGCAAGGTAATAACTTCCAAATCACCTTAATCTTCACCTCTAGATTCTTCTAAAAGTCTGAAAGACTCTGACTCAAAGAAATATTCTGTTTTAGACAGGGGGTCACAGCTGAGACAGCGGTTATTTGAGCTAGAGTGTGTGTTTCTGCTGCTCCCTCAGTGTAAATTCAATCACTCTGTCAGTCAACCTTAATTCTGTTTTGTGCATCCACTTAGCCTACACTATGCTGTTGTTTTCTGTGTGGAATGTTAATTCTCTGGCGTAACTGGTACCAGTTGGGAAAAATATTTAAGAACTCCAAGGGTTGTTAAACATTGTGAATAACTTTTGGAGCACTTCAGCTATAATTGCTGTTTTTGACATTTTTTACTTTTTATGAGACAGGACAATGTAGAAGTAGAGGACAGACAAGGAACGTTTAAGCAATCTTAATGGCGGAGCTCTTTATAATGACAAGCCTCCTTTTGTCTGAAGTTCCACTCTAACGTTATTACTTTAGCTCAGGACCCAAGATATGCCTATGTGTTGCCCAGGACTGCACTTTAAATAACACATAGAAATCATTATTTCATACAGTGAGACATCAGAAATGCAGTTTGTGTTGAAACATTGGGCCCAGAAACTGGCATTCCTGAGAGTCTTTAACTTCTCTTGTCTAGTCATATAAAATGAAATAATTGCTGTATATGATCTTATTTTTTTCCATTGATCTTATATTGTTTTAATTATGTTTTACAGGTGTGTGCAGCCAATTTTGGAGAGTTTTGTTCTATTGTGGGACAGGAGGCAACAGAAAAACTACTGGTGAGAGACTTTAAAAGTCCATTTTCATTACATATTTCACTTTGCACCATTATGTAGCATGAAGGTTTAACACTGTCCTTCAGGGTTTTCTTGAGGCATGTCTTGTATCACACCCAGTTTGTTGAGTAAACGGTTAAATTGTTGTGATGTCAAGTATGCTTCCACTAAAAGGTTCACTGTTGACAAATCTCCTCACAGTTCAAACACTGTTTCTAGGTGTACTGACCTGGTTTTGTTGTTAACACAGATGCCCAAGTTCTTCGATCTTTGCTCAGACAGCCTTTGGGGCATCAGGAAAGCCTGTGCTGAGTGCTTCATGATGGTTTCCAATTCCACCTCTCCAGAGGTGCGACGTGCAAAATTGTCCCCCCTGTTCATCAGCCTCATCAGTGACCAGTCCCGCTGGGTAAGACATGTGCACAGGAAAAACTGTAGTTGTGACTATTGCATAAAAGCACATTCTTGTGTAACCTCCCATATACTGTGATGAAATTGGTGCGATTGTTGCTTAAATCTAGAAGTAGATTTTTTTTCCCCACCACTATATGCATCGTCTTGTTTCTGTTTTTGTGTTGTGTGCTTGAAACTTAACAAACTTTTAAAGTGGGTAGAAAATTAAAAAAAAAAAAAAATGGAACCTGAGGTTTGAAGTCTGAGGGTTTCGTTCTTGAAGTGTCACACACTATCAACATACCAAAGCAAAGTCTATATTTTTCTCTGTGTATGCAGACACCTATTGTAGTATCAGAACTGCAAGCAGTCTGTCCTATTTTGAACCATATTTGTCTCTTAAAGTCGTGCTACATACAAGTAATCTTGTTCATTAGTAACTTAAGACCCTACCGAATGTGACTGATTGGCCTAAAACATAATGAAACAGACATAATTCTCTCTGCTTTCAGGTGCGACAGGCTGCCTTTCAGTCTCTGGGGCGTTTCATCTCTACCTTTGCCAACCCATCCAGCACAGGCCTTCACTTCAGAGAGGATGGTGCTCTACTAGAGGTCCCTAGGTGTACATCAGATAGGTAAATTCCCCTTGTCAATGCTACAACAACAGACATTGAAAGAGGCGCATAAAGATATGTTTCTCTTCATTCTGTTCAAATAACAGTGGACTAAATGTCAATTTCTCTGTGTGTATGTAAGGGCAGTGTTTTTATTCTATTTAGCAAACTCTGTATTATTGTGCAGGCAGTAATTTTATCGACATGGAGGAGTATTGAGTTTTGTCATTTAAACAGCTTTAAGTGTTGTATCAGCAGTTACGTAAATCATGGTCATAATTTCCTGCGCAAAATCAAACAGACCAGTTTTTATGATACAGGCTTATCTACAGAAACAGATATAGTTTCAGTTTACTTTCAGTTTACACTTTGATTAGAACTAACCACTGTTAAAGAAGGATTGGAGTTTGCTACTGTTCAAAATTCTTCTGCAGTTAGGGCTCAACAATCTATCTATGTAAAATAATTAGTATATATATATTTATTTATTTTATTTATTTATTTTTCCTCATTTTAGTGACTGCTCCCTAAACTCCTTGAACTGCTCCGACATTAGCAGCTGCCACACAGAAAGAACCATAACCCACACACCTCCGAACCAGGACGGCCGCGCCACACCGTCACCAGAGCATGTGATGACAGCTGACAGTGAGGAATTGCACGGCTATGATGACAACCACACTTCTGTTCCTGGAGAGATGCATGACAGTTTCACCCACACAAAAAGCAATGACAGCCCCACAGCTACAAATAATGCGAAGAACACAAAAGAAACAGAGCAGACAGATGAGAACTTTAATTCTTTCCACTATTGGAGGTCTCCTTTACCTGACATCAGCGGGGAACTGGAGATGCTAAATTGTCCAACATCAGAGGAAGTGGTAGAGAAAGAGGAAAAGAAAGAGGTAGAAGAAGAGGAGCCTGAAGAGATTTGTCCTGAATCCAAGTCCAGCCATGGCAAAGCTACCAGCGACCAGATCCAAAAGGTTTTGGACTGTTTGCAACCACACATTGATGATCCTGATGTACAGGGTGAGTACATATAGCAAGAACGTGTAAGATGAGCTGTATGCTTTTGTTACTGCACTTCAGTGTATATTGAGCTTTGTGTCTAATTTACCTCCAGCTCAAGTCCAGGTGTTGTCAGCAGCTCTGAAGGCAGCCCAGCTCGACAGCCCATCAGACAACAGCCCGACAGATGACAGCCCGACTGAGCCCCAGCCAGAAGTGGAGCCTGAGAGCGACACTGACAGCCCGTTTGTGGAGAGTAAGTCTGTGGAGGTTCAGTCAGAGAGTGAGGAGTGTTGCACTGAAGAGGAGCAACTGGTAGAAACACCTCCAGCCTCAGAGTCGTGCCCTATTCAGGAGCAAGGGGACGAGGAGACGCAGACGGAGCCTCTGGAGGACCAGGAGGAGTCTCCTTCTAGCTCCCCTGTACTGGTAGGAGACTCTTCTGCTGATCTGTCTGTGAAGATATTTGTGTAGATTGTTAAGTGTTTTAGTTGAAGGCAACTGGACTTCTTTTTTGGTTCTTTGTTTCATCTCTCATCTGAGAGGCTTCTTAAGAAGTGGATGAGAGGTGACACATCTTCAGGAACCAAGAAAAGAAGTTCAGTTTCCTTCTACTGAAACATGTAGCTTGAATTATACTTGATGCAAGATATTCACAGGAGCACTGCAACAAGTACCTACTGCACAGTTTTGGATTATAGCTCAGACACAAATCTCTTCTTTTAAACACCACTGCAGCACTAGAGTGATGCATTTTTAGTGATTAAGCTTTAAAACCTATACAAATATATTCTTTGTATAGTTGTAATTAAATTTGCAACACTTAGTTAATAAAACAGTTCTTACAGAAACAAAATTTACAGAATATTTCATTGTAAAAACTCAGCTAAGTTGTTTAATCAAGACTATGTGAGTGTATTTTGATCAGATTGGACTAGCAGTGGGTTGTTAAAACAAGCCACCAACTCGAGATGTCAACATATTTTCTTGCTATAACTTGACAGGAGCAATATGTGTCATCACTTTTTTTTCCCCCTGCTGAGCCCTGTTCCCTGTAAACCAGTAAAAAAGAGAGGGCAAAAAAATTGAATAAAAATAGGGATCTAATACTTTCAGGAGAAGACAAAAGCTGACCAGTCACAGGTTTTTGTGAACCCCTTGTTGCAACTCCTTAACACCAATGTCCAGTTCCTAGGAGATGCAAGTCAGCCCCAATGTAGCCCACAGCAAAAAGGCTCTGTATTCACTATGACGAAGAGCTATAAAGCCTGCTTTAGGTCTTGAGCATTTATGGAGAAACAGCAAGACGAGAAATTTTAGCTTCTTTAATGTGCTAGCATGTTCCATAACAGTGTCTGTGTGGATTTGAATTTTCCTCAGGAGTCTGAACTAATTGAGAGTGTGGAGGAGGAGGGAAAGGAGGACTCTTCTCACAGCCCAGTGTTTGAGGATAAACCTAAAATCCAGGTCAGTTAGCACTGCTATCATACATCCTGAAAGTATTGATCGGCTCCTTTAGAGTCAGTATTGATTACCACAGATATGGATTATGAAATACTTTCTCACTGTGGATCTCTGTTTACTCTGATCATCATCCCCTTGAATCTCTCGGCCTGTCTCCAGAATGTCATCCCCCAGCAGCTGTTGGATCAGTACCTCTCTATGACGGACCCAGCACGGGCCCAGACAGTGGATACAGAGATAGCCAAACACTGTGCCTTCAGCTTACCGGGGGTGGCACTCACTTTGGGTCGACAGAACTGGCACTGCCTCAAGGACACGTATGAGACACTCGCTACTGATGTACAGGTAAGGCAGAAAGACAGAAAACCGCAGGGTAATGTGTGATTGGATTTGCTGTTTGGTTCTAAAATGGGGCAAACGCCACATGAGAAATTCAAACCGTGCTCCGACAAAATGACAGCTAAGGAATAGACTGTTTGGATTTTAGAGCTCTGGGATTCTGCCAGTAGAAGATTTTTGCTTTAAGCTGAATTAGAGTAGGGCTGCAGGGTGGCGCAGTTGGTAGCACTGTTGACTCGCAGCTAGAAGGTTGCCGGTTCGCGTCCCGGCATGTTCTCCCCGTGCAGCGTGGGTTCTCTCTGGGTCCTCCGGCTTCCTCTCACAAAACATGTTGAGTTTAATTGGTGATTCTAAATTGTCCGTAGTGTGCTTGGTTGTCTGTCTCTAAGTGATAGACTGGTGACCTGTCCAGGGTGTCCCCTGCCTTCACCCCAAGTCAGCTGAGATAGACTCCAGCCTCCCCGCGACCCTCGTGAGGATTAAGCGGTGTATAGATAATGGATGGATGGATGAATTAGAGTACTATTTCAGCAATCATTAACTGGGAGTTGACTCCAAACTGTATATGCCTTTTTGTTGTTGTTGTTGGAAAGGAACTGCAAGAACGCAGATGATTGAGATGAACAAATTTAATTCTAAGGGATGACACTTAAGTATTTGAGGAATTGATGAAAGTGTTGTGCTTAACAAAATACACTCAGATTGTATCGAATTGTGCTTTTTGGACAGTAAATATCAAATTGCTTTCAATTTAATTATATCTGATTACGCTCTTCCAACAAACCTGTCATGGGAGTCATTGTTTTAGGATGTATCAATGCAATAAATCAGTAAAAATCTGCAATGCAATGGTCATTTGTGATAAGACTTGATGAGGTATTCTGGGAAACTTTTTTAATAAGTAACTCATCCATCAGCATTTGTAAATTTGTCATCTCTTTCGCTTGAGCTGTGTGAGCAACTTTTGCACTTAGTTAAAGTGCCTGTACACTGTGGGAAAGGGGTCTTGCAAGTGTAGTGAGTGTTTGTCAGACTGCAAGATTGGATTAATAAAGTCTCGATCACAGACTATATCAGGTTGAATGGTTTGAACCTATTTTGAGGCATGTCAGATGATGCAGTTCATCAGCTTGATTTATTCAGCAGTGCATCCAAGCTTTGGCTATGCTACTTGCACTTGTATACATCTCAAAGCCTCAAAAGAGGAGTGTCAGGGTAAATTTTAATAAATGATGATTTTCAGGTTATGATAAAACAAAATAAAATGTTTTCACATTGTGATGCTGGCTTACATGCATATTTTGCACCATCTCATGTTGTGTTATAACTGGTTGGTTTGTGCATACAGGCCATAGCAGTAATCATGTTGTGAACCTTTGGTCTTGATTTTCTGACTTTGATCACTGAAGCTCTTAATGGACCAACTATTGGCGGATCTGGCAGTGATGTCATTGACGACCTAAGATAGAATATAGACAGAATAGACTTGTTGTGAACAAGAAAAGGAAATGCAGCTCATCTTTAAATAGCTGTGACTGTGATGGCACACTCACTGTTTCTCATTACTTCCGCACAGCACTGAATGTATTGACGTTGCACTGCACAACTATATGGAGGGGTTCAGATAAAGTGCATGTTTTTTTTTTGTTGTTTTTTTTAAATGATACAATCAGGTATTGTCTGTGGTTGTTCTTCTATTTAAAAAGCAAACTAAAGGGATTTTTTTACAAGCTGCTTGCTTGCTCACAGTTGGTGTTTTAATCCTTTTGTGTTTGTTTTCCTGCCACTTTGTCCCTCTCAGTGGAAGGTGAGGCGTACGCTGGCTTTCTCTATCCATGAGCTGGCAGTTATCCTGGGGGACCAGCTGACAGCAGCTGATCTGGTGCCCATCTTTAACGGTTTCCTCAAAGACCTGGATGAAGTTCGCATTGGAGTGCTCAAACACCTGTATGACTTCCTGAAGGTGAGATTACAGCTTAATGTACTGATAGTCCAAGTGTGATCACACTTTTTCAGAGTAAGTACAACCTTGCTTGAAGATTAGAGACAATGACAAACTTCAGCAATGCTGTTGTTTATAAGTCCTCTTTGATTTTAGCACACTGCGTGACAGAATTCCAATGAAAGAGGAAAATAATCAACAAGGTAGCACTTGATAACTAAGCTGGTTTGTCTTCTTGTTCTTGTTGTAGCTGTTGCATGCAGACAAGAGAAGAGAATATCTGTACCAACTGCAGGAGTTCATGGTGACAGACAACAGTCGCAACTGGAGATTCAGATACGAGCTGGCAGAGTATGTCTCCTTTTCCTCCTCCTCCATTCAAATAAAAATTTTAAATACTTACATTTACATGCCTTTTATTCAAATTGGCTTCAGTGACTGTTTTGTCCACAGACTGTGTCGCAGAGTGGAATTCTGCTCATGACACTGTATTGATTAAATTTAGTTTCCATAACTCAGTTTAGCTTATTTAGCTATTGTTATTTAGATTTTAAATTGTGGTTTGTCTTGTTTTTGTTGTTTGAATTTTCTGTGTTGTACTACTATTTGCATGTGCTGTATGTCTGACTAATGTGCTCTTAATCTGTCCTCCTCCAGGCAGTTGATCTTGATCATAGAGTTGTACAGCCATTACGACGTGTATGACTACCTCAGACAGATAGCTCTCACACTCTGCTCTGACAAAGTCTCAGAAGTCAGGTGGATCTCTTACAAACTGGTAAGTTCACAGCAGAATGTTTGGAGTTTACCGATGGAGGGAACATCTGGTGATGATTAAAAAAAAGTTAGCAGCGTGTGACAAATAGTTGGGTCAGCAGAAACACTGGAAAATCTTAGATAAAGGGGAAATGAATCATACGGTTGGATGTGTTTGTGTGGATGTGATCAAATAATGCCTTGATGTTCTTATTTCATCATCTCAGCGTGGCTAGAAGGACACTGGAGTGTACTTAAATCACTTAAAGGGCACTAAGTTCTAATTTGTGAAATGGTGACTAATTCTTGACAAATTTATAACCACTTTGAGCACAGATTTGCAATCAACTTGCACATTAATTGCAGTTTTACCCTCGTCATAAATCTGATGAATCATTTTTAAGTGTCATCATCTCTGTTGTCCTCAGGTTGTAGAGATTCTCCAGAAGCTGTACGCATGTGGGGCTGATGACCTTGGCCTGAACTTCATTAATGAACTCACCGTCAGGTTCTGCCACTGTCCTAAGTGGGTGGGGAGGCAGGCCTTTGCCTTCATCTGCCAGGTCTGTAACGCTCTCATCGGAGTCACTTCACTTGAAATGGGAGAACAGCAGCTTCCATATCGTCTCTGTACCTGTTTTTCGGCTCAGCAGATAGCTCTGTCACCCGTTTAAATGCCTCAGTGAAAAAAAATTCAATGGCAAATGAAACAGTCTTTGAAGCTTTGGTGCAGAACAGCTTAAATTCCATTTAAGGTTAATGGAGCGTTGAGCATGCCATCTTTGTTAAGTTTCTCACTAAAAACATGCAAGTAAATGTGTACTTTTTAAATAATTCATGCCGATTCACAATGTGTTAAATGGATACACACAAAACACTGATTGTTTTCACGTAGCGTTTATGTTGCACAACATAATCTGTGTGCCGCATTACAATAATACTGTGGTGAAAACTTATTTCCTCATGAGCCTGTTTGTCAACTTTAAGATGCTTTTCATCTGTTCTGCTTTCATTCTTAGGAATGTCCCTTGAAGCATGTCTTCCTGTGTTCGGCTAGCTGTCTGTGTGACTGTGCATTAATGTTTCCTTGTGTTTCCTGTAGGCCATAGTGGAGGAGGACTGCATGCCCATGGAGCAGTTTAGCCAGCATCTCTTGCCCAGCCTGCTCAGTCTCTCCTCAGACCCAGTGGCTAATGTCCGTGTGCTGGTGGCCAAGGCTCTACGACAGAGTGTGATGGAGAAAGGTAATTTAAAGAATATATTCAGTAACCAATGTTGTTCAACATACAGAAGGAGGTACAGCGCATAAATCTTTGTTAAACTCTAACTTGTCAAGTTTACAATACACACATAACCTACATACCATGTTGATAATTAAGCTTTCGAGAAGCTGGTAGACTTTTACATTTTTGAGCTTTGGACGGGATCATGCTAGTTCTTTCCCCATGCTGTCTAAGCTAAGACAATAAGACCATGTTAGCTTTTTCTTAGCAAATGTTTGTGTGACTGTAGGATGCATTGACTAGGTAAGTGTAAATGCTAACATGTAGTGTAACAGTAGTACAAGTGATTTTTAGTTGTTTGTGTCACATGTCTGATAGAGCAGATACACTCCTATTTTGATTCAGACTGTCTGCACATGCGGTGTAAGCTGTAGTGCATTTTTACGTCCATGTAATGTCTATTTTTCTATGCCTTATGCACATAACTACAGTGAATTTGTAGTGGTGTGTGTGGGTTACAGTTCAATATTGTACCTGAATGCATCCTATGTAGACACAGGAGTTGCTGCTGCACACGGTATGCCATTTGTGTACACAGTTTAATGAAACCAACTTTTAATACGTTAGTTCATCATTCAGAAGTTACCTATTGTCACTGCAGCACAGCTCTAACACATGCCCTGCAACTTAATCTGAGAGGTTTTTCTCACCACAAACCTGACTTTTGTTTCCAGCATACTTCAAGGAACCGGGCTGTGCCTACTCTGACGAGCTGGAGGAGACTGTGATGACTCTACAGTCCGACAAGGACCGGGACGTTCGCTTCTTTGCCAGCCTGGACCCAAACAAAAGCTTGATGGACACAGCGCCTTTGATCTAGCCTCAGCTCCCAAACCCCGTTACAGCCCACCTGCCTGTCTTACCTACCTGTCTGTCTGACTGATGCACAGTCGGCGTAACCTGCAACACCAGCACCTGACCAGATCCCCCAACCACTCGCCTGCTGGGCAGAACCGCACCAACGACCACTTGAGAATCCTCTCAGATGTTCAGCTTACAACAGAAAAGTATGAGCATGCTCAAACTACACAACCCAGTCTCTGGTTGGGCACTACATAGCGCACATTACGTTCACAACAACAACAAAACAAAAACAAAAAAAAAACTTCTCAGAGTTTGCAGAAAATGAGCAGGACTCGGATGTCAGCTGCACCAGCTTTGTGGTAGCTGCCGTATTTACGCCTGAACTTTTCCTTACCCTCCTCCACACTAACATCATTGACTCAGACCCTTCCCCAATCACAGACTTGTAAAACTATGATGGGCTCTCTCTCTCTCTCTCTCCAAAGCTAATTCGAAGCTTGATATAAAATTGAAATGATTTTTTTTTCTCATTACTTCTTTTTGTGGATTTTTTAATGAACAAGCAGGCGAGGCCTGCCTGACTCTGATGTGTGCACTAACTCAGGGGGACTCATCCGAACCTAAACAGCATTATTAGCTCACCTGATAAGCAGCAGCTTGTGGATCCCTGGTGAAAAAAAACTCCAGCTGTCTGAGCAACAGACCAGCCAAACCAAGTAGCTCTGCTGGTGTCTCTCACCTCATTTCCTCCTAAATGCCTGTTGTCTCAGATGTCTTCTGTCTACTGAGATGTCCTCTGGGTTATTGTCTGTTCGCTTCTACCTTCTTTTATCACTCTTTTTCTCACCGGGTCTTCATGGGCCACTGAAACCACTACTACTGCACAGAAGGAACAGTGATTCTGCCACTCAGCGTAACTCTTGATTAAAACCATATCTTTGACATTTTTTGAACAAACAACTTAATGAACTGTTAATCCCTTCCCCGTGTCTGTTAACCAAAAATGTGACCCAACGCGTCTCCCAAACAGCAGGAGACTAATGAAATACCTCTGTTTGGACAAGTCTGGCCAGTGTGTCGCACATGTAAGACAAGCATCCGCGGTTCAAACAGGCTCTGAATGTCCTCAGTCGGTGATTCTTTTTTGAGCAATTCTGTGGTGTTGACGAAAACATCAGCAACAAGGGCTCATGATGAAGTGACACAGAGTGACGCAAAACTCAGAGAGAAGAGGAAGAAAGCAAGCACACTGTTGGATTATGCATGTTTCCCTCTTTCATTCTTTCCCCCTTGTGTATAGTGTATTCCACTTCTTTAAGGTTGACCTCCTGATACTGAATTACGACCATGGTTGCTTTCAGTGGATCTGACTGACCAGTTGTACAGTAGGATATAGGAATGGCTGTTAGGAGACTGAAAGACACCTGATCATCATTTCCCTGTCTTGGTGGAATGATTTAAGTATGAGGTTTCTCAAAATTTTGAAAATTTTTGTACAGCTTGAACCTGTGGAAAAAGGTATGTGTTAATGGAACCAAGGCCAGTGTAGTCTGGGTTTTTTACCCATTGAGATGTGTGTGAATATTGGGAGCAGTCACCAAGTCACTTTTTTTAGTCTCTTGAGCTCTTGTGTTTTCCCCTGTTGTAAATGGTAACCCCGTTTTGTTTTGTTTTTTTTCTTTTCTTTTTGAACATAGACATAAGTTGCGAACTTAAGCTGATTGTGGTGTGTGCTGTGCATCTCAAGTCTTTCTTCCTTCGAAAGGAGAGCTCACTGCGGTAATGGCGGTGTCCACTCATCTCGTCTGTCTGCAATTTGTGTCCATCTCATTTTTTATGTAGTAGAACAGTTAATATATACATTTTATGAAAATTATTTTTCTTTTTCAATTATGCACCACTGTTCAAAGATTTTATATCCTAACTTTACAAAATTTACAACCTTTGTAATATTCAATGGTTTCTTTTAAAAAGACATTTTATGTAATGTTATTTTTAGTATTCTGTAATTAAAATGATGAAAATTACAATGTGCTTAAGTTTTTGTTTGGTTTTGCATTATTGGCTGCTGTGGGACAGTCAGACCAGATACAGAAGAAGCCGTGGAAAACGCTTTTTTATCATTTAATCTGCAATGCTGATGACGATTGCAAAGCTAGACAATTAACAAGAATGTGAAGACTGCAATAAATTGAAAAACACTGTATGAAAATGAACAAAAGGTTTTGGCCACTAAGTATCCACTTAAAAGTGCCGCAGGTCCAAGTTTCTTTGGACTGAGAATAAATAGTTCTTGTCTTTAATGCTGCAATTTCATAAGAACTGCAATGATTTGTCAAATTGCCATAAATTTGACAAACTGTTTTTTTTTTTTTGTTTGTTTTTTGTTTTTTTTAAGCAAATAGTCAAATAATTATTTGGTTATAGCTTCTCCAGGGTGAAGATTTGCTGTTTTTCTCCAGCTTTATAACACTTCTAAATAGACTATTTGACTACAACACTTGAAAATGCCACCTTTACACTCTGAACTCAATGGATACGTTTTATTTTCAGACAACACAATTGTGAAAAAATTGGCAGATTAATAATGAACATAATCATTTGTTGTAGCCACACTTGTTGTTATTGATTGTCTGCTGGTTATCCCGACTCACTGATCAATAGTGCAAAATGTCTAAAGTTGACTTCAGTTTGCTTGACTTCTTTAATCAAGGACACAAAACCCAAAGATAATCAGTTCATGAGCATTTAAGGTGACCACAAATCTTCACACTTGAAAAGCAATAATCTGCAATTTTGGCAATTTTGTTTGAAAACTGACAATCACTGCTGATTAATGTTAATCAACTACTTCTTTGTCCTGATCTCTTGAACACCTCTCACTGCTCTTTAAGTCTCATCTCCTTCTGAAAAGCAGCAGCTTACGGTCCCATGCAGTGCTGCCAAAGCTCTGGATGAGCTCCATGCCACAGTGACTCTCCAGATGTTCCCTGGCGTGATCTGTGATGTCCCCCCGGATCTTCAGGGTCTTAAAGTGGTCGAAGTCTGAGCGGCCCAGCTTCCTGAGCCGCCGGGCTGCAGAACGGTAGCACTTCCAGGGCTGGGCCTCCAGCAGGAGGTGCTGGCTGATGGAGGCAAGGCGAGAGAGCAGCTGCAGCAGGCCGGAGTCTCCGTGGTTTAAATGAACCCACATGGTGACAGCCAGGCACACACACAGGTGGAAGTGGGAGCAGCTGTGCTGCTTGAGGTAGTCCTGCAGCTGGTTGGTGTCTCCAGTGATGTCCAGAGGGAGGAATGTGATGCTATTGTGCAGGGGATTGGTCTGCTGTGCCCGCTGAATGAGGGCTTCATCCAAATCGAAGCCAAGGAGATGAACTCTCCTCCTGTCTGATTCTTCTTTGCTCACAGGATCCTGTGCTAGATGTTTGTAAAGGGCCACACTCAGGTCCTGTCATTCACCCAGTGAAAGAAAAGAGAGGACAACTGTTACTTACATGGAAGTTTAAAGAGGAGCTCAACAGGTTTATCACAAAGTTCAGTTTTCTCTTCATGAAGAGAGCTACACTGCCTGCAAAACCGCTGTATGTCTTCAGGGGCTCTGAGGAAGCTCTAAGGTAAAAAAAAACAAAAAAAACACACACACACACACACAAAAAAACAAGATATTGTCATAAGAGTTTCGTGAAAGACAAGATGTATGGCATTGTGGGAAATGTAGTGTTCAAGACATACAGGCAACTCCGTGCACAAATGTTTTCAGTCTGAAATCTTTGATGATGTAGTGTGCAAAAGTCCCGACTACAACACAGTTCTAAAGGTTAATATATATGCATTTAAAGTAATAATAAAAGCTCACACACCCCTGAATTACATCCCACGTCCAGGATCAGTGTGGTCTGCTGCCCGTCGCTGTAACCTAAATCCTGGAGGAGTGTGGTCGGAATCAGACTCAGACGGTTCTCCGGAGGATTAAACGTGTAGTAGTTTATGAAGTTGCCATAAGGAGCCGCACCAGGATCGCTGACTTCATCATCAGCGTCGCTGCTCACCGCGCAAGTTGCCATTGTGATGTGTGCGCCTCCTTAATGCTTCCGGGTGGAAAATGTGGGCTGGAAGTCAAGTTTGGACCGTCTAGTTTCCTCGGTGGTTAGTTTGTGCAAGTTCATACTAAATCAAATTCTCTGTGCTCAGAACCATCAGTCCCCAGTAAGAACCGACAAACCAGTCTCGATCCGTGTACAAACAGAGCAAACTCATTCTATATCCTGCCCCCCCTCTTTTCTTTTTTTTTAAAAATTGATGTAAAACAATATAAGACGTTTTAGGGCAAACTTTTAATGCTGTCTGAAACACACTTATTTGTAAACCCTCTGCTCTATTTTTGAAAATGCCAAGAAAAATGGGAGATTTCACAGCTTTCTCTCTAAGCCACATTAGTCCAGATCCGGACCTATAACCGCTTTCAGATCAAATTCGGACTCGGTGGTCTTACTTACAGAGGCAAGAAATCTCTAAAACACTGTCTCGGGTTTGTGTTACCTTTATTCTATTTGTGAAAATGTTAAACTGTGGATAAAAAAAAGAGGGAGATTTTGCTGCTTTTTCACCCCTGAACCACAACCAGATAAAAAACCATTTTATATAGACTAGTCATATCTGGACAAGGTGGTCCTGCAGATATATATATATATATATATATATGAAATATAAATAAAAGTTATCCTGATATTAATTCCAGTAAAGCATAATGAACGGATCAGGAGGGGGCCCAGAGGCTGATGTATCTACACTGCGCAGTTGTTGTATAGAACTACAGAACTATCTGTTAGTTATTGCACTGACTCTATGTTTAGAAATGTTTTACCCTGTAAAATGAAGCGATAAGGAAGAACATTATTAAGATTTAAACTCCGGGTCAGTAGTTGGCGCTCTGCAGCTTTACCAAAACGAGAAAGGTCCCCACCGAGCTTCCGTAGCTTACGAAAGCGAAGGTGAGTTAGCTTCGTTGCTAATTGGGCATGCTGGTGTGCTGACATTGAGAAACAGACTTTGCTTGTTACTGCGTGAAATAGTAAAAGGTAAGAAAAGACAAAAATATTGGCTTTGAGAGCATTTTAGAAGTCGGTAAAATGCCAACTTGTGTACATACACAGCTGAATCAGTGTTTGCTAGCTTGTAGCGTTACTAAACAGTTTAACTTGTAGAAGCAGCACAATAACATCATTGAAATTCACTGACTTTAAACCAGATGTACGTTGCAGTCTGTTGAAATAAAACTGGAGCACGAAGACTAAGCTTCACCTCAGATGATTTAAATGTTAACGAGCATCAGAGCAAAGAGCTCCATCTCTTATTGTACACAACATCTGCTGTTCACTGCAGTTGTGAGTCCCAGAGGGTAAAAGGTATACCAGGTACATTTTTGCCCTTTAACTCTATTATTGTGCTTATAAATGGATCCTTGCTGTTGTTTCAGTTCGTCCTGTGCTGTGGTACAAAGTACATTTCAGTGGCAGATGTTGTATCTTTATTTTAACAACTACATGTATTTGACAACTGTTAGTAGCTACTTTGCAATGATTCTACACAAAACATACAGAGGCTTATAAAATGCAAAACGTTTAAGGTTTCTAGTGTTTGAGGCTTGTGAATTCATACAAGAAATGTTGCTGTACCACGTTATCTTGTTCCAAATGTTTTTGAAAGGGGGGATGAAGAGAAAACAGATTGTGTATTAGAAGTTTTATTTGTTATATTCTGACCCCTTAGAGTCATCCTGTGAGCCTTTGGAGGAGCCCAGCCCCTAAGTTGGGAACCGCAGGGCTAAACTGACTGTAGTTAAAGCAGTAAAAACTAGCCCCAACTCCAGTATTAGTATTTACAATCTTAAAATAATGTCACATTTCTTAATTTGCACGTCCCAGGGGCAATTAATTTCTGGAGAAAAAGTACTTTTACATTTGATAGTTTCAGCAGATAATGCTGAAGTATTTTTTTACTGGAGTTTATTTTCACTTTTCAAAAGTCATTCAAGTTGAGGACCAGATTATTACTTCCAGTACAGGTCCAGAAGAGTTGCCATCATTCATTAATGCTGCTGATAATTACGTGTGAGCAAAACATGTGGACGTTTGTTATACTTACCTGTCTGTAAATACACTAAAAATTCAGTGCGTTTTATATATATATATATATATATATATATATATATATATAAACAATTGCATTGAAACCCCAAGCATTCTAAATTACATTTCAGTAAAAGTCCTTACTTGTCATGAGGAAAAAAACAAACTTTAACGGTGTGCTATGTTATGTGCACCAGTGAAGTACATCAAGTTGCGCTGTATAAATTGTTTAATCTGTAACACATTTAATAAACTTGTGTGCGAAATACTGATCTGTAAAGTATTGAGCTATCAGATAAATGTATTCACTTTGAAAAACGTTTTAGCTTTTAAATGTAGTGAATAGACCATATGGTATAAATGTAAGTGCCTTATTATTACTGTTATTATGAATAAATTATTTTAAATTGCAGCGTTGATGTGCTTCATGGTGTGGTAAAATTTTCTGTAAAAATTAACCATAAGTTGGTTTAAAAAAACAAAAGTGTTATGGCTGATCCAGCAAATCACCTAAAATTAAACACCATAGGTGTCAAATTACTTCCATGACCCTAATGCAAAAATATTTGGATATTAAAATCTACTGTGACCATAAAGCAATCCTCCTCGGTGGTGTGCTACATTTTGTAGGTGTTTCAACACACCAGCTGTTGTCATGTTGCTCAGCACTGTAGTGCTTGAGTAAACATAACTAAACAACCACTGATGTGCAGTATTTGGCTGAACCTGCTCTGACTTCCTGTTCCTGGTTCTTTCAGGATCCTCATCATGGTGTCAGGAAAACGGCTGGCAGATATTGGCTATCGGGCTTTTTCTGCCTCGATGATGCTGCTGACCATGTATGGAGGATACCTGTGTGCAATGCGAGGATACCGCTACATGCAGAAGCAAAACGAGCTGAAAGTGGCAGCAGAGAACCAGGACACTGAAGTCATCAAAGACTGACGCAGACGGACTCCTTTTTGCACACATGTGGACATTTCCCATTCCTCATCGTCTTTGTCCATCACTAAATGATAAAGAAGTTTACCTCCTCAGGATGTTTGTGTGATTTCAATGAGCATATGGGGCCCTCACAAGGATGAGGTTTTGTTTCTCAATCTTCACCAAGCAAATTAACCAAAAACATATTTGCATCAGTAACCTGTCAAATCCAGACTGAGCAGTTCCAGGAATGAAGATGGCTGTAATTGTTTGTATTGTGTTATATTAAATGCCTTTAAACACGCAGTGTAATGTCATCTTTCTACACAGGACTGGAATAAGAAAGATGTCTTTCAACAAAAGAATATATTTGGAAATACATTTTTACAAGGCACTCAAGTGAGAACAAGATACCAGACTTTTAGTGTGGTCCTCATACCTGGATTCCTCTATAGGCAGTGACATCAAACAATTTCATAAACATTTGGTCTCAGAAGAAGTAGTAAAAAACAGTAAAACAAATGAGTCACAAACAACGTGGTTAAAAGGTAAATCCACAATAAACTGCAAAGGGTAGAATGGTTGGAGCACGTTGAACTTCTTGCCACTCACAGAGCAGGTGTCCTGCTTTAAAAAGCTGACAAAACCACAGCTATCACAATAGAATATTACTGTCATAGGTATGTATAATGTGTTGCTATGCAATGTCTGCCCTGTGTGATCCAGTGTGGATTAACCTTTAGAAACAAAAATAATCAAGTTCATCTGACCAATAAAACTGGGAGAGAACATTGAAACTAACAATCATCGGCAGCCAAACTCAGCACAAAATAAATCCCAACATTTGAAAAAGAAGGCTATGCAAATCAACTTGCATCAACTGATTTCCATGTCATTTGAGCTTTTACAGGTCACCTTTGGAGTTACATGTGCGGCTCTCCACAGCCGTTGTCAGTGTCTGCACATCCATCATTAGTCCACCAACATATGAATCTGTGCACGCTCACTGTCAGTGGAATGTGTGCGTGTAAGAGAGAGAGTGTGTGTGTGTGTGCACGAGTGAGCCTTGCACGTCAGAGGATGTCGTAAGACAAACAAAGCTCTTTCAGATGCTGTGAGGGATGAACTGCAGGGGGCTACTGGCTTCGGGCTCCGTGTCACCAGCTGCTGTGGTTCTGTGCTCGGGCCTTGGCAGCAGCACAGTGGCCATTAGTGCCATTTTCTCCCTTGGGGGTGTAGGGGGAGGTCTGGAGGCCGTCTGTGGGCGTGTCAGGCTCATCCTCTGAGCTGCTCTCAATGTCACTGCGCACATCATTGCACACCTGCAAGACAGGAAGAAAAGATTTTACGTTAACAAGCTCTTGAGCAACATGTGAACACCTAATGAAAACAAACACTGAGGTAACTGAAACGACAGATTGAATGTGAGCCAATCTGTAGTATTTGTTGTAGGATGTAGTACGATAGGCAACTGTAGAGTCATCGTACCCGTGTGTTTTGTGTGTGTGTGCGTGCGTGCAGTTTCTTTCTTTTTTTTTTGTCTGTTCACAGTCTAGCAATTTACAGGAGAGGAGTTTGAACCTGAAACTTCATAGATGACCTCGGTATGGTCCCTTCTCGGAGTGATTAGATTTTGGGGTCAATACATGCATGGGTGACCGCTACAGAGGTCAAAGGTCGCATTCTCCCAAAACAGCTCTATATGACTGAAAATGCACAAAAAGACATAAGTTTAGTCACTAACTTAGGAAGATATTTGAGGCCTATAAACTGGGGATGTAACATATGACCTTGAGACAAAGGTCAAGGTCTCACTGAAGGTCTCAAATCATCACAAATTTTAAATCCATTATACCTTGGAAAAGGTGTAAGGTAAACACAGTTTCTCATTACAACCAGATAGGAACACATATTGGTGATGTGATATTTGGCCTTGGATGAAAGGTCAAGGTCAAACTCATGGTCATACTTCTTGTGCTTAGCCGTAGGCGTAAATTACAGCAAAACGCTTCCCCTTCATGCAAAATATCTGTGTTACATGACATACTAAGCTCTTGTTACATTATGCATCATTTTAAGGCAAAATCAAGGCAAGGTCATCCTCAAGTAGGCACACAGTAAAACACAGCATCAGGTAGACATGCATACATTGGGCAACTATGTCCCTCTACTGAGGGCTCTGTAGTTGCGGATGTTACTGCATGACATATCAAGGGACCCATTTTTATGCTGATAAACACAACTGATTATGTCTCTGTCTTTTGTCCATCATAGTTTGTTTAATGTGATATACTCTCGTTTTTCCCTTTAAAACTAATTAAGTAAAGGCCTGACAAAGAGAAGTCACTATTTGGTTAAACTTCTTACACTGCAAAGACACAACCAATGAAGAGTTATTGTATCATATTGAAGCATTTCAAAGTAAAAAAAATCAACAACGGTGCTTTAGTCTAATGTCTGGCGTCTTCTTATACAAAATTTGCCACAGGGTGGTGGTGTGGGACAATTTCAACACGCTCCTGACTAATGAGAAACAGTTGGGCATACCTGACATTCATGACACTATCACCACATTACTCATCATTTACAACTCTCCTCCTACTGCTGAGTTAGTCAGTAGGGTTCAGTCTAAGTGTCAATCCATTGCAACAGCTGTCCAATTAGATCCACTGCAACTACACTGAGTTCTACTGGAAGCGGATAGACAAAGGAAATTAAGATTTGTGAAAGGAATTGCAGCAGAGTGTGTGAAAAGAAACTTACAGCCAAAAACAGAGAAGGTGAAGTTGTCAAGCAGACAGAGCAGATGGAGAAAAAGCAAGAGAGCAGTTGAAGAGGGCTCATTGGACAAAGATAGAGAGAAAGACAGGATCTCCCTCTCTCATTCCAGAGGGGGAGGAAACAAACTGCGTCTGCAGAGAGAATAAGACAGAGTCAGGGACAGATGGGAAAAATGTGAAGAGGCAGCAAATGCATCACCAAAAATAGCCGTGGTGTTACGTTGTACATTTCAATAAACGTTCTGTGATCACAGACACATCCCAGGTTGGGCCTATTGTAGATTTTGATCTTTGTTGCTCTTCCAAGACTTATCTGATTGTTATCTGATCTATTCAAAGTCCTGTGGTATCCAAGTTTGGAGTGGACGTGGAGTTCTTTTTTTTTATTAACTTTCCATACAAACTAGAATAAAAGAGTTTTGAATTATATAATGAAATGCAAAAAGAAAATCGGCACCAATTTTTGTTAAAGTTGTGCTTGACTAAAACATAGGCTCAACACCAGGTAGTTAACATGGAAACTGAAAGAAAATATTACTATAATAGCTGCAACACCAACTTTTTGGCAGCATAGATGAGTACGATAATAAACCCCTCACTAGGTCATTACTGCAGGATCAGGATTTTCACTGTCGACTGATTCACTGCTAATTTTTACAGTTAACTGAAAATGTCAGGGGATAGTGCAGAGTCCCCAATACTATCAATTTATGATTTCAAAAGCAAACAAATTGTCCTATTTAGGAAGCCCGAAGTAAAGCTCTTTTCTTAAAAGAAAAAAAACCCTAAAAAATAGTATAAACAATTGTCAAAACTGTTTGACTATTAGCTGAATTTGACCAACTAGCCGTCTCAGCCCTACATTACAGTACTTCTCATTAGTCTCCCAGCGACCCACCTTGCCTCGCAGCATGGCTTTGATAGCTATACGAGCTATGAGGTAGGACCAGATGATATGCAGCACTTGGAGGACCAGCAGTAAGAAGTTGAAGAGCCACCAAGACGGGAATGGCCCGACTATGGACCAGCTCTCAAACATAGTGGAGTTCAGGACCCTACAAAAAAACAAAGTAGACAAACAGACAATTATCACATTCATGCTTATGAGCAATAGTTTATCCCAGTAGAAGGACAAAGTAGTGAAACTGTGTATTAAACATGATGTTGAGCAGCACTCTGCTCCTGAGGTCCATTCTAACAGTACAGATTGTAATTCATGTCAGGTGAGGTCAGGTGTTCCTTTAAATCTAGCTGGGTCACAGGTGGTTGTCAGGAGACCCACCTCCCCCAGCACAGGTATGGATTTCAGTCCAGGTAGCTGCAACGGCAACACTAGCTTTATCACTCATCCACACCAAGACACTGAATATAGCTGCTCAGGTTACTTTCACCAATGATAGGTTCGCTATTGTCTGCCAATATAGAGGATGAGCTGCAACATCCAGGTATCTGTCGAGGAATAGCCATCATCTGAACAGTTTCCAGAGCCTAAACATCAACACAGATCTCAGTGCTCTGGACAAGAACTAAAATAGTGACAAATCTGTACATCAGTCACTGTAGGTGTTCCGGAAAATACCTCATCCGCTGTACAAGCTGCAGCTAGTTGCCTGACATTATAGTTGTTTCCAAACAACAGAGCACAGTAGTTTTCATTCTCAGGTCACCTGAAACACATGTAAGGACTGCACAGTACAGGCTGTGTGTTTCTGATTAGCGTTACTAATTACAGCAACAGGATATGTACTGAAATTACAGCTATTAAAGAAATTAAAGCAAAGTGTGATTATGACATTTTTTTGTGCAAGCAGTTGTTTACAAAAACAAAACTAAAAAAAAAAAAAGTTTGCCCAATTTCTAACCTGAGCTCAGCAAGTATTAAAGCTAAAGCTTGAACATTTTTCCGGATTAAAGAAAAAGACAGACATAGCCTCACCAAAGAACTAACATGAAACCATTCTATTTGCAATGTGCAAAGAGGTGCATCAATAAACAGCAAAATAAGGCAGAGTTAGTTACAATATTCAGGTGGCAAAGTACTCACCATATTGGAAATATTACAAGACGTGTGATAAAGAATGCCACACTAAACACAATGAAGAGGAAGTCACACAAGCGCTGGTACTTGGCATAGTTGGCCAGCTTGGCTGCCTGTTGGAGAAAAAAGAAAAAAGAAAAAAAAAAAAAAACAGAAATAAAACATTAAGATAAGTTTTGTGATGTGAAGAACTTTTGCTCCACACATCAAACGCATCAAATTCACAGGCATGTCTCCTATTCAGTTTGGATTTCAGCCAAGTGGAAGTGACTGAAAACACTAAACAACAATCACAATTCATCTCCATTGTTCAGGAAGCCAGCTGGCGTTAAGCAAAAAGGCTGCTGAACAATAAATATCCTAAACGGAAACCACTGAATGTTAAACTCAAGGCTGCTCAATAATTGACTAAAGTCTTACTCCACCTGCCATATATTTTGTTTTTATTACTGCTTAGTCTTACTTCATCGTATTTGTGATGATTCCCACTCAATGTCAGATGTATTTGACACATAACATGATATTTTAAATTCAAGTCACAACATACTTGGAGGAGCCATTTTATGATTCATACTTTCCTTCTTCTGCAGTATAAAATAAAGACAAAGTTCATCTAAAATATGACAGTAAGGTATGTCTCTGTTTTTTATAAGTAAAGAAAAGTACAGCATATGTGATTTGTACTTGGCTGCATAAAAATTGCAAAACACCATTATTTCTAATTGCAATACAATTCCCCAGGGCATTAAACTTTGCAGTGTGCGTTCCTGTCGCCACTCTGTGTAACTTACCTCTAGCAGGAAGTCTGAGGCATCGTGGACACACAGCACGAGGCTCCCTACTCGCGCCATGTTGTTGACGTATGAAAAGCTGATGAGGCCAACTGTAGCCAGGTGATGGATGAACATAATCAGGAAGTCCTGAGATTAAAAAGGGGGAGAGGCATGGTTAGAGTGCTGTACGCACACACTGAAAGAAGACTAAAAAAACACTGATTGTGAATTAAAGATAATACTTTTTTAGTTTTTAAATAAAAGAACTATGATGCCCTTTTTTGCATGAATGTAGCAACAAATAACATTGAAAAAATGGTAGATTACTAAGATAGCAAATCACAGCAGGAATTAAAGCTGTGATCAAGTACAAAAGCTAGATGAGACAAGATTAAGGCACATAAATAAAATAAATAAGAACATAGAAGTACATAAAACAGCAAACACTATCTAAGAACAGACCAAAAGAAACTGCAGGTAGCAGTTACTCCGGGGAAAATGTGCTTTAATTAAGCAGGGACAGAAACGAGGTCACAATGGAAGCGAGGGGATTTATTTTCCAAATGAGATGATCAGTGTGTGCGAGCTGTGACAACAAATACACAATGATCTTTAAATGGGATTTATGGTCTGTCTGTGCCGTATCCCAAATAGCCTCAGAAATATCAGCCCACACACCTTTCTGACGTCAGTTATGGTGAATCTGTGTCAATGATTTGCTGTAACTATTAACCAGGAGCATGCTTCTTACAGAATCCAAAATAAACACAGTTATGTAAAAAAATAAAAAAATAAATAAAAAATAGGTGCATCCCATTGAAAATGTGTTTTTCCCCCTAACATATCTGAGCAAGGGCTGCAAGGTGGCGGGATGGTTAGCATCATTGCCGCACAGGAAGAAGGTCACCGGTTCGCGTCCCGGTGAGGACACCCGGGATGTTGCTGCGTGGAGTTTACATGTTCTCCCCGTGCAGCGTGGGTTCTCTCCGGGTTCTCCGGCATCCTCCCACAAGTCCAAAAACATGTTGAGGTTAATTGGTGATTCTAAATTGTCTGTAGGTGTGAATGTGAGTGTGTGTGATAGACTGGTGACCTGTCCAAGGTGTCCTCTGCCTTCACCCTAAGTCAGATGGAATAGACTCCAGCCCCTCCGTGACCCTAGTGAGGTTTAAGTGGTGTATAGATAATGGATGGATGGATGGATGGATGGATTGATTTCTCCACTGTTTCCTAGTTTTTGGTAAGTTTTTCAGTGCAACACTGACTAAAATGTAACTACTAATTCTTCACACATAGGAGTATTTATTTAGATAATATAAAAAAACTGCTTGTGGAACATTAAGTGGAACAAACTATTTGGTAGAAACACATTTTAAAAGCAGTAATTTCACTAAATCTTGTCTTTTTGACTCGTATGTATAGACTCCAGCCCCCCGTGACCCAGTGAGTATTAAGCGGTGTAAAGATAATGGATGGATATCTGAGCAAGCAAACACTTGATGCTCTTTAAATCAGTGTCTACAGATAATAGTGGTATCCTCAAAGAACTGACAGATAGAACTGACATTTTTTAGTCATTTTGATACTTTACATAAATGAAAAAACACATCAGTCAACATGGAAAAAGTTGGTACACTCCTACATTTGTCACACCCTCAAATCAACACATTTTGAATAAGGGGTTTCAGATTAGGTGCAATTCATTAGAACCTCCTTCGGGAGAGACGGGTACAACCTGTCTCATTGAAAGCTCTGATATTCAGGCTCTGGTGTGTTCTTTATTATTGAAGTGTTTTAATTAAGCAGTCAAGATCTAACAAGCTCTCTCAGGCTGTCAAGAAAAAAAAAAAAGTGGTTGATGCTTCTGAGTCTGGCAAGGGATTTAAGAAGAGATAAACGGTTCCACTTTAACATCGTCAACAAGCCGTGTAGATTTTAAACGAGGGCCAATTTGTGCAGGACTGAGCTACAGCTAAAGAGACGGTTCGATGCAAAAAGCAGTCTCTCAGGACCAATTGTTGTTGGTGTTGAAGTGCATGTGTCCACAATCAGACAGAGATTTCACAAATTTGACCTGCATGGGAGGTGTGCCCAGAAAAATTCTTTGCTGGCCGAAAATAACAGAGCAAAACTCTAGTTAGCCAATAAACATACAGGCAAAGTGCAGGTTTTTTGAAATAATGAAATATGGTGGTGGAAATGTTATGTTTTTGGTGTTGCTTCACTGTCTCAGGATTGTGTAGCTTGTAGTCATTGATTCAGCTATGAATTCTTTTCAATATCAAATGTGAGGTCATCTCTCCCAAAGTTACATTTGAACCACAAGTGGACCTTTCAATAAGACAATAATCCTAAACAGATGAACAAAAATAAGAAAAAAATAAAAGAATAAATACGGGGGATGTGGAATGAACTAGTCAAAGCCCAGATTTCAATTGAATTAAATCGTTGTAAGAAGATTTCAAACAGACAGTTTTCATTCAAAGAGTGGTCAAAAATTTCAGCAGCCTCTGTCAGAGACGAGGGGAAATCATGGAAAACACCTACAAAAAGTCATGGCAATGCTAGCTTCTGAGCTTCTATTTTTTCCAGGAAACAGTATTACATAAGGTTACTTTTGACTGAAAAGGCAAACTATTCCTGGTTTAACTATACCCAATTATCTATAGGTATATAGAACTTAGAATCACATGATAAAATGAACTATCCCATGATTTCTATATACTTATTGTTTCATATGACTGCACAAAAGACCCTTTTAAGTTTTACAAATAACATGTAAAGTCAATACTTGAATTAAATGGATCCTGACACAAAATTTCAAAGTGAAGTTATTAGTCTGTCAGCTTCAAAACAACAGCTGTCTCTCGGCTGCAAACATCATGTCAACCCAAATGCCAAAACTATTATTTCAGTTCAGCTGTCACAAAATAGAAAGAAATGGCAGGTTGTCCTCATAAAGGTCATGAAAAAGTAAATATGGCAAAGTGCAATATTGTGCTTGCTTGCAAACACTCCATGACGTTCACAGCTGTACTTTTATAGAGCTGTAAAATAATTGTCTGGTCAATGTGAGTGTAGATCCGGTTTGGTAACAGCATGAACAAAACAGCTCAAATGTACTAAATTTCCTCATCATTATTACCTAACAGTCAATGCTCACTCTTTAGGAGGAAACAGACATCTAAAACTGAACTGAACTCAAATCTCACTTAATGGCTGTGCTATATTTATACAGCAAGAGAAGATACAGGTGAAAGATTAACAGTGCAGAGCACTCAAAGACAAACACAAAGGCAGAGCCTTATACCACAGCTCAAACAGAAGGCATGTGCATCTGACAGTCAACTCATCCTGCTGACAGCAGCAGTGGGCAGACAGAGGTCTACAACAGATTGAGGGAGAAAAAAATAATGTGTTCGCATAAATTTGAACCAATATACATTCAGCAGGTTCGATATTCTATTAAACCAGCGCTATCATAATGCTATTAACAGAAGGTGCCCAGTTCTTGCATACGAACATGTCAACATCTGCTGCATGTGGGAGAATACAGATTAAAGTTCTGCACAGTGCGGCATCCACCTAGCAAAGTGCAATGTGTATTTCTATCATGGACCTTTCTGGAGGCTTTAAAACACAGCAACTGCTGAGTAATTTAACTTTGAAAACCACTGCAGCGTGCTGGGTCTTTTGATTGTTTGGAAATACCTTTTAATGTACATATTTACACACTACTTTTGTGATTTGGAACAAAGGTAGTGCAAAGGGTGAGAAAAGCCTTTTGGAATTTCCTACATGAACAAAGGCCTTTAGCTTGATAAACACATGTCTACCGAAGCGATCAGCTGAGTGGGAGCTTCGTCTTCCTCATTTAGTATCATATTTTAAACAATGAATGAAACTAACCTAAATTTTTTTTAAAAAGACCAGGGTGTTCAAATTAAAACAAGCATCATATTCTAGGCATTTGCTGTATACAACATCTAAACATAAACGCAAAGTGTCTGCGGCTGTAACTAACTCCAGCTCTAATACGCTGGCATCCTGTGGAATTTCTGTAATTCTAATAGACTTAGGCCTGCTCCATCCTGCAATCACATGACAGTGGGTGCCCTCATGCTGAAAATACAAAGCATTCACAGACTGGGCAGCATCAGCGGCACCCCACCCCCTCACAAAAAACAAAAAAACATGTGACCCTCTTGAATTACATCAACTGAAAGCATTTGTAATACAGCAAACTTGCAAGTCAAGGTTATTCTTAATGCACTTTGACTTATGTGTATTCATGTGAAAAACCCTGCATCACATATGCAAATGCACACTCATCCACACAGCCACTGCCAAATCAGGAACAATGGACAGATTGGCCAATGTTTAACAGGGAGTGGCAACTGTTCAGTATCCAGTGTTGTCAAATCTAACCGACACTGAACCAGCGTTCCTCTCACCTTCCTTTTAATGTCGGTGAACTGGGAGAACATGAGTGACCAGTAGAAGGCCAGTTCTGTCACATAGTAGTGATAAAGACCCGGAGTCATGACCTGAAGAAACACAGAGCAAAGAGGTTGAGCTGATCAATCCTAATAAGAACTTCCTTCACGTTGTAGTTACTACACAGTGATAAGAGTGACGGATATGTGACCTGCACAGTTAAAGAATATGACAGATCATCATGACACACATTGTGACCACGTGAATCACCAAGATGATCACCAAGTTTACTTAAGCAATGAGGCCTGAGAGGCTGTGCTTTCCAAAGAATTGTGTCATGTCTGACAGTGCGTCTAGTTTCAGTCTACACAATCAAAAAGCCCTACACATAAGGATGGATATTCTGCGCACTGTAATGGATAAAGGGGTAAAATATAAGCATTAATACAGCATATTTCCTTGAAATTTAGGGAGGTAAATATTTGACAACCAAGAAAGAAATGTAAATGATTTATGCATAAAATGTATATATATAATTTTAGACACAGCCAGAGATATTAAAGGAGGAAGTTTGTCATTCGATAGAAGCCATTTGACAACTTTTAGCATCTTGTGGTTTATATTGTAACAGCCCCAATCCTATTGGCCATTTTAAATGATAAGAAACACTTGAGCACCTGAAACACTGGGGATGTTGATGTTGTACATGACAAACCAGTTTTTTTTGTGTGTTTTTTTTATTATCAGCCAGCCAATCAGAACATAAAATAGAACTTATCCTGACTTTAAACTGATATTGTGTATACTAGTAACTTTAGTTTAACATCATGTATTTAAGATCAGGCAGTGTGTTAAAGTCATACAGATTACACATACTGCTTCATACCTGATAGGGGTAACCGTACCAGCATTGCCGTGTATCCCACAACCAAGGGGACTAAAAACATAAAAAAGGAAAAACCACATTAGCACAGCAAACAATCATCCGTCAATATCAATCAAATAATATACCAACAGCAAATTTTCTCCACCCTGTTTATCACTCTTTCGAGGCTTTATTTGTGGGTGTGCTCACCTGCAGCAGAAACCGGAACCCATAGGTAAATATGTACAAATAAAATGTAAATCTCCACCTAGAGGCAAAAGAGAAGAAATTACGACTGAATTTACAGTGAAAGGGATGAAATCAAATACAGACAGACACAAGCCCTAACCATCACAGTACATGTACCACTTTAGACCCCTCTTCTAACATAGGTTTATTTCAACTTCAATTGTAAATCTAAATCTAGGTCATGACAAGAAACAATCTTGAAGAACCAGATAAAACTGTGATGGTCTAAATCTCAATCCTGTGCTTACAAAGACAGAACTATTGGAACATACACACACTATCACCCGCACAAAAAACACAACCACTGTGTACTCAAGCCTGCAGAGAGGTTAAAGGTGAACACAATAGGAATTAACCTACATGCTCTCACAGAACTTGGTGTGTGTGCTGGGTTTATCTTGATTCCTGCGGTGTCTGAACCAACGCTGGACCTTTCGCACCTCCCAGTCCAGCTGCTTGGACAGACCGTCCAGATGGCGAGAGTCTGGATTCTGTCACAAGAGGGAAGAAACAGCAAACAGCTTAGCTTAGAATGAGGAGCCCAACTGGGACGAACAATGTTTGCTTAATTACATACACAGTGTTCAGATCATGAATTATAGCAATTTTGCAAACAATTCACAATTTGGACTTTCATTTCTGAGCCTCAGACAATATCAGACTCAGCGAGAGCATATGAATTTGGCAATTTAAAAACAAAAAAAGAGAACAAAAGCTGATACAGCTTCTGCATGTCAAAAATGTGCATTTGTTTTGTTTCACGTGACTGTCATGAAATCAGATGCAGGAGTCTGAAGGAACTGAAGTTGGGCATAGACAGGTATTGCATTTGTCTCGCAGATTGTATAGTGAACTTTTGGGAATTATTTGATCTACATTATGACACCATTTCCAGTTTGTGATGGCAAAGAAAACATTGAATATTATTTTAACCAGGGATACTGAAACACAGCTAAATTAAAAAATGTATGCCTGGCATGTGACCCACAAGGCAGAGTGAAACACAAATATCTCACATGAGTTCTCCTACTGCAGTTTACGGTGTGTTTAAGATCAGCCAGCATTCTTTAAAATCTAAATAAAAGTACCAGCTGCGCAAATCTGATGATTTGCTGCTTTTCTTTGCCACACATACTTGACATATGATATAATATGCTTATAATATGTTGATTCTTTCTTTCTTTCTTTTTTTAATTTTACTAGGACAAGCATTAATATATAACTTAAAAAAAATAATCAGCAGCTAATCAGTAATAAAGTAATCAGTTGTCCTAGAGAATCATAAAAATCTATTATTAGCACAGTTAGCCTAAACAGAGCTAGGAATGAGTCACCTGAACTGAATAAAAGCTGACGTCCATATCAGATAAGAATTTTCATCATTGCAACAATTTTGCGACAGCGATAAGCGCAGCACTCTACACGGAATTATAAGTGAAAAACAATGATTTTCTGAAAGCCCTGATACATCTGACTTATATTTCTGTACAATAATACAGAAATGCTATAAAACCAAAAAAAATGTGGATGCCTTCTGTCAATTAAAATATCTGTTCCATCTAATTAATACCACATTTATTGAGCTTGGCCTTATATTGTCAATCTATTGTCCTAACCTTTACAAGACCAATTTAGTAATTATACATGTCTTGAGTTGTCAGATAATGTGAAGGACTTGTCAACCATTACTGATAATTATTGTAATTATCATTATTACAGAAGCACAAATGTTTTTTTAAAGAAGAAAGAGATGGTCCAAACCTTTGTGATGGATGTAAACACTTTCTCCAGCACTGCATTGGGCTGAGCTCTTCTTCCAACACCTTGCTGAATGTGGAGGCTTCGTGCACAGGCACTGGCAATAAATCTGTGACAGTAGTGAGAGACGGAGAATCATTACAGTTGTTAGACAAGCGCACTCAGTATTTTAGAAACATACATGACAGGTTTAGTCAGTGTTTTAAAATACCTTTCAATCAGCGACCACATAGCAGTCTGATGCATTTATAACTGTGTTCATTGCAAACGTATCGTAAAACAGACGGCTCTATTTTAACATGAGCTCATATGAGTCCAGAACTATAGATAACATCACAATGTAGTGACAGTGACTAATGGCCACCAGTGAAGTACAATAGAGCATACTACAAGAGCATCGCATCATCTGTTAGCTATTTATAAGGGAATGCAGTCCTCTCAGATTTAAAAAGATTGACACAACCCTCAACTATCAGGTCTCAGTTTGAGTTGGATCCTTTAGGTGTGCACAACTTCTGGCTCAGGGTGGGTTTGGTTTGGTACCAACATCTTCCTGCCATCTTATCTCTCTCGCTGTGCCCAAAACTGTACATCTGTTGTATGTCACGTGTTTGCAGCGAGGAAACTACAAGAGTGGTTATTGTGTTGCACTAGCCTGGGAGGCTAATAGCTAGCAAGAGATAAAATAAAGTAAAACTTGCTAAAGGGGAGCTTCACAAAACCCCCTGTGATTCTGGGATGTCATCTTCATTCTGGGAACATCATGACCCTGTATGATCCTTGCTTGCAGATCTGCTCTGCATTATAACCTCAGCTGGCACGATCAGTCTGAGAAGGAGCACTGCGTTTACCACAAATGTTTATTTTCACTAACAGCAGGAAACATTGGAGCTGTGCTGTGACTTCATAGGTAAGGCAAGTGGTGTACAGGGTCATATACCGACTGCTGGCTTAAATCTGTTGCCGTCAGTGTACAAAACTTGGCAACAACATGCACAAACAATTGCTTATTAGCTATTGCAGACCACTTTGTTTTGAGCTGGTGGACTGCTTCTGTGTAGGCTTGCATCACATCTACAATTATGTATTTTTGAGAAAGTTTTAATTTATGACCAAAGCAGCTTTCTGCATCCATTGGGTTTGGTCTAACAGACGGGCAATGGGCCAGATTTTGGTCTCAGTGTGATGCCCGTGCAGATTGTGGCGCTTCAACAATGGGTGCCTGTGCATAGTAATACAATGACCTTCAGATACACAGCTTTGAGTTATCAAAAAGCAGAGTAAAATCAGGGTTCTCCAAACACCTACTAGGAAAATGCAGCTGAATAAGGTGTTTCTAACCTGAGTGACTCTTTCAGAGGACAAAGGTGGACTGGAGCACATACATTAAGAAATTAATTAAAAGTTGTGAATGAATCTGTAGGTTCCACTCCCCTTTTATCAAAAGAGCATGACAAAAGAATTATTTAGCAGGATGAAAACTAGGCAGAACTGTCCCTTTAAATCTTATTATTGGCAAGCAGAATAAAAAAAAAGCTCAATCATTCACAAGGCTGTGCATTGTCAGTGTGGTTGCTAAAAATTACACTGAAACTCTTGAAGAAAAACATTCCTGTGATCTGTGAACATGGCCCGCCTTCTCGAACAGGGAAGAAAAAAAAAAGAGAGAAAGAAAATGTGAAGCTGCACTAAAGTTCACCTAACAGACAATGTCGTAGTAGATCTGTTTACAGAGTCATTTTGTAAGCTGCTTTTTGTGGTCCGTGCCTGAGGCTGTCTTAAAAAAATCACGAACATTAACTATCTCACAAGGTTAGTCGCAGATTTGTCCCCACTTTAAATCTATATATAAAGAACCAGATATGTCCATAAATAACGTCCAAGGATAAAAAAAATGACACCATGACAAATGTTGTCGCATTTCACTCAGTAGAAGAATTCAATAAAACTACACAGCAAACTGTCTTCTTTTTTGTAAAGCCATGGCATGACGATGTAGAATAAAAGACTACCAACAACACAGAATAAAAACAAGTTTTCTAGCACATTGAGGTACTAATGGTATTCTGTAAATCACCACAATCCCCACAAAGTCCCGCACTGTTCGAGGAATTGTGGAAATCATGACCTGCAGGCACATAACAATACAACTTTATGAGGGCTGTATTGTAAACTGTAGTTTGGTTTGAACCTGTGACCTTTTAGCTAACCATACCCCTCTTGTTAATAAGAAATGCAATTCCTCTGACTAAAATTAGACTATTGAGGGAACTTTGAGACAAGTGAGTCAGTAAGTGGTGAAAGCAAAACGTCCACCTACGAGTTAAAATGTCATGGTGGTACTGGATGATGTGATCAGGCAGCTCTCCGAACACAGCGTGACAGCAAAAAAAAAAAAAACAACAACATTGATATGAAGTAAAACCATACTTTTCACAACTATGCAATCACTTTAATGTCAGTTTATCAGTGGTTTCAGCACTAACAATGTACCAGTCAATGATGACTTTTTCCAGGCAGTCTGTGTACAAGTCAAAGCTTGACTTTCTAACCAACATGTCACGTGCTCTGATCTTCCAATTTCAAACACATTTTCAGGAGAAAGTGTGACTTGGAGGAGGATCGCACATGATGCAGGAGTGTTGAGCACAATTTTCTTAAGGTCTGGATCTTTCAATGATAAACACTGAGCATGAAAAAAGGAAATGCATAATAGCAATGGTTTACCTAAACAGGCTTTCCTGGACCCAACGAGCCAAGTAATAGTTACATAAACTCTTAAACCAATTCCATTTAAATAAATCATTTACCAAATTGTCTTAGTCACTCTGCATTAAGTATCTCTGGAAATCTAGTGTTTAATAAAGACTGAATATGACTATCAGCACAGATGTTACAGAGATATTCGAACATGCACGTAAACAGCCGAATATAATCAGGTTCCTCGAGTACTAGTTCGACAATACTGAAGAGGTACTGAGCCATGAAATCCCCTGTATGTTAAAACCTCCATTGTGTCACTTGTGTGCAGGGACAGGTGTCTCTGGTGGTAGGCGTCTGCAGTCCACCACAAATTAGCCTGAGCTATTGGGTGGCATTATGAGTAAAGCAGCAAAAAACCACTCAAAAGAGAAACTAACGCCTGTTGTTGGACGTGAAACCATTCCAGTTCTCCGTTTTTATTGCCTCCTTCCCTGCAATTACCAGATTTATATCATTTTATTTGATTTTTATTTTACTTCCTGTGATTCCAGACAGTTTTTTAAACAGAGATTTAAAAAAAAACAACTAACGATTCCTTAAGTAACCTTTGAAGACTTTACAAACTGAGTAAACTTTATGACACTGAGGGTAAACCGGGCCAAAACCGTAGTGAAAGGATGAGCCAGTGGCGCTGAGGTGCAAACGAACAAAGCAGAGCACATTTTTCAAAGAAGTCAGACTGGATAGATCAGTTCCATGTGGCATGATGTTGTTAAACATTACTCAAGGCAATCTGTATTTCATTGTTTAAGTGCACCCTAAACATAAAACGCTTTTAACAAGCAAAGTCAACAAGCAGTGATTGGTGTTTAGCACTTTGAGTTCACTCTCTAAGAATCTCCCTGTTAAACCATTAGCTGGTCACATGGGTAAGTTATAAGATGAGCTGATGTGACACAGATACAGGCTCTCCTGTGAGCGCAGGCTCTTCACATTTATGATAAACGGGAAAATGAATCGACAAATATCCCATGCAAGCCTCAGCATGTGTTGCTGATCGGAGGACAGCAGCAACGGGGGGGGGGCAGAGATGTAAGCTAATCTATTTATGTTAAATGTCAAAACATCCCTGTTCCTTCTCAGAAACTGACCAATCGACATACACAACGCCTGTTACCAGGAGACAGGCTTGGTGGGGTCTGTGTACACGGATGCTGGTAGCCCTGACGGCTGTGAAAGGAAGCGCAACGAGCTACATGCAACCTTGACTCTGGAAAACTTCCCAGTTCCAGGGCCGAGGCTGAAGCACAGGCTCAGGTCTATTCATAGCACAGTACTGGATGTAATTGTGGCCTTCATTTGACTTGACTTTAAAACGTGTGTTTCAAAACAGATATGACAGTTACACGGAAAAGGGACTTGGGGAAGAGGCAGTGTCAGATTGCGAGGGCAAAGCACAGAACCCTGAACAAGGGGAATGTTTAACACAAGACACAGACAGTATGTTTTCAGTGTCTAGCCTCAGTTCCAAAGGACGATAAAACACCTGTTAGTTTGTGAGGAAACAGATGACGAGGTCAAATCTGGCTAATTATAATCTCATGCACATCTCAGTTTGTAGTCTTAATACTGTTCAACTCATGGCACAGTTTACCAGGGCTTGCACACACAAAACAGCCTGACTACTCTCATCTACAAAGTCAGTGCCAGGAGCAAAGCAGCGATTATGATCAAACAAGAATGAACTGGTCGTGCAGAGAAGGAGGGGCGGGGGGGAGCCTGGCTGTGCTGAGCGCAACCATCACGTTAGTCAGAGAGAGGAACCGCCTGTAGGTACAAGAGGAATCCTGCAGATACACTCGTTGACTACATGTCAAAATGTGGCCTTTTGAGGACAAAAGCAAATGTTTTTCAAGACAGCAACAGGGGAGGGTGAAATGTGACACCTCGATGAGCTGCTTTAAAGGTGGAGTCTGCGATTCTGGAGCAAGATTGTCGATTTTCAGCTTGATAGCATGTTCAAGTAGTTCGCATGTGCCAGATTTATCACCCTGCCTCTCCCTCTTCCCCCTGTCCAGCTGACAGGCACAATGTGTACGAACGTGTGCAGGACATGCTGGAATAGTGTTGTGTGGTTCTGTCAAAGCCACTGTATTTGCTTCCCATTTACAAATTCAGGGCTGCGTATGAATACCGCGGAAATAAAACCACGGAAATAGTAGAAATTCCTGAAAGAAGGTGAAGTCTCACTTTAAGTTTAGTTTCAGTTTAAATAGAAGCCGTGACTGTAGTAAAATGAGCATGAGCAACGGTGGCTGTCGTGGTTTCTGCTGTTCATAGGTGAACACTTGGAACCTGGATTGGAAAGAGAGCTGCAATTTAATGCCTGGTTTGATTAGTTTTCTCTCCATCGACAGCCAAATCATTGCAGCCCTAATTGGGAGTGTCGAAGTGCAACCATGAGTTAAAGAACAAAGTCGAGCATCATGTTTGAACATGCAAAGCTGGATTACCCTCTCGGCAAAGTGGACACCAGATCCATTTGATTCATTTGCCATTACTGGTTTTGGCGATCTGAATCTGGCTACAATATAAGGGCAAGAAATAGCTTTTAAAACAGTGTTGAGACAACTGAAAACATAATGTACAGCTCAAATCAGTTTACTTGTAAATTAGGGGCCAATCGTAAACAATTAAGAAACTATGGGATCATGTTTTGCTTAGAAGCTGCACTGGCAAACTGTTCTGTCTTCAATCTGCACCCACAACTGGCCTCTTTTTTTTTTGGCAACAGCAGCTGAAGTCCATGGGTATTGTAATATTTTGAACCATCCAAAGAAAGCAGAAATAATATTAAATGGTGGCCCCAACATTTTCCATTGTTGCATCATCCAGGGGAGTTACACGTTTCTATGTTAAGTAACATTCATTCATTTAAACAAAATGTGTCTACAGAATGGGGAAACTATTTTTAGAACCAACCCCTCAAACGTTTCAACTCTGTCTATAATAGAAATGACCACAGGGCATACAAAAAATGAGGCCACGAATCCACACTAGCTTGTGACAGGATGCGTCTGAGAGCGCAGCCCCCCGTCATAATTCAACCTCATCAGTGTGCCCATGTGACCCTCTTACTGCAGATGTTCCAGCACAGCGTGCGTGCGCAAGTGTCGTGTGCGATACCGGGCCCAGTGTGTGCGTGTCAAACAGCACTGAGTGCATTTAAGTTCTGCAAAACCTGGAGCAGGAACTCAAGCTGTGGTGTGATATTTTCTACTGATAAATAAATGAATGAGGCAGTCAGCTGGCGGGAGTGTCAAGCAGCGACAGAGAGCAAACGTCCTCCGATAACATCGTCCTGAATCCAGCCGGGCTCTGCTGGAGGACGGCCTCGCATTAAAGAGGGACCGACTGGCAGATCTGCCACCGAAGACAGGTGGCTCAGTGCCATGAGCATCTTATCGAACACCTCGCTAACTCTCCTTTGACACCTCCAATATCTGATTACTCCTCATTAGACCATGTCTGAAGAAAAAAAAAGCCTGACACTGTGCTTGAAGCTGGCTCTGTGGGGATCAAGTGTAGAATACTAGTGAGTAGCATCTATATACATTTACAGGAATATTCAACGTAGCTCAATTTCTACCACACAAAAGTTGCCTAGATACCCTTTGAGGAAATCTGTTCCTCTACCTGCATTTCCACTGGAGGAACCAACTCATTTAATTAAAGTTATTTGCTCTAGGAAAGAGCAGCACAAGAGCCCAGGTTTTGGTGTCCATTTTTGTTTAGGGTAACATTCTGAGGTAACTTCAGACTGTCCTACTTTTGATGTCAGAGGACTAATTTGCCTAATCTTCCCAGGGCTTGGGCCCTGCTCTGGAAACGCAAATCACAAGACACCACAGGAACTTTTTACTCCGTGAAGGTTTTCTGCCAATCAGTTCTTGGGAAATTAAAGTTCTGCTACATTTGTTTGTTTGTGGTGCAAAAGTGCCTACAGAAAGCCATTAGATTAAAGGTCACACACTGCTAACTGGCTAATGGTGAGTCCTTGGCTCTTTTATCATTATGTGATCCTGAAACAAATAACTGTTTAGAGTTAGGCAGTCAACTAGCAAGCGAAACACCAGTGCCAGGGACACCACCAGTTTTGTGTTGCACATCGTAATGAATTACCTGTCACAGATAATCAGTCCAGCTGTTGAGAAGGTAGAGCTATACCTTAGCAAGATGAAATGGAAGCAAGTCACACTACAGCCATTATTTTCTATTCATTTAGGAAATATACTTGCACCACGTCTGACCGCAGAGTGAATATATTAATACTGCTGATATTTTCTGTATATATATAGATATGTATTACGATATAGTACAATGCTCTGGAAAATGGGTTCATAGATAAAACACCCAAATGAAAACAACCTCTGCATGCACATTTTGACAAAATCTCTCAAATTCTAACAAATTTGTATCATCACACATTACCTAACAGCTAGATCAGACCTTTGATATTTCTCCATATGCAGAACACCTCCATCCTCAATTCAGTTGCTTAAATAAAGCAATGAATGAAATAACAGAAATGTGAAGTAATTGAATAACTGCAAGTCTAATTTTGGGTACTTGAATTACACTCAATAGCAAAAGTCTAAAGGTGAGTAAAAAATGACTTTAGGTCATGTATTATGGCATGCAATGGTGCCCATTTAATTGGTTTTAGCTTTACTCTCCTCTAACACTTTAATACTGAAGCGAAGCATCGCACAATGAGCTCCACTACAGATCTGTAAAGATTCAGAAACTGACTCAGACTATAGAAAGGCTAAACCTCCCTCATTGTGTCAAATACTGCACTGAAACTTGGAATGAAATGTGCTGTTTACATTAGTAAAGCCACCATATTAGAAAATTCAGCACTGCAGTCAGTGTAAATGAAAGTGAGTGAATGTGTTTTTGTGATGCTACTCTGAGCCGTCAGCAGACATGAGATCCAAGTCCATCAGTGCAACTCACGCCAAGTGCAAATGAGAAGAGACCTGTGGTTGTTTAGCTGGACCTCGCGGGTTTGTCAAACTTCGTCTTCAGAATCCCTTTCACACCTCCTCACCTTCAGGACTGACAGGCCAAAACTTCCCAAACAGAAACAGTTTAGAGTGACCAACAGTGACAGTCAGGGTTTGCAGGTGAGTAACTTGTGTGACACCAGACTGACTCACCCTTCTCTGTCAGGATACCCCTACCCTGACATTGCCTAACATGCAAAACCACTGCTTTCCATGTTATCAGCATTATAGTAGTGAGCTTGGACTTATCTTATCTTTATTTGAGGAAGAAGGTCAGGCGAGCAGTGAGGCAGCTTCATAACATCTCAGCTATGCAGCCAATAGGCAAACAAATGATGAGAACTTCAGTGCTGTGGTTTGATGGAGCTTAAATGTCTCCAGGACGTCTCTGCCTAATTGTGTGGCAAGGTCTGCAAGCTGGCAGGCCTCCAGATGTGTACCGAACCCGGGGTGTGTGTGAGATGCCTTCTCCAATTATGCAGCCAGAACAAAAGCACAGCTTAACCTTTGCACAGGTCTGCATAGATACCCCTGATGCTGATCATATATGTGACAATAGATGTGGCAGGAGCAGCAGACTGGCAGGGAGGCTTCAGCACCTTCTACAAGGCATGAATCAGTGACAGTGAACTGATTGGTAAAGCAGGAGTTTCACTGAGATGAGTTTGAAGGGGATTGCTAGCAAAGTTATCACTTTGAACCACTGTTAGCCCCCTGAGAGGATGTTTAAGGCTCATTTTAAGCATATATTCCTCTTCAAAACACAGTAGAGAAACACAATAAGACAATAAGCAGACTGAAGTTGTGCAGCTGAGCCACTGCCAATAAGGAAATTGGCGTTTGGCATGAGGAAAAACTGGTGAATCCCTGATTTAAGCCACAGATGAACACACTGGTCCTCCAACGACTAGCTAACCATCACTCTGCTGGCCAGGGTGGGGGTGGGGGCTGTCACTTAATAGTAACTTCTCCTCACTTACAAGCAAACACCCAACATGAGCGGCACATACGAACCTTTCGAAGACTATCCTAACGGCGAAAATCCCCAAAGCCAACGGCAAGGCAGTAAACAAGTGTCCAGCTTTGGGATACTCCACCCCGGGAGCTGGGTCCGCCAGATCCGCCCAGGTTACATTGTGCGGCAGCCAGAACCTCTCGTTCCAGAACCAGGCTGAGAGAGCAGCCATGTTTCTGTTGCTTCCGGTCCCCCGGGTGGTTTGAAGAAATCACTTTCTTAAGTGAAAGAAAGGATGTGTGGAACTTGCTGGGCGTCTCTCCTGCCCCTGTGTCACTTGCCACACTTAACTTTACCGCACCAGCGTCAAGTGCGCCATCACGGGATCCGAGCTACCGGTTGACCTTTTCAAAATAAGACGCTTGATGGTTCACGCTCGGAAGCAGTTTTAAAACTTAGATCGTTTTTTTTTATTATTATTAGTTTAGTTCAGTAAAAAAAAAAAAGTTAAGTTAAGGTCAGCAAATAAGTAAGTTTACTAATATAGCACCTTACCATACATACAGAGAAAGGTGAGATAGCAGACTAAAATTAAATCAAAGAAAAACAGAGTAGAATAAACGGACCAAAAATTCTATGAAGCTAATAAAACTGATTGAGTAAGTTGACTGACTAAAACAGAGGGAAAAGATGGAATACAAGAAAACATTTTTTTTTAAAAACCTGTTTAAAAAAATGACGAGTAAAAAAATAGAAATGAATTAAAATTAAGCAAACACAAATGGAGACAAGTTAACCAAAAGTACAAACAGTACAGACTAGACTTTCTGAAGTAAAACTGAATCATTTCAAGCAGTGGGGAATGAACTGGTTGAAGTTGGGGCAAATCTAAGTTCCTAGAGGAGCTGGTTCCGAAAGTTTGCAGCCAAATGACTGAACACAATTTTACTTTGTCTGGTCTGAACTCTGGGCACCACTGACTGGCCAGTCCCTGCAGACCTGCCACGCTCCAGCAAACATATCTCAAGGTTATTTTGGGCTCAGACCAGTTAGTCTTACTGACAATCAGTAGGGCCTTAAATTTAATTACATCAGGTTGCATTTAGCTGGAAGCCAGTGCAGTGATCTAAGATTGAGTTTAATGCATTCCCTCTTCTTGGTGTCCGTCAGTAATGTAGCAGAAGCATTTGAAACAAGTGCATTACAGTAGTCCACTCTACATTTACATACATTATTGAGGTTGTTTTGGGGGGGAAGGGGTTAAAATCTTGCTTGAACGCAAAGTTCCTCATGTTTATTTTTAAGATGCCAGAATAATGATTTAGTTAGAGCTTTGATAAAATTCAGATCTCAAGCAATAATTACACCATGGTTCTTGACCTGTTTGTGAGTTTTTAGAGCCATGGTGTCAAACTAATCCCCCATTTTTTTATTGCCAAATACACTTATTTCAGTGTTGTCTTTCTTTAATTAAAGGGAGTTTGTGTTCTCATAAGCTGACCTTACTTGTTGACCTCAGATTTGTTTTGTAAAGGAAAATGCTGTGTTACTACTTGTTATGAACTATTCTGACCAAACAGTTATACATATCTACAAAGAGAAAAATAATAATTTTCCAATAAATGGCGATTTTATTTTCTCATGTTGAAAGTCATACAGTCCAGGTTCCTGTCTTTCGTGGCTGTCACCGGCTAACTTTACAGATCTTGGCTGCCGCCCTGAGATGAAGACTGGAATTGAGGAAGTGAAGCGAGTCCCTCCTCCGTCAGAGAAGGGATGGGTGCAATGCATGCATGGCATCCTTCTCCCTCCACTTCTACTGATGGGGCCACACTGTGGTCACATACTTTGATATCTGAAGTGCACTTACATACCTGGTGAGATTTGTAGTTTCAGCTCAGTAACCTATACGATATGTTATCTCAGCAGGTAGATAGGGTGGAGGGCGTGATTGTGCTTGAGATGATTGCACTCCCAAGTGGTCAGAGGTTGTATTACATGTTGAAACTGTCAAGAAACATTATGCAACATTTTAATCAATATAAGTCTATTTTCTATCTGTAAAGACTCACATATGCACTGCAATGTATTAGAAGTCACTGTAAATCTCTGTATTTGTTCAGTTACAGTTTGCAGAATTTCAAATGGCGGATCACGTTTCTGTTTCTGCAACTACACAATGGAATAGTAGTTCAAAAAAGGAGCATCCCTCCATCTGCGTTGTCTAGCAGGGATAAGGCAGCTGCAGTTGCTGTCTGTAGCCTAATTATAGATGGACATTTGCCCCTTTGGAGTGTGTTATTATTAGAAATCTCACAGGGCTGTTGACTCAATAACTATGCAAGGGATTTCAGCCACGGAATCAGATTTTTAAAACAAGTGGCCAATTATGTAACTTCACAGTTCGCCACACAGCTGCTGATATATCATTTGTGTGATCAAAGGACATCCATGGGGGAAGGATTTGATTTGATTTGATTTGCTCCAGTGCTTTTATAAATTACAATACTTGCAGGACTGGATATGCAAACTTTTATTTCAAGGCCAGAGGAAGCAGGCTACGAGATTTACAGGAACTGAGCGCTGATGGGATACGTTGGCATATGGAGACGGACAGATGGCTGCGACTGTGTCTCCGGAGATGTTCGTGACTTAATCAAGTGGGTTGAAAAACACAAGAAAAGATTGTTTCAATATGAAGCTATTAATCCTCGAACTGAATTAATTACAGCATAAGAAATAAAGCACATAGAAGAATGCAGTCATCACCTATGAAAGCTGTGACAGAGGCAGGACGTGCACTTAAAGGCTGAAGTAGACGGCCTAGAAAATGGTAAAGGTGAAGAGTTTAGAGTGGCAGCCGAGCTAACCTCAGGTCAGGTTACAGTGAAGCTGCTCCTCCACTTCTATACGAGTGTATTCTGCAGGCAGACTCCAGAAAACATGCAAAGTAAAACTAGTTCAATAATTTATTCCAGAATAAATCTTGTACAGTAAATGGTTACAAGAAATTCAAATGAAAAACATTTGGTGGGAGTGGCAACTGTTTGTTCAGCGAGTCAAGTTAAAGCACTTTTACCCAAGAAATCATTTCATAACATTCAAGTTATGGTTTGCGTTTTTATGTATTTTGTACGACAGAGTCATTCAAATTTTTTAAAACTTTTAAGACTTGGAAGATTTAATAATCAGTAGAAACAGAACCAGAAACAGTTTCTATGTCTCTGTTTCTAATTTAATAACAGCAGGTCAACACAGGAGCTCAGGTAGGTGAAGGGCGACTCCATTTTTTTTTTCTTCCCTCCAATGTTTGAGACTCAAACAAGAGAGGAGTTGAGATTAGAACCAGCCTGTCCCCCCCATAAACTCCTTAGTTATACAGTAGTTCTAGTGTGAAAGTCTTTCACAACTTCCATCCATTCACCAGTCCTCATGTCAGTCCTTCACATGTGCTCTGGGTGGTTTTGCAAACACTTGATGAACTCTGTGACTGGGTGGCTGTTGAAGCAGATCTGATAAACAGCAGTGAAAAGAGGGAACCTGGTGGGGGGAGAGAGCATGATGGAAATGATTAAAGGAACCATTCAGTATTTTGGGGAATTAAGTGAGCTAAGCTGACAATAGCGTTGTATTTACATATTCATCTTGCTCTCTACTACAATGCATGCAAAAAACACGATGCAAACGTTTTTCTGCACGTAGAACTCAAAGGCACTCAGTGAAACCTGACATGCATCAGTGATTGTACTCATTTTAATACCCACATGGATCTTTTTATACAGATCCTCTTAATGAAAAATGACACAGGCTTACTTTTCCACCATATTTTTCTGTTTGAGGACTTGGTGGACCTCGGTTGCCGTGGCTGGACCCTGAAGCTTCTGACCGTTCAGCAGCTCATTTTCTAACTGCTCGATGGTCTAAACAGACAGATGATCAGTTTTACGACTTTATGTTTTGCACAAGAACCTACAGAGACAGGTGTCAACGAAGACAAACACGAGCTCCTTCTTACTTTTCCTGTTTTGGCGAATGCTTCCCCAATCTTGCGGTTGCGTCCGCCGTAGCAGGTGGTGATGAGGTCAGCGATGCCGCAGCTCTCCAGGAAGGTGGCGGGGGAGACAGCGCAGTCCGTGCAGAAGACCCTGGCGAAGGCAATCATCTCCATCAGGCCGAGACGAATCACTGCCGCCTTGGTGTTGTCACCGAATCCCAAGCCATCACAGAAGCCTGCTCCGACCGCCACAATGTTCTGAGGTGATGATAAAAGGTAAAAGCTGCAGTGAGTGTGCTGTGTACTAATGCACATAAGGAATCAAATTGCCGAGATGAGAAATATGTTTTTTGACAACCATCTTCTTTGCTCTACAGTGGCTCTGAGCCAGCGGTGTGCCTGCAGATTCTATTAGATATATATCTTTTGCTGTTTTTTGATACAGACACACATTATGGAAAATACTGTTTCTGTATAAAACAAAACTCCTAAATTATTTTTATTAAAAAAGGATGTAATTGGCAAATAGTTTGTGTTACTGTTGGACCAAGATGTAGACATAGATGCATGTTCTACTGGTTTTGATTGAACATCAGTTTTAAACTAACCAGCTTTTACAAAACATATCTGAAGGATTTTAAACATCTCAATTTCAAGGACAAATATCAGCAAACGTCAACAAAAACTAAAAAAGGGTAAAAAGGGTATTTTTGTAAATGGAATGACTGTGTAATAAGGTATTGTAAGCATCTAAGCACTTATTGATTAGTTTGGCAAAGGAGAAAAACCTTGAGCGCTCCGCAGATCTCCACAACATCAGACTCCTCCACCACAGTCACACGGAAGTTGGTGGTCTGCATCAGCTCCTTCAGCAGCGGCCCCAGCGCTTTGTCTTTGCATCCTGAAATAACAAACCAATCATGAGCAGCCGCAAAAAAAAAAAAAAAAAAAAACCTACAAGGTCCTGCCAAGATACCATTTATTCAAATAAATGACCAATTTCAGGGTGCTGCGTTTACTCTGTCCCATGCAGTGTACTACACAAACTGATAGCATTTTATATACAAATGAACAGTTTATTTCAAGGCTTGTGGCTCCAAAAGATGTGTTCTGATGTGTTCATGGAGCGTAAAGTACCACAAAATATTTCAATTTATGTAGATTATTAGGAAATAAGAGGTCAGCGTTTGATGATAGTCTGAACTGATAGCCTTTAATTAAATATCATCAAGTCATCTGGAAGACAGGGTCTCACAATACGTTCTATATACAAGAAAGGCATGTCTGTAGATGACTGTATCATCTTAGACAATAACAGCACTCTGCTTATTTCATTCACTTTTGTCATTTTATTAAAGAAGTAAACTCCATACCAATGGTTGTTTCGCAGAACTTCTCGTCAGCGACCTCATTGGCAATGTTTGCACCCATGAGGACCGTCATGGTGATGCCCAGTTTCCCTCTGATGACCTCTGAGATCAGCTTCAGACCCTCTGGACCCGCATCAACCCCCTGAGAGCAAATAGATTCACATAAAATAGATTTGTGCAAAAAAAAAAAAAATTAAAAAAAATCTAATTAAAAAAATACCTTTCATGCTTCAGTGCATTGTGTTTCATAAGGGAGATGTTACCTTGATGAGAGACATTCCTACAGCATCCTTCTTTATGTGGTCTTTGATGGTGTCGCACACTCTCACAATGAACTGGTGAGGCACCACGAAGATGAGGATGTCGGCTCCTTTCACAGACGTGGCCAAGTCTGCAACAGCCAGCTGATGAAAGGAGAGGAGTCAGGGTGAGACTTCAACCATTGACAAAGAGAGAAAAACGCAGCATATGTGTGTCCTCCGTGAGTGTTTTCAGACTCACCACATTGGGGGGCAGCTTGTGACCGGGCAGATATTTCACATTCTCATGGTCTGTGTTAATGATTTCTGTGAGCTTGCGGCCGTTCACCGTCTCCTCGAACACCCACATGTTCACTGTGGTGTCAAACTTGTCATACTTGGCTGCGTTGGCACCCACGATCTTGGCGATGGCAGAGCCCCTGGGAACACACGATAATCAGGCAGGATGCAGGCTCTTTTTTTGGATTTATTGTCTCCCAAAAAAGGTTAGCTGTCCCCTGTTTTCCTCTGTGAAATGTTAATGACACTTGGTTTTTCAGTTCTATTGGGGCGCCGCAGGGACAAAGGTAAAGAACTGAAAGGTTGACATATTGGACATTTTTTGGATTAGACAGACATATTGATTCTTTGATATTGCTCTGACTGAAACTGGCCTTATTTGATTTGTATGCGTTTTACATAACAAAATGTTCTCATGTCAACTATTGCTGATAGTAAAGAGCTTGCACACTGACGACAGCTATATAAACAGTATTTTTTCTTTTTAAGAAAAACAATAAAATCTATTTATTTCAACATTTTCTGGACAGAAAGCAAACTGGCACATGGACCTCCATCAGTCTGGACTGCAGCTAAGAAATGTACAATGACGTGAGTTGAATAGTTTTAAATTTATTTTCTTGGCAAAAATAACACCACGGGGGAAAAATTAAAACCCTCTGACCATTTTTTTAATACAAGGGTGGTCTCGTTTAAAGACCAGCTATTCAATGTCCACATAACAACAGATAAAAGCTGCAAGAAATCCCCTTAAATGATCTTATATCAAGATTTGTTATCAGTCAGTTGACCTTTAATTAGTAGGTATAGGTCAGATCAGGTACTTTGGGGACTTAAGCACTTCAAATAATTGATTAATTGTGAACTATTAAGTTAATCACCAACTATTTTGAACATCAGTTTGAAGAAGGAAAAACAGGTACAAACACAAAAACAAATATTTTCTGGTTTCTTTGCTCCTCAGGGCTATGGAAATAACAAGACCTTTGATGACTTTTTCACCATTTTATGACATGATAGACAAAAGAAAAGTAAAAATAATCATTAGGTGCAGCAAGGCACTATAACACTTATGTAATACTGTAGTTTACTTATGTTCTACTTTTTATTTCACTGCATTAATTTGAAAGATACTTGGCAAAGAAAGATTTTACAGAAAGAACTAAAACCACTTTGGGAAAATACGATGCATTACTAAAGATTAAACAGCCCAAATATGCATACATTTGCTTAAATGCTCTCTCTACACCAGCTTAAAAAATGCTGATTATATGGCATTGCATCAGCAATGTGCATCAAATTATATTATGTATATTAATATAGACTCTGTCAGATAAAATCCTTCTGCATGAGTCTGTTTGGCTTTGAATCCATTTTGCTTCTTGTAATATCCACTTGTTCTACAGAGCAGTTTTAAATGTGCCGGAGTAGTGCACACTGCTGGCAGCACTGTCTAACCTAAATGTCATGCTGGCTGAGGGACATTAGACAATCTTTACTAAAGATTTTTGCTGAGGCATCAAAGGTCCTATTCTCAGAAAACCAACATCCACTGTGCAGTCTGGAAAAACAGCAGGAGGGTTTATGAACTTTATGAATCATTTATCTGCTGTTAACAAAGGCTAAAGTTGCCTCCTGGCCTCCAACTTTGCCAGACTGCATTCACACAAAGCTTGACGGAGCGTGAAATCTTATCCACAGAACAGAAATAGCGGTCTGGCGACTGGAACCTTAATATTGCGCACCACCGACAGCCTCCCTCCCTCTTTAAACTCTGATCTCGGATTCAAACCTAAAGTGCATTAAAGTTGGTTTTGCACTAAAAAAAAAAAAAAGCCTTTCGCTCACCAGTTTCCAGAACCGATCACACAGATTTTCTTCGGAGCTGCCATCGTGTGTTTGACCTTCCAGGCGGAGCTGCTGCTGCTGCCGGTGCGAAGACGGAGCGAGGCCGGGACAGGCGGTATTTATACCGGACACACACACACAGCTGGGGCTCAGGAGCACCCTCCTCCCCACGGTTGGTCTGACAAACTTTCTCTCACTCGTTTGTGCGCAGCAGCAACAGGGTGCTCCAGGATCCAGATGCGTAGCAGCCGCTTCCTTTGACTTTCCAGTGATGTTGGAACATGATCAGACAAACCTGATGGAGCCTCTGAGGTGAAAGAGTTAACATCATTACAAGAACCGGTTCACTCAGGCTTATCACAGAATACAATCAGAGCAGCAGCTATTAACTGATTAATCATTCAGTAATCTTTAAAAAAAAAACAAAAAAAAAACCAATTAATCATTGAAATCTTTTTACAAACACAAAGTCAAACATTTGTAAAGCAGCACTTTAATCAAGTACTATAGTTTGTGTACTTCTTTTGAGATACTTTGAGTATAAAACCCACTTTTATAGACTTTTATGTAAAGTTTAGTTTTAGCTTTGATTAGTTTTAGTGTTCTATTCTGTTTTGATGCACTATCTACCTGTTTCTTCTAGATGTTTTCTTTTGGTTTTAATTCTTTCTAGCTGCCTAGTTCTGTGGTGTTTTTAATTCAATAAATTCTCAAGTCTTCCTTGATTGTCTCTGTATTGCATGTTTTCACCATCAAAGCATCTTGTGAATGCTGTTGCTATGTAAATAAAGATATTATTGTTGTTATATTTGTCAAAAATCACATACAGATTTTGCATTAAAATCTGAAAAACACACCTGATAAGCTCATGAAACACAATGATATATGCATTTCTACTATTTTAATCAAGACATCATGTGTTTCTATTTGCATAGAATAGAAATACTTGAGTAGATCTGTTTAGTTACTACTGCAAGTCTTTGACTGTGAGCATGCAAAACTGCAATCACAATGCACTATTACATATTAAACCATCCTCTTTTGACCGTACACTCAAGCAGACCTACCACATGTAACAAGGAGTCCTTACAACAGATTACACTCTGTTCTTCTCAGATAACTCCATTTACATGAGGCCAAAGACAAATTATGATTTCACAAAAAAACAGAAAAAAAAGACATATGCTTGAATTATTACTGTGTACCGTTAATCATCACACTCAGTTATCTGGTTTCTCCAAGCCCTAATGTGGCAATCACAAAACTGCTGAACTGCATCTGAAAAGAAAGAATTTAAAGTAGCTGTTTCCATCAGCGACAACAGTAAGATGCAGCTTGTGCATAGATGAATCTGTACTAATAGTTCATTTATGTATTGTCATATTTATAAGGTGTGGAGTGATGACTTGCAATAGAGTACATTTACATTGTTTTACTGCAGTAAATGATCTGAGAATTTTTTTATTTTTTTCCCTTCTGTGACTCAGTGGGTACATTTAAATTTGGATAGTTAACACAAGTCATTTCATTCAAATCATATTGGATTTAGGATTTGTTTTGAGCATTGAGATAGATAAAAAATAGCATATCTAATTCCAAAATGATCTAATTCTGACACATACAGAACTTATAACTGCTTAAAATATTAAAACATGCTTAAAAATCACCGACAACAACAGAAGCATTTTACATACCCTTTATTATAACATAAGAACATACAGAAAAATAGGTTTGGTCCATGAAAAAGTCTGCAGATTCATGTAATTCTACAGTCCCCCCAGTGTTGTGTTTTAACACCCCAGAGGTTCCCAACTCTCATTCCAAATCATGTACCTGCCCAAACCCTGATTAGTGTATTCTTGGATTTTGTTAATAAAATGCACACACGCAAAAATTTCAGCCAGGACACTCATCTTAACCTCAAAAAGGGAAACAACCATTAAACCCAAAGATGACATGTCATCAGTCAGTATACGAAGAAGCTACCACTCCTCAAATCTGCTCTGCCACATTTGTTTATGGCTTCTCTGCCTGGGATTAAATTACAATAGTCTAAAAATGCAGAAATTGTAACTATTCTCACCTTGAAAGCAACATAAATCTGACTGCATGTAGCGCTGCAGAGCAGCGGCTGTCAGATGAGACGGCCTTCTTTATACTGTGGAGAGCTAAATCGCTGGGCTCTGAGAGCGCGGGCCAATCAATAATATAAATACTGGTTCAACTATCTGAGCGTAGACAAAGACTTAAGAAAAAGATCAGCCAAGTTAAGTGATACATTTTACTTCACATCCATCTTCAATTTTTTTTCTGCTCAGTATTTACAAAACTATATAGACTAGAGGTACTCATACTAGCTACTTCCATGATAATCTGTACTAGCTAACAAGACAAGTACGGATATAATACATATTCTTAAAACAAGGATCATTGACAGTAACAAAAAGAAATAAAAAACAAAAACTACTTCATACTAAATGGCACCCTTAACAAAAGATAACCGCTTTGCCACAGCAATGTATATTCTGCTGTGATTGACTGAGCTTGTACAACAGACTGTGACACAAACTGTCAAAACAAACCGATGACAACTTAATACAAACTGACACATGAACAGCCAATGTGCAGCAAAGAAGCCCGATTGATTACAAACACAATCACAATTAATATTTATTTAAATGGGCAAGCATCTGGGGGGAAGGGTTAGGAGTGTAAAATGTAAATTTACTTTCCAAAAAGGGAACAAAGAGACACAGCCGTCTCGACACATTCCGGCTGATTTAAGATTTTTTTTTTTTTTGTTCCGGGGACGTAATACATGAAGAGTTGCCAGGTACAATCTGCCCTCTGCTTTCATTTGTGTACAATCTGTACTTTTGTGTGGACACAATGTATCAAAATGAGAGGAATGTTTCCAGGTAAGCCTTAGACATGCAAAAGAAAATAAAAAAGAAAATTGTGCTCGAGGAGCTCTGTTGTGGAGTGGGGGCAAAACTTTTCAAAAAAACCAAAAAAAAAAAAACAACAAAAACTAAGTAGAACCCAAATCGCAATCGTGGCCGAGCTGCAGGGTGAAAAAGAAAAACTGACATCCTATATAGGTGTGAAGCCATCTAGTATCTATGTCTCTCTCTAGGTTTTTCATGAAACTCTGGGAGAAATTCAGTCTGAAAATCCCACGCACACACATTAGTTGTCTCCAACAGCACAACAGCATCTTCTCATTTCCTGCTGCATGTGGACCGATTTCTTTAGGTGTTCCTGATGCCGAGCGCCTGCTCCAGCTCCTGTCGCCGCTGCTGGACCTGACATCACCAAAAGACAATGTCATGATGAAAAATGTTGAAGTCAACAATGGATATGATTAAAAACAACACGAGTAAACTGACTGCAGTCAAGCTAGACAATAAAAAACAAAGACAATCGCATAATATGATGCTTACTATGTCCATTACTGCAGTTTTGCGTGCTGACATTTGCTAATTAGCACTACAACAATCTGACCACTTTAATTCAGTGGCCAACAGATAATTAAACAGCATTACTTTTATAAAGGTACGATTGAATTAATTAGTTCAACACTTATGCCATGTATTTACCGGCTCCATATTCTCAAATGTGATGATTTGCTGCTTTTTGACCGTAAACTGAAGATCTTTGGATGGTGGCAACATTTTGAAAAGGCTCCAGAAATAATAGACATTCTTCACTAATTTTTGATGTCTTTCTGACATAACGCTCGACAAATTGAGAAAATAATCAGCAGACTATCCGGTGATTTACATGTAGCCCCAGGACAGACAGCTCTAGCGATGATATTTCTAAAAAAAAATGAGGAACACTACTGATATCATTGTGTTAATTAAAAGGCAGCCTTATGCATGAAACAATTGATTACCAAAGTCATCACTATTTATTCTTGAGAACCATGAATGTCTCTACAAAATTTCATGTCAATCCTTCACATAGCTGATGGATTAAATATTTTATACTGAACTGGTAGGACTTTGTTACTGGCATAGCTAGAAAGAACAACCACAAAATATGAGAGCAAGAACAAAAAGAGGAATAACTGATTACCTTGGAGTAGAAGTAGCGACAAACTGCCTCCTGAGCCCACGGCTGGTAGTAAAACTCGGCCCTTCGCTCCTCTTCTGGGTTTCCTACCACATCTGTCATGGTCTGTTAACAGAAAAAGATATTATTAGACCAAACTACATCTGAACTAGTGCTACAGCTGATAAATTAAAGAGCACAGGGTCTTTATAGGGTCGACTGGGCAGCTGCTGTGAGAGGAACCAGCGAACTTCAGACTGAATTTGTCCAATTTTACAGAGATTCGGCTGAACAAACACTGCGGGAGGGTGACAGGCTGGTCAGCAGTTAATCGGCTCACTCAGCAGACAGAGGGGGGTGAACGTGCATCCAGTCGGACATGTTATTAAATGTTTCATGCTCTATTTTACCGTTACACCTGAGTGAGCAGCATGAGCCTTGTGTTTGGAGGAGGAGCTTGTGCGCAAGATGTCAAGATTCCCGTTTCCGTAGTTGAACAGTGGATTTAAACTCAAGTCACTGTGACACAGCAGAGCACAGCAGGGCCAAACACTGTTAAGTTCAAACTGTTACTTTGAGTCAAACATAGCAAAGGACATCTTAATGTTTGTGTTTTTTAAATATGACTCGTAACATTTGAATTAATGCACACCAAGTACATTTCATTAGTTATCATCTATTTGTGTTATACAGGTATGGTATTTTGAAGTGCTTTTGAAGGTCCAGCCCATTATAAGTTATAAAAATGCAAACAGCGCTATTTTTCAAAGATTGCCAAGCCTGGAACATTCACTGAAGAGACTGTCTGATACCACTGGGACTTAAACGAAAGTTGCGCTTCATTTCTGTTGTGTCCAATCTGGTACAGTTGCAGTTGAAGAACCTTTAGAGCAGGTTCAATAACATCAGTGTCCCTGACTCATTGTTATAAAGCTGGTATCAAGTCTCTATTTCATATGAGAAGGAAGGAAAAATGTCAATTTCTGCTGGAGTTTTTAACTTATTATTCTCGTTCAGTGATAGGAAAGAGACTTATTGAATTTCAAAACTCTCCCCAACGCCTCTCATGCATAGAGCCCAGGGTTGCTTATTTTGACCTTACAGTTTTACAGCTGGTACTGACTGAATTTAGGGAAGCTTTTTTTTTTTTTCCCAGATAGGAGTTTTAAAAAAAATAGCCTAGGGCTTAAGGGTTCATAGTGTTTCTGCTTCCCTACATTCCTTTATGTCTAGAAATAAACCATCCACAATGGGCTTGCAGTTGTTGTATGCAAATAAGTTTTACAGGCTCTTAGGTCAAGTGTATTTTTTTCTTTTTTTTAAATATAACCTGAATCACAGACATGCCCCAGGAAAAACAACACAAAAGATCCCATCTCTACAGTGGGGAAAAAACATGAAATAGGCGTCTCTTGTATAGAGCAGACAGAAATAAAAACGGTGGAATTGCACTATGGAGAAACAGAATAACAACTGAAAACGATGAGTCACGTCCCCTCTACTGGAAATGCCACACAACTTTACATCTTTCTGCTGCGTTGCATTCTGATCTTTCGAGGTTACTGTCAGTGGAGAAACGGGTACTGCTGCTTCTTCATCTTTCTGATCCACAAGGGGTTTCTTCCTGAATGACTGTTGAGCATTCAGGCAAAAAGGCTAACTCAGCATTTAGTCATCAAAATGACTGATGCCATGACCCCATATAAATGTGTTCGAAACATTAGGTGACTGAAAATGTTTTCCCCATTTAAAGACAAATGCTACATTCTAAATAGACAATAGCTGTCATATGTACCAAAGCAGAAATAACATGCTATCTAATGTGATGGTGGACCAAAAATAAAAGACTTTAAATGTAAGTTACAATGAGCAAACTCACCTTGAGGTCTCTGCACTGGGACTGCAGCCAGTCGTTGATAAAGCCCTGAGGATCTCTGGCAAAACTTAACATGAACTCTCTCTGGGTCTTCAGCTGGTTAATGGTCTCAATGGTTTCATGGATCTGAGAATAATGAAAAGAGAGGACCCGTCACTTAAATAGTCTTCATTTGATGTGGTTATTCTAATAGAATAGCAGAAACACTGGATATCTGAGGACAGCTGTTTAGTATGCCCAAGTTCAGTGGTTCCAAAATTGGGTTACATCAGGGCATCCCTTCATCATGGCACCACAAAATATATGAGCACTTTTAGTGTTGCAGTTGCACAGATAAATCTGTTCCTTTGTTTGCTTGGACAGTTGCCATTTCTGACTCCCACGGAACTTGAAAACCTGCCACAAAGTGTGTTGTCTTACTATAACAAATGGCAACTGTGCAGCTGTTGTCATCAGTCTTAGCTGTGGTAAAACTGCACATTTAACTGAGTTTTAGTGTAGAGATTTAGATGTTAATTGCTTATTTTTTTTCTTTTTGATACATTAAAAACATAATAAAATTGTGGTTAACTTAGAGGCCACTTGTTTTTAATTCAGTTACATCATTAAAAATGTCCAGTAAAAAAAAACAAACACTGCAGTGCTTTGGGCCTATAGTTACACTATGGAGTTTTTTTGTTGTTGTTGTTACACTAGTTATGATATAAAACAGTTTTTTATGAGCAGATGCCCTCCATGTCTGTAATAATGTGACACATACTCCTGTGGATGTTTCAAACTATTTTTGTGATCTAAAGGTGGTGCCAAAAAATGTTGCAATGCGCAAACAAAGACGAAAGAGGAGAAGGCTGCTGGCAAGTAAAAATGGATATAAACAATGCAGGTTTCAGAATGTTAAATAAATCATCTTGCTAATGTTTTCTCAAGGGAGGAAATGCCTTCAATGCTTTTGTGAAAAGTCATATATATGCAATGCATTTTAGTGAGTAGTAGTACATTTAAAAGGTACCTCTGTTTTTTTATAATAAAACTTCACAAGTCTGACTGATGAAGCCTCACTTTGTACTCAAGGCTGTTAAAACTAATGTATTTTACAAAAAGTTGGAAAAGAAGAGGGTCACCCTTACTTGTATTTTTAAAAAAAGAAAGAAAAAAATGAAGACAAATCTTTAACTGGCCAACCACTTAGATGTGATTAGGTTGGACCCAGGTTCTGACCGTGAAACAGGTCCCATCTCTGGTTTATATGATCCCCAAAGTGTCAAAATCCGTAACAAATACAGAGAAAAGTCAGACATGCTAAGCTACCAGTCAATTCTGATTTTGGACTCAGCAGGAACAAGGTGTAATCCTCTCCAAACCTAAAATGAAGTATCAAAACAAATGCTGCCAACAAACTAAACAACCTCTCCGTATTTACATTGCTGAGCTGTCTCAGAACAAAGACTACACAGAGGGACCTCCTTTAGCAGAATGGCTTTGTACCTTATCAGTGTGATTACAGCTATCCCAGCCAAGGTAATGGCTGCTAGCAGGAGGTCAAGGAGACCTGACTGACCTCAAAACTGGGAGGAAAAAAGGCAATAATACACAGGCAGCAATTTGAAGGAGCAGGTATGTGTGAAATTACCCTCAGCAGGCCCACAAAATGGTAGAGATTCAACATGGTGGGCTCAGTGAAAGAAGGGTTTATATAAGGAGGAAAAAACACTTTCACATTTGTTTTAAATTGCTTGAACTGGCCTCAAAACAGATGTTCTCACGTGGCAAACTGAGACTTGCATCTTAGAAACAGATGTTCACTGATACAATATGATATGAAAGGTATGAATTATCTTTGACTTCTAGCACATCTCTAGAAGTTTTTGTACAGAAGGGGGCGATTTAGTTGTTTAAAAGATCAAAACTGCACAAAAAAACCCAACAAGGAAACAGGAAACACAACTCCCACTGCACACACACAACTCTGTAAAACTCCTTAAACAAACAAAAGAGTTTTTCCTGGCTCACAGTGGGCCTTTGGGGGTGACTACCAGCGACAATAGGCCAGATCAGTCCATGTACAGTAAAATAAGTCTGTGTTACCTTGTTTTCCAGAAATCTATGCATTTTCAGTTATTTCTCAATATTTGATAAACAAAAATGTTACATTTGAGCAAATTAACAAAAGTGTTTACATTTTTTTATTGTCACTTTTTTTTTTGTATCATTTTGGGGCCGACTGTTATTTGGTGCTGGCTAAAATCTCTTCGGGGACGCCAAAAATCCCTATATGTGGGAATAACTTTATATAAAACATACAATAAAACATAACATCTGCAACAAAAGAGCTGGCGATTGTTGGCCAAGGTCTCTACCTTGTTATCCAGTCCTGCGATTTCCTGCTGACTGGCTGTGGAGAGCAAAAAGGAGTTCATCTGGGTCTTCAGTGTGTCGTCCACCTCCACGTCAATGTCATAGCAAGCAGTCTTCTTTTGGTCATTGGGGTCCACACTATTAAAGCAACACGGTATATGCATTATATTTAGTTTTGGTCATTAAATAACATTAGAAGCAGGTTATAAAATCAACCAACTCAGCTCTTATGTTGGGTAAAATCTTCATTTCTTTAACACTTTATGAGCATCTATTACTTATGGCTATTCAAGACCAGAAAAGTCACTTCAAATGAAAGAAGCACTCACTCAGTAGACTGGTTAGTCAATGTAAAACTCAGTGGCACCCATTTGATCAGTGTCTCAGCATTCCAGTCTTTTGAAGTTTCAGTTTGCTATGTTTTTTTTTTTTACTTTGTTCTGACAGTGCATAGCCAGACAAACAAGGAGAAACTTAGAAAATAAATGGCTGATTAATCAGTTTAGAAAATGATTCCTAGTTGCAGTACTCTTAGTTGTGGTTTAAGACTATCTCTTACATTATCTTAATGAAGTTACCTGATCACATGGTTGATGATGATGGGCTCTGGGGGCATCAGGAGTGCATGCAGGCGCTGTGGGATCTCAGAAAATTTCATTCGCTGAGTCTCAAAGATCTGCAAAATGAAGGCAAACCACAGTTATTGCACAGTACATCATTTTAGTCTTAGACAACACTTGTTGGACTAAAGCATCCACCAAATATAGACCAGTCAAACTTTGGTCCACATTAAGAATTGGTTTCAGTTGTAGCTAACTCAGTGCAGATAACAGTTTTTTGTTGTGCTGCTCTGTCTCTTTTGTGTCAGATATTGCTTTTGTGTCAGCAAATAGACTGTTTGCATCATTGACTTACAAAACAAATTTTCAGCTTTTAAAATCACCCCTCTATTCTAACTTTTTATATTCCAAATTTTAACAGTACGGTTAGAACAAAGTATGATTATCCAAGGTACTAACCATACAGACAATATTTATCTCACACATTAACTGTGTAAGAATTTAACATTAACCATCCATAATGCTGTTTGTCTTGGCAGAGCAGAAAAAAAGCACAGAGAAACAAGTAAGTGACCCAGAAAGAGAATGAGTCTCCATACAAGGACAAACAGAGAGACAGCAAGTCTGTACAGCATCCAAAACAGGAACCAGGACAATTTTTAGACTGCCGATCCCTCTAGCTTCAAGAACCACCAACAGTTTGTGTTCATGATGTTTAAAGTGCACAAGGGCCTCTTTTGGTGAGTTTTAACCCATTAAGACCCATTACAACATACACATACCTACAAGAGTGTTTAAAGGGCACCTTTGGTCTTAATGGATTAAAGTAACACAATCAAGTAATCATGATGTGTAAGAAAGTGGCTCCTCTCACCTGCTGCAGGTATTTGTCACAGTTGATGAACTCGCGCTCATGTGGGTCTTGGAGTTTGTGGGTCTTGACGTACTGCCAAAGGGCCTGAATGATGACAGGTCTGGTCTGGGTGTGGATACCCAACATACGAGCCAGTCGGGGGTCCAGCTTGAACTGAGGGGGCTTTATGATAAAGAGACATGAATGATGGAATGGAGGGAAGATTAAAGCAGGGTGCTGTTACATATCAGCATCTCCACTACTTGAAAAAAAATGTAACTGAAGAGCACTTAAAGGAAACATTACTACAAAGAAACAGTGAACACGTGAGCATTTACCTGGTAGTCAAGCATGAGCAGGACCGTGCAGCGAACACCCACGTCACCTGGTCTCTTCACCTGGAAACCATCAGTCTCCTGGGTGGTGGCAGTCCTATGCCACTAAAATGGATACAAGGAACATTTAAGGAACAAGTAGTGAATTTACTTATCAGCCTATAAACTTTTGTCCACAATTTATTGAGGTTTTCTTGCAGTCGTCACTGCAGCAACACCAAATATTGTTTGGACCACCAAAGAACCAATTAATCCAATCAAAATCAGTCTATTATCAACTTAAAATAACAATAAAATCTAGATAAACAAACAATTTTTAAAGTGGAAAATGTAGGATTAAAACTGCTCTTTTCTCAGAAGCACAAAAACCGACACATATAACAAGAAGAGAAAGCTTTTGCTGATCAATCAATTAAATAAATTCTCTTACTTCAACAAGGTGATTATCTGGACCGTACAGATCTTTGTCCAGCTCGATCACCAGGGACTTGAAGAATGACGAGAACTTCCTTTTCTGTTTGGTGGCTTCATACTTGGAAACAGCTGTCTGTAAACAAAATAAAACATTTGTCTCATTTTTTTTTTCATGAAGGATGAGATCTTAAAAAACATGAAAATTTTTGTGGAAAGCCAAAATTATCATCAATGCATCCCAATACAAGTAATTTATGGAAGGTATTTTGGTGGGTTATTTTGACTACAACGTGACAAAAATATGCCATACTGACGTCGGTAACCACAAAAAATTAAATCAAGTTTTAGGAAGTTGAGCAAAATTTCAATCAAGAAGCTTACGTCTTCCAGCAGACGCCCTTCCACACGTAGCTCCCATGATGCCACTGTGCCTTCTCCGTCCTCAGCATCTGGTTTTGCAGGGTTGAAGGTGTTGGATATAAAGATCCGAAGCTTTCTCTTTTGCTGAAAACAATCAATCAAAAAAAACTTAAAACTCATGTCACCATTGCCACTCAATCACCACAGAATTTATAACTACACTGATAATCAGCAGAGGTTCAGAAATTTCCGTTTTCAAAGCCCATCTGCTCTTTAAAATCCCAAAGCTTAAGTTCTGTGTCATTTGACGAAATAAATTATGTTCAAGGCAAGGATTAGATGAGATTACATTGGCTCTGATCACATGCAGCTTAATTTAAGGTAACATCAGTGAAACAACTTAAGCAGAAATTTATCAAATAAACCTTACAATAACGCTAACATCTCGTTCGCAGCGACATCATCATAAAACCAACGATCAAGCAGAATCGGTATCTTAGAAACAAGACATCAGAGGTAGTTCAACAGTGAGATCACAAAAACAAACAAACCCACCTTGACACGGCAACCTGTAAAACGTATATATTTGGATAAACAAGCTTTTATTCAATGCAATTGTCCAATTACAGGAAGCATGAAGACCCCTGAAGTTCTGAATGGCTTGAAAGGTAATTTAAGGTCTGAACTGGAGTGATTTAGAGCCCATAAGGGATGGGTATAATTGAAACACACCTTAATGGGCCTCTTGAGGGCCTCCTGAATATCCAGCCTCTTGCGCATTATGGTCTGGTCCAGTTTCCTTTCAAAAGCCAGTAGATCCATATAAGCCTGAGACTCTGGGACCAGTTCCCTGATCTGAGACACAACATAAGATACTGGTGATCACAGCCTAAATTGATGTTCAAATTGACGAGCAAAACAGTCTTGCCAACATAATCACAGCAAGTATTAATGGATTTCCACGCGCCACAGTTTGACTAATACTCACCCTCTGAGGTAGAATTTTATCAGCCATCTTCTTCTTCTTTGTGCTGTAAAAACAAATAACCAAAACAAGTTCATTTAAATGCGAGTCAGAGTGGTTCAGCATATCTTTATAAAAAGACAAAGAAGCTAGCTGAATTCTTAAGTGCGATACCTGAGTGACAAACACCCACACAAACACACAAAGAGACACGCTGCACTAACAACAATAATTCAGTTCCTCATCCAGAGGTCTGCACTGTGTTCAATAATTCTGCAGTGCCTGATTTAAATGGTGCAGGTGAAGGACTTTTACTGAATTGTGGGCAGTCAGCATCCTATCAAGGTTAACATTTTTACATGAAAAGATGACACTATTTGGACAAACAAATAGCCCAAGATCTAAAGATAAAAAAAAAAAAGAAAGAAAGAAAGAAAGAAAGAAATTCAGCAAACCCTCACATCTGAGAAACTCAAGGCAGAGTGTGTCTGCCATACTGAATGAAACAAAAATAGTCAACACTGTTGCTGAATATTTGTTTAAAAAAACATGTCACCAATCACACTCTTTATCATGCAGTTCCATAGCAACGATGCTTTTGGTAAGCTTTAAAACATTTGGGCATGTTTCGGTTCACATTTATCACATAAAAGCTGAGTAACTCTATTAGTGCTTTTAATTAAAACTTAAGCTATTCCTTTTCACTGATAAGACTGGGTGTGTCTCTTTTGTTAATTTGAAATGGGAAAGACATTTTCTTGATTTCTTGCAGGAAACATTATTGTGGCTAACAATAATCAGAAACTCAACAGGCACGGGCATGACGGTCTACAGGCGTAAACTGGTGCAAAAACAGACTCATGCTGACATCTGATTACACCTTGACAATTTATTCCCCAAAATCTGCTGGCAGGTTTGGAAGAAATGTTACCTTTAAAAAAGAAAAGGTGCCAACATTAAACAATTTGTCAGAACCACAAAACTGCAAAAAAAAAAAAAAAAGTGAAGAAAAAAAAGGGGAAAAAAAAAAGAATTGTTGGATTTTCAATTTTCCAAAAGGTCTTTGAATGTATCATGCATGATCTGAAGGTCTCTGTGAAAATAACCAAATTTAAGCTTAAACTTGTGATGTTTCATCAAAATCAAGTCATTCTACACGTCATCTTAAAAAAATACCAAAACTTTAAGCATTCACACAAAGCACAAAGATTCTGTAAAAAAAACAAAAGATTCTGTGCTCCACAGCATAACTAAAAAGCCACTGGTGGCTGAATTGCAACTAAAAGTCTTGTGACAATAATCCAGGGACTATTCCACTAAACTGCAGGATGTGTTAACAAAAAGCAGACAGAAGACAGATATGGAGACAAATTCCAAATGTACAGTTGTCTTCAAATGTATTTATACCCTTTCATTAAAGAAAAGGCAAAATTCACAATATTCTTAATTTCTCACAAAACAGTAAATGCTGTTACGTGTCACAGTCGCTTTCTTACATTTATTTTGTACAATTTGATTTTGTAAAAAGACAAATACTCTCCAAGGCAAAAGCGTGTAAAAACACTTCACCAACACCACGAAAAGCTTCGTTTTTGAGCTTCACTCTTGCAAATTCTGAAACCAAAACAGCGCATAGGGCCTCACTCTGACGGTTTTTACAAGAACTACAGAAAACAACTTTTTATCCAACTTTTTAACTAACTTATTTAACTTACATTTTTATTAACTTATTCTCATCAACTTTAAAGACAGCACAGTCTTTGAGAGTACGGAACTTCAGAGGGCTGCATAAAGAATGTTTTGCCAGTAACTTCACTCATCATGTTGCTTATATACAGCTTACACCTATGGCCTAAACCTAAAGATAAATTCATCAGTACAACTGGTAGCTACATTCATGCATACTCCACAGAAAGAAAAAAGTACAATGCAAATCTAAAATAAAATACCCCACATTACAGACATATTTGTTTGGAAAACCTTTTTTTTTCCCATATCGGCCGGGCCCTAGAAAAAAGTAGTAATAAATAAAAAATTGCTAAATTGCAGTTTAGTGAAGTAAGAAATTGTTTTTTAATCGTGGATGAAAAGAATATTTAAAAAAGAAAAGAAGAAAAAACTGTCCTGGACAAATTAGAGCACTTTGCTGATGAGCAGTGGGCCAAAATCAAAATACCTGTCAACAAGTGCAGAAGATTGATTGAGAGTTAAGGAAAACACTTTGATTGCAGTGATTGTCTCAAAGGGTTGTTCAACAAAATATTAGTTTATGGGTCCCACCATGCTTCGTTTTTTTAAAAATATGAAATATTTCTGTTGAACCACAATTCAAAAGTAACGTTAAGACTTTCATAAAATTTGTATTTATTATTACTTTTGTCAATTTCAACGACTGTACGTAGTAAATTTCCAACACTATGTATAGCAAACACCACACTTTTTTTTCTCCTTTTTTTCTTTTTCTGGAATTTTTCTCTTTATAAGTGGGTTATACTGCACATAAGACACTGTAAAGTTCTCTACTTCTCGCCATGGTTGTGCTGTTTCCTGAGAGGTGTAGGACTTTATATTGCAGGAAGTAAAAATGTGACTGAGAGCACCTTCTTGGGGATCAGAGGGTTAAAGTGAAGCAACATGAGTTGAGGGACTTACTGCTGGTTGCGGTTCTGCTGCTGGACCTGCTGAATCTGTTGGGGGGCCGGCCTCTTACGAGATGGGTCCATGACGCCAGGCATCCCAGGGCGAGACACAGGGCTACTGCCGTATCCTGGGGGGCCCATAGCTGGTCCCTGTGGAGTCATACGGCTGGATGGAGGCATGCCTGGTCTCTGCAGAGAAAAGATAGGAAAGCTTATAGATTATCAGTGCCTGAAAGAAGATTTACAGGGCTGGAGGGACTAGCTGACTTTGGTTATCTAGAAATCTACATGAGGGCTGGACTGAAAATGTTTTGTTTGTTGATGTTTTTTTTAATGGAATATTATCTCTGGCTACAAAACATGAAGCTGTGGAAGTTGTGAAAGTCTGTCCCTGCTGGGTAGGTAATACTAGCTAGCCAGCTATCTGCAGCTGTTAGGCTAATGTCAATACACACTAACAGTACAGATGAAATGGTATGTTAAGCAGCCATTTCAGTTTCTCTCCTTCTGCACTCAAATTGATCATTACAGTGGAAGCATAGTGCACAGCTGAATTAGTTCGCACTGCCGGTCTATGTGTTGCTGTACAGAACATCATTTGTTTTTTAGAAAATGCATATTGATCAGTGTAGCTGTGTTATTCTTACACAACTTTTGTAAGTTTTTCATGTATTTGAACAATAAAAAATAAGTGGCCTATAACAAGTAGTGCACAATGTTATATTCGGAAAAACATCATGGCTGCTCACTTGTTGAATGTCAGAAATGCAAGAAATTCAGTCTCCCAGGAAAAATTATAAGAGGTGCTTCACACAATGCTGTAATCTAAATATTAGCACTAAGTGAATGGAAACAAGGAAATTCTGGACTTTGTCAATCAGTGTCAGTGTTCAGCTTTTGTTTTTAAATGTCAGAATTTGTTATCAGTAATTTGCAGTAAAATTTATATTTTGGTCTTTAGACTAGGCAAAAAAAAAAAGAGGTCACGTTAAAGACTTATTAATAGCACAATGAGCACATTAACTGGTAATGACAATTGTTGTTTGTTGCAGCCCTAAAATGTATGCAATCTGATAATGCACACAGTAACCTGTAAAAGAGCCTTGACCCACATACAAATGGACATGAGCCTCCCACTCAAACAGAGAATTGTACTGGAAGTAACCTGCTTGCAGTCTAACCCCAGGACTGTGACAATTGTGAGAATTTAGCACTGGCACCACCCGTGCACACTGCATACCTAAACTGCACATTTGTAGCTACAACGGTAGCTCGAGTACTGTGGCTTAACAACAGTGCACTGCTACAGCAACAAAGCAACTGCAAGTCACATTGGAAAATGTTATTCAAAAAGGGAAATAAATGTGTGCAAAGAAAATAATGATACACATCAGTCACACTTAAAAAAAAAAAAATAAATAAATACAGGTGAAATAAGTGATCCCTTATTAAGTGAAATTTGTGGACATCCTCAAACATTCTAATGGATAACAGGGGTCAGACAAGCTAATTATGGCTGCAAATTAAATATATAATATTTTTGCTGCTAATTAACCTTGTGGTGTACGGGTTGCTGTGTATATAAAAAGTTTCAAATGCAATAAGTGCCAAGTAAACAAACTGTATATCCAAGGTCAAAAGCTAATTAAACCTTACCACCAATTCATTTTAGTCCTGGACATTGTGTAATGTGGTGGTTACGTTTGCTATAGGATATAGAAATAAACCGATCTGTGTCATAATGTAACTGTAACTATGCCTGCAAAACATTAGCAGCACATTTCCTGATGTAAATGTATTCATTATAAACTAATTAAAACCAATTTAGCATTAAGACATTTTCTAACTACAATAAAAACAAGGCATACAGCTCAGCAAGCTCGACAACACTATAACACTCTTTCTATAATCAAATCCATATACTTAAATATTTCCGGCTCCCTTTAAGAAAAAGTGTCAACAATTTTGCATGCCTTTTAGACAAGTAAACACAAAAGAAACATCACAGCCAACTCACCAAACCATGTGCTAAGAACTCAAACAGACGGCTTCTTGTATTTGACTGCATGTGTGCAGGCAAGAACAGCAGATAAATGACAAATCACTGATAGCAGCTTTTCCTCCAGCACAGTGCAACAAATGAGACAGATGAAGGCAAAACACACTCTCTCCTGTGCCTATGGTAGAGCGTTGAAGGGAGGAAGAGTGACGGACACCCGACTCCTCAACAATACAGGCCAGATGAATGGGCTCTGCCTTTTCCACACAGTGCGATGTAGGCAGAAAGGGGCTGAATGTCAATCATTTAGTGCTTTTTACACTATACATTGGTACAACCTTGGTTTGCCTGAGAACAACAGGAGATCTGCAGTATTCAGAGTATGAAGCCTCTTTGACTATGTAGTGAAAGGCTGCTTGTGTGAGTGAAAGCAGCCAAGGACACTGGAGAAAAAAAGATGTTACATACTTTCACTGAACTGTGTTTCAGGGTGGCAGTAGCTAAGCAGAAAACTCTTCAACTGCTGTGGATCAGTGATAAATTAGTTATCATTTCTATCATGATTTTAAGTACAATCATGACATTCTAAGAGACAACATATTAGATGAAGGCGACAGGCTCCAAAACAATATGAGCAAAGTAAAAAACCCTGGACCACAGAAATATCTTTAAAAAGTTACAATCTAATACCGACTATGAACTGATATTATGTGCTTATAAGGGACCTACAATATGCAATACAGTAACCACTTATTGTTACTGAGCTTTCTTAAGCAAAATGCATCCAAACAATAAACAGACGGAGCACAAGGGCAACTTTAAAGTCATGCATTTGAAAACATTTGGGGTCAAGCCTCACAAGGAAAAGTACGTATGTATGTGCAGAGTTTGACGACAGAAAGAAACTTTCAGTTTTAATCTGCAAAGGGAGGAATGTTTGACCTTGAATCTGTAACATAAAAACTAGGAGAAGCATGAGACATCTTGTATCAGGCAGTTAACTTTTAAAATGAACAAGGTTTGCATATTCATAGATTATGTAAATGTACAAGACACAAATTATTATTTCTAGCAGAGCCTTTTTGTCTAAAACATCTATAAAGGGGATTTTTAAAAGTTACATCCCTAGAAAATCAATCACTTTATGGTTTGTACTAAAAGTCCAAAATTATCTTGCAAACTATTACTTATGTCTATATCAGGGATCTCCAACTCCGGTCCTCGTGAGCTACTGTCCTGCAGGTCTTAGACGTTTCCGTACTGCAACACACCTGACTCAAATTAATGGATCTCCAACAGCTTGTTGTCAAGTTCTACACAAGTCTATACATCAAGCAAGATCATGTTGTCTGCTCTTGAATTAGTACTTGGGTTTCTTCTTTTCAGACATTAACAAGTCTGTTAATGATCCACTAATTTGAGTCAGGTGTGTTGCAGTACGGTACTCCAGAAATTCAAAATTTTATTTTCTAATCAATGAGACCATCTGACACCATATCAATATCATATATATTAACTTTCACATTCTTTATGTTAAGGCAAGAACAAGGTATAACTGCATTAAATTTGCAAAACATTTGAGATTTACAAATAGATTTACAAATCCGATCACATTCTGCATGGTGTATGGCATTATCTTCAATGAACAGAAATCAATTGTTTGTTGCATTTTCACCTCAATTTTTGATTACTCAACTGTAGTTTTTTTTTAATGTATAAAATGTAACATTTGCTTTATTGATGCTACTAACTAGATGCCACGGAGCTACAATGTGCAGACGGGAGTTTAACCTAATATCTAGATATCTCTAAAAATCACACCAGGATTACGTGGCCTTCTTTTAGGACGAAGCAACTCTTAAAATAGACAAGTTGGCAGAGACAGAAAACTTTTAGCAACAGAATCTGTAAATAGAATAGTTCTATCGTCTTTAACGTCTGCATGTAATAGCAAAAATGACTGCTACTAGAGATTTGTCCATTACGGATAAATTTGTAGGGGTTTTTATTTTTCCCTATCAATTCTTTTGCCTATAAAATGATTGTGAATTGTAGGACCTCTTCTAATTTCCAACAAAGTGACACCTTCAAATGCCTTGTATTGTCTGATCAACAACTGAACATCCATAAATATTGAATTCACATGACAAAAAAAAATAAAATAAACAGAAAAAGTTTAGGCAAAGACAAATGACTGAATCATTCATTTATCAAAGGTTGCAAATTCATTTTCTCTTTATGGATGATTCGACTCATTGTTTCAGCCCAGAAATACAGGATACTGTTAACTTCGAAGACGTAAATTTCCACACACATAAAAAATCCTCCTAGCTACCTATATGCGCAGTTAATGCACGTATCTTGGATGGTGAAAGCACGAAGACCTCAAATTAAAATATCAGCAGTTCTCCAGAGTAACCATCTTAGTCCACTGACTTTGTTGTGTAATACCATTTCCACCGAGGTGATAGTCGGTTCACCAAATGCACGTTTCTTTTGTAATATGAAAACACTATCTGGCTTGCAGCAAACTACACCGAGTACACACAGGGCACAGTCGGGTCCTAGCTGAAACTTCCCCTGTTGTCCACGTTTCTGTGTTTTGGAGATTTGCATTGATACAAACTGGTGATGGTGCAGTGCATTCATTCAAAAGTGAACTGGATTGTAAAACTTTTGAATTCACCAAATGCGTGAAGTCACTGAAGTACGACGTATAAACATTAAAGGCTTGGTTTCTTACATTGTTTGCAAACTACTTGAACTCTATTAATGTGTTTTCAAAGGGAAAACTGTTCGAAACACAGTTAGCGGCGTTAGCAGGCTAAGCTAACTGGCTGCTGTGACCAGCTAGCTAACCTTAATGTTAGCAGGCGGGAGGGTTAGCAAATTCAAACAACAAACAAACTCTGATAGTCATTCAAAGTGGCCGGTTAAAATGTTTCTGATGGGTCGCCGCTTTTCGACGGGGCTAAGAGTGAGGACGAGCTGTGGCCCGCTACGGTGATGGAGGTTAACGTTAGCCACCAGTGACAAAGCAGCGGTGAGCGGCTTTGTTCTAGCGGACTGGCTAACGCGTCAGCAGCAAAGATGGAGCGATATCTCACCGGGTACCCAGGCCCGGGCATCGGGGAGCGGTACATGTGGTTCTGCGCTCCGGACGACGGCCCCATTCTTCCAGAGGGAGTCCCGGGCCCCATGCCTGGTCCTGCACCCGGTACCGGAGGTCCTGGTCCCATTGCTCCACCACCACCACCCGTCGGTGCCGACTGAAACCCCCCTCTGGCCGCCATCTCCTCTCTGAATGTCGCCGCCGGTGGAGGCGCGGACTCCGCGGAGCTACCGCGAGAGCGAGAACGAGTTTTGGATGGCCTTCGCGACGCCACAGCGACCCCTGCTGTTAGTCGGTCGTACTGCAGCACAATAGTGACTGACGATGATGAACAATGAGTTCGTCCGGTATACCATCCATCCATCCATACATTACATTAATCCTCACTAGGGTCGCGGAGGGGCTGGACCCTATCCCAGCCGACTTAGGGTGAAGGCAGGAGACAGGTCGCCAGTCTATTGCAGGGCTACACTTAGAGACAGACAACCAAGCACACTCACATTCACACCTATGGACAATTTAGAATCACCAATTAATCTCAGCATGTTTTTGGACCTTGTGGGAGGAAGCCGGAGAAAACCCACGCTGCACGGGGAGAACATGCAAACTCCACGCAGAAAGATTCCGGTGCCCCCACCAGGACGCGAACCGGCAACCTTCTTGCTGCGAGGCAACAGTGCTACCAACTGCACCACCTTACAGCCTCCGCTATACCAGCATGTCAGAAAACTAACACTGCATATATTTAAAACCACGTAAAACCTCCAGACATCCCTGAGCAACATTACTTGGTGGTGGTTTTAGGGAATCTTGAAACTGTGAAATTTTACAGGCCATGTTTTATGTGTATTTTCATTTACATTTATTAATGGGACATAGGCTATTTCAACATTCTAAATAGATCTGTAGTTCAAAATTAGGTATGGACACTTAGTATGAGGGAATTCTTCACAGAAATTCTTCACCTGAACTATACTGCTAAGGCATACAATATGAAGAGTATGTAAGGGTTAATCAACAGGTAGTATGAATAATAGGACATTAGTAACTGAATAAGTCGATAAATTAAAACATTGGCACCTGAAGTGTCTATTATCAATGCATTAATACCCCACTGTAGAAAAAAAATAAATAAATACTCTAACAAACGTGTCCTGTGGTACCTAATTAAAAGCATCTCAGTATAATCAAGAAAACGAACTTTAGGTATTAAAAATGTAAATACTCCGTTCAGAAAAAAGAGCCATGTGATTGTTATTCTGGATAATATATCACTGGATTATAATTTTTCATGGTTTGAGTAATTAGGGTGTTACTGTTTGAGCTGGTCAAGGTAAAAAATTTCAGGGTCCGAGCACCCAAAGGGTGCTTTTGGAATGGTAGGATTTTCTATTATTATTTGTGACAAAGAGATGTGTTTTTAAAGGCCCTAAACATACTCAAAACTGCACAAAACTTGGCACACACATCCGACCCGGCAAAAATTTTTAGAATTTTGAAAAAAAATACACACATCCATAGAAAAATTGCTCCATGGCACCACCTAGAAAATTTCAACAGAGTCCCATCGAAAGCACATTTGACCTAGAGTTACGCAGTTTGGTAGGCACATAGAGCAGGTCAGGATGAAAAAAAAACTCCCCCTCTCCAAGCTCTAAAATGCAACATGGCTAAACTGTGCCCCCAACAATATTTCAACAGACTCCCATCGCGGCTACATTTCACCTAGAACTCCAAAATTTGGCACACATATGTAACAACTCGTGAGGCACAAAAAAGTCAATTAGCATGTTTCTGTAAACCCAACAGGAAATCCGTCATGTTGGAAAAACGGCGAGCATGCTGGGCCATTTTCACTTAAAAATGGCCATTTTTAAAATCTATCTCCTCCTAGGGGGTACGTCGTACACACCTGAAATTTGGTCAGCACAAACTACAGGATGTGGTGATTGAAAGTTATCAAAACGCTGATGAGGCTCGGTTTAGAAATGGCAGCCCGTGCAATTTTGATCAATGTCCATTTTGCCCACTTTCGCTGTGTTTCTGCCATTCAACACAGTCCTGTCGGAAGACTGATTTACCTACAGCTACAAGATTTAATGGGCATGTGTAGCAGGTCAGGACGCACAAAAAAGTAAATCAGTCCCAAGCCCTGAACCCAACAGGACGTCCGCCATTTTGAAAAACTAGCTATTTTTATTATTATTTCTTCATGACAAAGAAACATGTTTTTGAGGTCCTAAACGTACTCACACAGGCAAAAAAAATTTGCACACACATCAGACCCAGCAAAAAATTTTATGTCTAGGGGGAAATACACACCTCAACAGAAAAATGGCTCAACAGCGCCACCTACAAAATTCCGAAAAAGGGTCCCCAAACACACTTTCACACGGAGCCACGAAATTCGCCTCACACATAACATGCCGAGACGCACAAAAAAGTCTCAAGGACACACATCTGAAATGCAACAGGAAGTCGGCCATTTTGAAAAAATGGCTTTTGGCCGAAAAACTGCCATTTTTCGCCATTTTCAAAATCTATCTCCTCTAGGAGGTAAGTCTGGAGAGCAGCGATTGATCAGACGGACTGAGAGAGGACTCTGCCCCGCCCACATTTACCGGCTACTGCTTTGTTTACCGACGTTGCTGCTAACAACGTTAGCCTCCAAAAGTGGCGCTAAACTCTACAGGTGACTGTTAAAGTGGTCTCAGCAACTGGTTGTTTTCTGTCCACATCTGTACACACATAGTAAAGCAGCGACCTGCGTTACTATAGCTGAAGTTACTATAAGTTCAACGATCTAACATCGTGTTTAAAAGTTGTTCTGTAAATCTCAGGTTACATTTCCTGACTAGTTAACGCTGATGCTACAACAGGTTTGTCAGTGTCATAAATGAGTTACCTGTTGTCTGTGACTAGTTTCCTGTAGATGATCAATCATAATGGATTGATAACATTATAAGAGTCTGATAACGGCTGCCGTCTCATGGCAGACAGGAATGATCAGCAGAAACTAAACCAAGCTAACGTTACACCACAGAACACTGATTAGGGGTCATCTCTCAGTCCATGTCTCTGTTCTCTCGCTTTTAACAGCTTCTGTTCATTTCACTGAGACAAACATCTGTTGAAATGATTCCTTCTCTTCCAGAAACAGTGAAGTTACTGAGGTCTGAGCACCATGGCATGACCATTACATTGAACCTCAGAGCTCAGTCACAGTTAGTTTTTTATTTACATTATTTAATGTAAATCAGTCCAGCAGACTGTTTCTCTACTACAGTGTTTTATCAGATAACTGAGGACCTCATGTAATCAGAGTGCTGTTTTCCCTTTTTTCTCTATGAATCACATTATCATAGTTCGGAATAAAAACAATCACTTTATTTTCCTTCTAAGGCAGTAAAATATTCTTTGGCCTCATCCAGGGAAACAAACATTTCCTTCAAATGAAAAAATATGCATGGCTTAAAGTATTTCGGCACCATGCTGGATTTCCAGCGTGCGACGCTTGTCTTAGCGAATGCTGCGAACGGATAGCAGCGAATACGCTAGCGAATACCAGCGTTAGCAGCGAAGACAATGGTAGTCAACGTATCGGCCCAATTTGCAGGGTAATTTTTTCATGCAGCATCGTCACGGGCCATTACTCTGTAGGCAAGAACCCTGTATGCAAGTATTATTATAATAATAACAATAATAATGATTATTATTATTACTACAACTACTACTACTATTTGGATAATATATTTATTGACTGAATGCTTTTTCACATACGGGGATTCCCACTGATAGCCAATCAGAATGAATGTAACGGAAAGTCGCCATATACCATAGCCCGCTATACTGGGCTGCAGGGTTGAACGGGGTGAAAGTGGCAGATCGGTATAGCGGGCTATAGTGTTGAAAGGGTTAAGCAGACACGGGAAGCCCTTAGTGCAAAAAAAATGAAGAAGCCGGGTGCTTGTTTCTGTACCATCTGCTCAAAAAAACTCATGTAGGCAACTAGTGGCAAAAAAGTGCTGTCAGATCACAAGTCAGACCCTGGCCATAGAGCTGCTATCTGCTCTGAAACTCACAACTCGTTTGCTGGGAGCAGCAGCCACCGCTGAGGTACCGGTATCAATGACTGACCGGGTTTGTAATTTAAAAATAGGCCTGTGCACATTCATTGCAGAACATGACTTGTCGTTCACCATATCTCAGCCACTCTTTAATCTGTGCAAAAAGTTGGCTGAAGATAAAAATGCTTTGTCAAAAAGGTTTGTGTCAAATCAGCATGCTGGTTACATAAATACACATGATATAGCACCAGCATTTAAGCAAAGTCTTTCTGAAAAGCTCAAAAGATTTGTGTTTTCACTGAATATTGACGAAGTATTGTATTTCAAAAGTGGAAAAGCCCTCTGAACAAGCGCAGACCTCCGCCAAGCCGCTCATTTCCACCATATTGTGATTTCCAGCCAATGTTAAAGTCCTGCATTCATTTTATCTACACTTTAGATTCATGGAAAATCAAAACATACCTTAAGCATTTGAATTAACATTGATATCACTAATAACAAGCTGACGGAGCAATGAATGGTCTTTCTGCACTCTCAAATATTTTTTACACTTATGTTATTTCTACAGTTCCTTACTGGCTTTAAGCTGTTAGCTAATGCTATGCTAGGTTAGCACAACTTTAGCAATGCAACGTAAATGAAAAGCATGACCGACGCAACGAAGTATGCATCAGTCGTCATGACACATGGCAAAGAGAGTTAAAGTGAAACAGGAGACATGTTGAGTCATTGTTAATGTCATAACATCGTTGTGAACTTATCTATCAGTACCTCCGCTCAGCCCACTCCTGTGATGCTGCCTGGCTGTAGCTTCCTCCTGTACCACTGAGAAGACAGCGGTGAGGACTGAAGGACTGAATGGAGTCAGAACTCCATCTAGTGGACAAACGGTGCAATGACAGCATTCTGCACAACTGTGACACTTAAGAGCATTTACTGTTTTATGAGAAAATAACCATATGGGGGGGGGGGCATTGTTAGCGAATAGTAGGGCTAGCAGCGAAGACAACGGTCGTCAAACTTTGTCGGTGCTTGTTATTAAATATTTTCCTGCTACATACCCTAAAAAAATAGGTATCGGCCCAATTTGCAAAGTAAGCTTTTCATGGAGTAACCTCATGTTATGGCGCTGGCAAGAACCCTGTA